GGCGACACTCCAGCCCTCACACCACCCAGATATTTGACTTCATTCAAACGTCCAATACCAAGCACGGTCTGTCTATGACCAGTTACAATGACCTCTGGCAGTGGAGTGTGTCTGAGCCTGCCAAGTTCTGGGAAGATGTTTGGAATTATACCGCCATTCGAGCGCATAAGCCATATGACCGGGTGAGTTAACTAGTTCTCCTGATTCTTCTCGCAACAGAACGGTAGCTAGATATCAGCGTCCGTCTTCGCCTTTATCAAGATAGCTAACTTTCTTATAGGTTTTGAGCTCAGACCAGCTTCTATTCCCTCGACCAAAGTTTTTCGAGGGAGCTAGGCTCAATTTCGCTGAGAATCTTCTATACCCAGCTACGTCCCCTGACGAGAACGCAGTTGCGGTGATCGCTGCTACGGAAGCAGATCGGGAGTTTGTCTCATGGAAGGAACTACGGGATCGGGTTCGTAGATGTGCTAACACGCTGAAAGACTCGGGTCTGCGGGCAGGGGATCGAGTCGCAGGGTTCCTAGGCAATCACACCAACACGGTTGTGGCGATGCTGGCAACGGCATCAATCGGTGCCTTCTGGACAGGCGTGTCACCCGATACCGGTGTGCATGCAGTGCTAGAGCGTCTCCAGCAAATAGAGCCGAAGATCTTGTTCGCCGATAATGCATCTCTATACAATGGAAAAGTACACGGTGCAGATGCTAAATTGCGTCAAATCGTCCCAGGGCTGCCGAACCTGGACATTCTGGTCGTATTCGACACAGTTCGGTCTTATGGATTCGACCTTCAGGAGGTGATGCCATCGCGTGGAAAGGTTTTCTCTTACAAGTCTTTCCTTTCTACAGCCAACAACCCTTCTGCCCCTCTTGAATTTACAAGTCTGGGGCCCGAACATCCAGTCTACATACTATATTCATCAGGTACTACAGGGGCACCAAAGCCAATTGTTCATGGCGCACTGGGAACGCTGCTGCAACATAAAAAGGAACATGTGCTTCACTGTGACCTTCGCCCAGGCGACCGCCTGTTCTACTTCACAACGACTACTTGGATGATGTGGCATTGGCTAGTCTCCGGCCTTGCCAGCGGTGCTACCATTGTGCTCTATGATGGCTCTCCTTTCCGACCATTTGATCCGGAAGATGGAAAGGGGGATATGGCAATGCCACGTCTGATCGATGAATTGCGGATAACACACTTTGGAACCTCTGCCAAGTATCTGTCCATCTTGGAACAGGCTTCGCTGCATCCGACAAGCCACCCCAATCGGCCGACAAGCCTGGAGACATTGGAGGCCATCTTTAGCACGGGCTCTCCGCTGGCACCATCGACGTTTGAGTATGTGTACTCGTCCATCAAGGCGGACATTATGCTGGGTTCTATTACCGGTGGCACCGATATCTTGTCGCTCTTCTGCGGCAGCTGTCCGATCCTACCCGTCTACAAGGGGGAGATTCAGTGCCGCTGCTTGGGGATGGCCGTCTCTGCTTACGACTACGCAGGAAATGACGTTTCAACGTCCGGCGAACCCGGCGATCTGGTGTGTACTAAGCCTTTTCCTGCGCAGCCCGTTATGTTCTGGCCTCCCGGTCCGGCTGGAGCAGAGAAATACCGCAAAAGCTACTTTGATGTCTTCGGGCCGACAATTTGGCATCATGGTGATTTCGTGCGACTGGACCCTCATACTGGGGGCGTGGTAATGCTGGGCCGTAGTGACGGTGTGCTGAAGCCGGCTGGGGTTCGGTTCGGCAGCGCAGAGATATACAATATTCTTCTGAAACACTTTGCGGATGAAGTTGAAGATTCCCTGTGCATTGGACGGCGACGCGATGGTATCGATACAGATGAGACAGTAGTCCTCTTTGTGAAGCTGGCAACACCAGGGGATGTTCCTACAGTCATACCCTCCGACCTTGCAACTCGTATCCAAGCGACAATCCGCAAAGAACTCAGCCCTCGTCATGTCCCCGGCATTGTGGACGTCTGTCCAGAGATACCGGTGACATCCAACGGAAAGAAGGTTGAAAATGCCGTGAAGCAGATCCTTTGCGGTCTGAACATTAAGATTGGTGCGAGTGTGGCCAACGCCTCGTGCCTTGACTGGTATCGCGCCTGGGCCTCGGCGCACCCATAGTTTCTTAGCATGGCGTTTCTCGATAAGCCGGTCTGTCTAGAAAAAGTTCAAAAAATGGAGATTGGGTGCATGGTGCAAGATTCCTGTCTGCTTATTGCCTACCAGATTGGAATGATAGACTGTTTCTTCTCTGTGCGAAAATGCCATGGCAACTTTCTGCTGCATTACTCAACTGGACATTCTAGATCTTCCATTACTAACCATTTGGAAGGAACCACAGGCCGGCCTTCCTCATATTCGGATATGACTCAGGCTCTGGTAGACTTTATGAAGTTAAGCATCTGCCGTAGACTTTCAACCATATCATCGATCAGTATAAGACAAAAGGAGACGTTGGCTTCCATTGTACTCGATCCGAAGATATCCTGCCTGTCTGAACTCTGACGTCGTGTGCGCGGAGCGCCTAGGTGATTAGATAAGCGATCTGAGTCCAAATCCTTGCGGCGCCGGCGTGACGACGACATCTCCGGCACGCAGCTTTCACGCCGTCCGGGAAGTGAGCAGTTCGAATTGAGACCTCTCGGCCATTTGACCATCATTAATCTTCAATATGCGCCGCTCTGTACTTCGGGCCGTTGAGTCCGCAAAGCCACTCGCTCGCGTGCCTCGCTCAGCGAGAAGCTTCGCTACCGTTAATGAGAACGGCTCCAAGGTAAGGAACCCGGTGCATGATCCCCGGTTTGGAGGGTTCATTCGAACTGTTGACTAAAACTTACGTTTGTTTCGCGCCATAGGACCCCGCCGAGCTAGAGCAGATCATAACTTTGCCAAACGGTATCCGCGTCGCTACTGAATCCCTGCCGGGTCCTTTTGCTGGTGTCGGAGTTTACGTCGATGCCGGATCTCGCTACGAAGATGAGAGTCTACGGGGTGTGAGCCACATCATGGATCGACTGGCTTTCAAGTCAACCAAAGCGCATACCAGCGATCAAATGCTCGAAGTTATGGAGAGCCTGGGAGGAAATATCCAGTGTGCTTCTTCCCGCGAATCCTTGATGTACCAGTCTGCCAGTTTCAACTCGGCTGTCCCGACAACCCTTGGGCTGTTGGCGGAGACTATTCGGGACCCTCTTATCACTGAGGACGAGGTTCTGCAGCAGTTGGGGACAGCTGAATATGAGATTGGGGAGATTTGGTCCAAGCCGGAGCTCATCTTGCCCGAGCTGGTACACACGGCAGCCTACAAGGACAACACATTGGGAAACCCTCTGCTTTGCCCACGGGAGAGACTGGGAGAAATCAACAAAGCCGTTGTTGATAAATACCGCGAGGTCTTATTCAACCCAGAGCGCATGGTTGTTGCCTTTGCTGGTGTGCCGCACAACGTGGCAGTGAAGCTTACAGAGCAGTACTTCGGTGACATGCAGACACATAGGCAGACAGATGGCCCTGCTCTTACGGGTGCGGGCATTGAGACTACTCTGTCTCACTCCGAGTCGGCTGCTGAGGAGGGCCAGGTGCCAACAGTTCCCCAGTTCACGCCGTCGTCAACGACAACCACCACGGCATCCTCTCTCAACTCGTCAGGTTTTCTTTCGAAGCTACCCTTCTTGAAGAAGCTTTCCACTTCTGGATCGCAAAGTGCCTCCGTTTCGCCACTTGATCCGTCGTTGGTGCAATCGTCAACTTTGGACCTCACCCGACCCTCCCACTACACTGGTGGTTTCCTGTCTCTTCCCCCCATCCCTCCTCCTGCAAACCCTATGCTGCCTCGGCTGAGCCATATCCACCTTGCCTTCGAGGCGCTTCCAATCTCAAACCCTGATATCTATGCACTGGCTACCCTCCAGACCCTGCTCGGAGGTGGCGGTTCTTTCTCGGCTGGTGGACCCGGCAAGGGCATGTATTCCCGTCTCTACACCAACGTTCTGAACCAGCACGGATGGGTTGAAAGCTGCATCGCATTCAACCACAGCTACACGGACAGCGGAATCTTCGGAATCTCTGCTTCCTGTAGCCCGACCCGGACGACTGAGATGTTGGAGGTCATGTGTCGCGAGTTCCAGGCTCTCACTCTCGACAACGGATACCAAGCCCTGCAGCCACAGGAGGTTAACCGTGCGAAGAACCAGCTTCGTTCATCGCTCCTGATGAACCTGGAGTCGCGTATGGTGGAATTGGAGGATCTCGGACGTCAGGTTCAGGTCCACGGCCGCAAGATTGGTGTTAAAGAGATGTGCGCGCACATTGAGGCTTTGACTGTGGAGGACCTTCGCCGGGTCGCCAGACAGGTCTTCGGTGGCCTTGTCGAGAACAAGGGACGAGGCACCGGCAAGCCCACTGTTGTGTTGCAGGAAGGCGAGCTGGAAGGCTACAAGCTCCGCCCCTTCCCCTGGGAGGAAATCCAAGAGCGGATTGCCAGGTGGAAGCTTGGACGGAGGTAATTTGCTAGACAGTTGATGCCGACATGATAGCAGGTCCTGTAAAACAGATAATCCCGGACAGTATCAGGCCGGTGCTGTTCAGCGTTCTATGTGTATCGGATAGAGAGGGAGGGATGTATCGGGTTACGTTTTTTCTTCACTCCATGTAATTAGAGATAGCCATGTATACAATTATGTACAATATATATTACCATCCGTTGTGCTATCTCACCCAATGAAAGAATCATGAAGGACTGTACGGAGCAGATACGTACTGTGAAAGGATTCATCGGCTGGAGAGGTCGAAGCTCCTTACCGCATTGAGTTCGTTTCCGCCCGGGAAAAAAGTTGGAACGGAAGTTCGAATCCGCCGGCCTCCATCAATCTCCGTCTGTCCTCAACACTTTCCTCCATCGCCTCGAACTTCGCCCGTGCTCCCTGCAAACCACTCCTTCACCTATCCATCCTCCTATTCCACCTTCACCTCCACCGTCACAATGGTCAAGCTTACCGAAGTCGAGGATGAGCACTTCTCCCAGGAGAAGCCTCAGCCCAGCAAGCACAACGTCCTTCTTACCTCGGACGACGAGGATGAGGACGACTACACTGACACCGGTTAGTATATTGACATTCTGATTAAAGAAGAACATCCAATTTAGCACCCATTTCACGCGAGCAATCGCACGCCTACCTCCATACTCCGCGCAACATCCGCACGAACCATCTATCCATACCGGAGTGATCCATCCATCCATCCATCCATCGGCGCAGTCATCCGAGACATATGAAGACCATCTTCTAACATGCCGTTCACGCAGAATCCGAGATCTCCGTTGAGTCTGACCTTGAGCTCGACACCGAGACCTTCTACGACCGTCTCTATGCCTTGAAAGACATTGTTCCCCCCTCCACCCGCCGCCAGTTCACCAGCACTGTCGACGCCGTCACCTCCTTCACAAAGTCCAGCGTCCTCTTCAGCGGTAAGGCGCTGTGGATCCTCAGCACCAGCGCCTTCCTTCTCGGTGTCCCGTGGGCTCTGGCCTACGCCGAAGAGGAGCAGTACATCCAGATGGAGCGCGAACAGGGCATGATCAAGGGTGCTAACGAGGTATGTCACCAACCATGATCTTTTTGTTCTTCATTTCGATCGATTCAGACTCTTGTCTCTTGGCTGTCGCCATTATTTATTTCGTTATGCTGCCGATTCCGGGGGCAATTGGAAATGACGTGAAAACTCTTTTCCGTTGTTATCGCGTGCCAAGAAAGAAAAACAGACGTCATCGGGGTCGTCTATGCGTGTTTTATGTTTCTGAACTCTTCGGAGCAACGACTAACCATATTATTTTTTCCCGTAATAGATGCTTACGCCCGGCCTCCCTGCTGGTGAAGAGAAGCCGGCTCAACCCTCCCTGTAAATGAATCTCGCCGTCAAAGACGAAGATCGCAACAGGTGGGAATAGATAATGCGCCATGGCCTGTGGAACCACCATAACACCGCTCTGAACTGAAGCCTGTTCGAAGCCGCCTGTTGTTAGACCTACGATTTATCACGAATTGCATTGGTCTGCCTGAGGCGGAATGTCGAAATCACGGCGATGACGAAGTCTTTATGCGCGAAATTAGTCGATCGATCTCTTCCAAAAATGAGCGGGAGAATAATGATTTAGCAATGCATGATCCGGTATATGTTGGGTTAAAAGCACGTGTACAAAATGGGGATTCGAAATACATTCGGGAGGAAACACAGGCCTAGAATTTGACCTGCTCACACTCGCGAATATATTCATTTCCTTTCAATCGTTGATTTGGGCTAGCGCGGCATAAGAGAAAAAGAGATGGCGTGGTTCCATCTGGACATGAAATTATCTTGCTTACCTGTTACTGTTCGGAGTCTCTGGCATCACTTTTCTCCTCTCAACCTTTTATTCCAGAACTCCTGGTTTGGGCGACGTGTGTATTTCTATACTGGTTTATTTCCCCCTTTTTTTTTCTTTGTTCTTTTCGTTTATGTCTATTTTCACTATTTTTGGACTCATGTTTCTAGATAATGAAATGTGAATGATCTTCAGACTTATTAACTTCGAGACTAAGAATAAACCGTAGGGGCCAACTTAATACCCTTCTTATCATGATAGAAGTAAGAAAGCAAGGGAAGCCGAAGAATAACAACAGAAAGAAATAGGGTATCATAGCATCACAGAAACAGCCCAGGAATGAAATCCATATGGACAATGAGAATGGCGTAAAGGCGAGGTAGAGAATTATGTGAAGTAGGGCTGACTGTCCAGAAACCCATGAATATGTGCAACTGAACATTGCACAACAGGTGCAAGAAAAGGGTTGGAGCTATTACCCAAGAGTCTATAACAAGATTAGCATCCATATGTCGACATAACAAATCGTCTCCAATGATCTAACGTACCGTGGTTTCTCTGGCGGTTCGCAGGTTGATGTGAAAATCACGCCAGAGCTTCTTCACTTCGCCGTCCTCGATCATCGATTCGAATACTCGGACGGCTTTCTTGATCTGCCGCTTTTGACTCCAGTTATTGCGCTTAACGATTGCTGCGTCGGAGAGGTGGCCCTGGTGTTCGAGGTAGCCGGTAACCCACTCGTTGAGATGGAATCGCCAGTGGGTTAGTGTGTGGGCTAATGTGGCTTTGTTTTTGCAGTGGCTGGTTGGAGGAAGGAGGTATTAGTTATACAGCGTTCTGGAAGTGGTGGATGGGGGTGAGCGGTTCCTTACCGTCCAAGAAAGAATCGGGTGTTCTCGTCTGGTAAAACATGGCCGTCTCGGTCTCTTTCTTTATCGTCGTGTTCCTCGCCGCGTTCCTCATCGCTGTCGTCCTCGTCGTCGTCGTCGGAAAGCGGCTCGAGTGTCTCTAGTGAGTAGGCTCGTCCGTATAATTTGATGTCGAACGAAGCCGGGTGTCCGGAGCGGTTGCAGGCATCGCATGGATGGTTCTCTATTGTTGGGAAGGTTGTGATCTCAATCTGAGGTCGGGCCAAGAGAGCTCTCCGAAAGTTGGCGTTCCAAACCGATGAGACTAGCTGTGATCCGGTACGACCCTTTACTTCATCTTCGAGTTTGCTGAATGCGACTTCGTAGACGGGGTCAGAGCGAGGGAAAGCTGGGTTGAGCTGATTGTGCACCATCCATTCGACCGCATCTTGAAAATAATCCTTGAGTTGCTTGTAGGCATGTCTGGAAAACTCGATGGGGATGTCTTCTAGCCCTGTAGGCGCCCCCAGGGTATCATCGTCGTCTTCTAGCACAAAGTCGTCTTCATAGCGGTCCAGGTCGTCATTGCTTGCAATCGCAGATTCAACGTCACTGTCTTCTTGCCGGTCACGGAATCGGATTGGCCGGTTTGGAGTCGCCTTGTCACTTTCAGCTTCACCCTCATCTTCACCCTCACTTTCGCTCGACCTTGCTGCCTCAGAGTCACCTTTAGACTTTTCTGTATCCGATTGTGTCTTTCCTGCCCTCCGGCGACGTAGAGCTTCCAGGTGTTGTTGTCTCTGGGCCCGTGCTGAGTTCGCGAATCGACCTCGAGTTCGGGTATCCTTAACCACTGTAGCGAGATCCGTCAGTGACGAGCACAGGCTGTCTGAAATTTTGTTCTTGTGATCATACCTGAGTCTTGCAAGGCCTCGAGGTCCTCCTCTATATCTAGTTCATCCTGGCCTACTTTTCGACGTGGCGTTTGTGGAACATCGGAGCTCACATTAAGTCTCCTGCGTTTTATGGGAGAGGAGAGAACCGGCTCCTCCTCTGATCCATCATCTTCAACCACAATGGCAGCTTTAGGGGCCACACCACGTCTCAGTTTTCGTCGAGACATGGGGACTACCTCATCTGCGTCGCTCTCTTCAGCGACAGCGGCAGCGGCAGCGGCATTCTGGGAGGCGGGGGGAGGAGAGTCGGAACTAGATGTGTCTGTTCTCTTGCGCTTCCGAGATCCTTTCTGTGGGGTTTTGCGCACACTGCGGACAATATCTATATCGCTTTCGCTATCCTCAGCAGGTTTAGAGGTCTTTTCCGGGGTATGTTTCGGCGAGGGGCTCTCTGTTCATGTCCCACTAGGTCAACATGACACTAATCACTTAGAACCTTTCGCAAACTCACTGTCAGGCTGAGATCGACCTCGCCGTAAGACTGGCTTGGAAGGATGCGCATAACGCAAGTTCGCCCGGCGATCCGTCTCACCATCTGAGTCTTGCTCACTTTTCGGTGGTGGGGAGCTTACCGGAGCGAAGGCAAGCCGCGTCTGCTTTTTCTTGCCGTATGTGCGGGGCATCGGTGGTGGCGCAGGGATCTGCGATGCGTAGACTTGAAAAGCGTGATGATAACTGGATAAAAGATGCTGCTTTAGTAGTTGCCGCAGATGATAAGGATCAAGATGGGTGGCTGTGATTAGAGGCCGTCGTGATTGATTTGAATATGAGAACTGGTGTCTTAATTGGCCGCGACAAGGTCGCGTCGCAGTGTCACGAGAGCACGTGATGGTGGCTAACTGTAATCATCGCCTAAAGAAGTCAATGACAACTCACAACGAGCTGTTGATGCATACAGTAAAAGGTGATGCACAATAATTGACCTCATGGAAAGTATGAATATTGGGCGATTATTATTCATTTCAGCTGCATTATGTGCTCTAATAGTCTCTTATATACATATCATCCTCGCCCCCAAAGATCCTGGGTTATGAATCGGCTTAGAATTATAAAAAACTACAGTGAAGTACAGATATCTGACATTTAACTCCGTCCTCAGCGACTGTGAAGAATGAGAGTCACCAAGTTTGTGGTTTCTACCATGAGGCTTTGGTGAACAAGTTTGGATGCGAAATCGGTCTCCTATACGGAGCGGATTACCCATTGTTGCATCAGTACTGTTTCCTCTCACGGGTTGCAGCTTCCTCAATAATCATGGCCTGTTCAGGGACTGGCTTCCTATGTCATCAATGAAGCCCCGGGCATATTCACATTCTTTCTGCTGACCAAAACCTCGTCAACAGCATTTTAAGGAGGCAATTTCTTGCATAAATTCCATCTTATTGAGCCATTCTATATCTCTTCCCATGTACTGTCAACAGCGCCTATTTGCATTTCTTTATGCAGTATTGGGGGCTATCTCCAATACTACTCAAGGAAGCCCACCTGCAACCCCATTCGACGCGACAAGTGGCAATGCTTATCTAGCTTCATGCTCCAGTTCCTTGACTGGTAGTTCAGAATACGTCACAATAGCGCCGATTCACGGTCGGGACGGACCCGGCTGTGCAATATCCTTGTCTTGCCCTGTGAGCTTAAGAGCAATACAAGGGGCCGACACAGAGAGAGAGAATATCATCGATCATGCTCATGGTGCAAATGCAGCCAAGGCGACTTTCAGGCTCAGCTTAATGATCTCAAATGTGGGGGAACGGCCAATATATCTGCGTCAATGCGAGACTGTGATGGAACAGTTCATTTTCGAAAGTCCAGAGAAAGTCATCTATGATCCGATGGCCGATGCCCGCCTTCTAGTGCCTCCTCAACTCGAGAAAGCTGCCCTCCAAGTATACCGCGCAAAGAGAAGACTGTGGCAGAGGAGATCACAAAACGAGGCTGATAAGGCCGAAGCTGAGAAGGTCCCGCAAGCGGATTCTCCGACGCAAGGATACCATGGTATATTGAAATATATCATTGGAAAGATGGAGCATGGCATGACTCGACTCAAGAGGAACGAGAATGAGACCAGCGCTCCGTTTTCTTCTGTCCTGAGTAAGAAACAACCACCTATCCAACGGGACATGTACAGCCTTGGGCCTACCTGTGAAGATAACATCTGCGAGGGGAATGATTGGGAGAAGATATGCGTCTCGAGTCATATCCCAACAACTAGAAAGGACCAATGTATTATGTGCTACCCACGAAAGCACATGGCGCTTGTACAGGACTATTGTCAACAGCAGAAGTATAGAGAGCTCGACGTATTTTACAAGTCATGCGCACTTTTGGGCGCATCGATAATTGGGGCTACACTTCTATTCCTGCTGCGTGAAATATACAGACGGCTTCGAATGCGCTATCAAATCCTTCAGAGCATATGCCGCCGCAGTCAACTACCGGGAAACACTACCACGAAACCCGGGCTTTCGTCTACGCGTGGTATCGATGCAATGGCATCTTTGATTCCCGGGGTCCCCAAAGCGTGGCGGGAACCGCGACAGGCACCCAATGGCACTGCTGACAATGCCGAAACCCCTACAGTCACTGATACAGTTATACAGCAGAGATTCAGGCGATTCGGACCTTTTGCAAGAGATGCTCGCAGGAGGGTCCAGGACATCTTCGACCTGGAATCATTTGAGGGATATCGGAATGAGCCAGAATCGGGTACTAGGATACCGGTACTCCCACGAGCTCATAATGCCAGCTTACGAAGACATGCCACGGGCTCGCGATCTCGCACAAATTCTCATTCCAATAGAAATGCGGGGTCGGGGGGTAATGTGATGGAGGACAACAGGACTTACTTAAGGCCTACACCTCAGCAGGGCTATTTTGACTGAGGCTAGTGGACAACCGGTTTATGTGACTTTTGCGATTCAAAGTGTTAACAAACAAATGTATGTACTATTCAGTATGAGACCATATGAGTACCAGTGCAGTCGCAAGGGGTGTATTACGCATTGATGGCTGGTGTAGCCCTACGCAGGAGCATGGCGCCTGCCTCGGGATGGCCACGACTCGAGTCCACCTCCAACAGCCAAAGGGCGCTAGTTGTCGTTCAAAAGTACCGGTGGCACTTGCGCTTAGCCCAGCTTCATCTGCTTGTATCCCGGGAGGTTTATCGCCTCGTGGGCCATTGATTATTCAAAGCTCGGTGTTTCTCTGGTATGTCATGTCTGCCACGGCCGTGGGATACGGGGTGGACTAGAAGGGCCATGAATCAAAAACGGGCGGATGGAAGAAAGACTGACAGGAATACGAGACCTGGCTGGGGATGAGTTGGGGGAATTAATTTCAGGGGGGATCAGGGCCCTGTCTCGTGACCCAGCCCGTTGCCATCGAGGCCAGCCATCTCCATTTTCCTTTCCTTTCCCCCCTCTCCACTCCTCCGCCTTTTTCTTATTCCCACTGACTTCCATGTGACACTTCAAGCACTGGTCCTATCAATCCCCTTGGTTTCTTCCATTGGTGGACCCTCTTTGACCCCCTTACCAGTCATCTTGCCGCTGATTCGTGGAAAGCCCCCTCGATCTCTGCCGCGCCTGGCTCAGAATTTCCTCGAATCTCAACCCCGGATTTCTCCACATTACGACCACCCCAACAATGGCCCCATCTGGGGGAAGCACTCAGCACTAGCAGCTCCCCAGTTTGGCCCACTCCCAGATACCCCGCCACCGACAAAATCCTGGAGTCGAATGGTCGAATGTTGTGCCCTACCCACCGCTTGATTGGGGAGGGATGCTAGGGCCCTGGGGAGCCCAGCTCCCCAGGAATGTCTCTGCGTTAGCGTCCACCCGAATCCTGGATCCAGTGCTATAGCGCCTTATGGCTTGATATGGTGCTTGCCACCTGGCTGCTGGCACGCGGCATGGTAGCTTATCTAGCTGCATGGTCGGTGCACCTCCGCAGGCTGGGATATATATACCCAGAGCCGTAGTACGCACCTGTCTCTCACTTTTTCCCCGGTACACACCATTGCTGGTCTTTCGAGCAGTCTTTATTGACTGGCCTAAGCAGCTGCCAGGTCCATTGAGCATCTAGAAGGCATATCGATCTGCTACTGAGGCGCACTTATCTCATCACGCAGTCTTTACTGCCGCCATGATGGGATTCAATTTATTCCGCTCAAAAAGAGCGTACAACTGGTACTCACACCCATTTTCATTATTTGACTAGTCGTAAACTAAAGTATGTTTAGGTTCATCTCCCTCGTCGCAGCAGCATGCATGGTCCTATATGGCTACGATGCATCCGTCTATAACTCTGTCCAAGGCTCGAAGAACTGGGTTGCCTACTTCAATAACCCGGGAGAGAACATGATCGGAGGTGTGAACACGGCCTATACTGTGGGTGCAATCGTTGGCGGTTTCTTCTTGGGCGGCCCCATTGCCGACTTCCTGGGTCGCAAAATCGGAATGGCAACCGGGTGTGTCTTGGTCATTGCGGCCACATTCATGCAGTGCTGGGCGCCTCGGGGTGACATTGCATGTTTCCTTGCTGGGAGATGCATCATTGGTATTGGCCAGGGTATTGCACTGAGTAAGTTGGATTATCCATTGGCACAGATCGGAAAGCCCTCGCTGACACTTCATAACACACAGCTGCGGGTCCCATCTACATCGGTGAACTAGCACCCCCCGAGATCCGCGGAAAGATCATGACCATGTGGCAAATGTTCTACTCTGTGGGTTCCTTTATCTGCTTCTGGGTGAATTATGGATGCACGGAACACTCAAAGCACCTGGGAGAATGGGACTGGAAGTTAGTTGTCATCTTCCAGCTCCTGGTCCCGGTGATCATTCTCGCTATCTTGCCTACTATCCCCGGCTCGCCCAGATGGTAAGCTAAACCCTGCATCAGAAATAGCCTACGGTATAATAACAGTCCAAGGTACATCCAACGCGGCAATAACGTCGAAAAGGCCCGCGCGGCTCTCCACAGAGTCCGAGAGACCGATGATGAGGTTGAAGACGAGCTACTCCGAATCCGCGAGGCCATCGAGTATGAGAAGGAAGCCATCTCCGGCAGTTACGCCGCTGTCTGGAAGGACAAGTCCCTCCGCAAGCGCATGGCCTTGGCTCTGGTCATCAACGCCGGCCAGCAAGTCAGTGGACAGGGTACACTGAACACCTACTCCACGAAGATCTACGAGAAGGTTTTCAAAAGCGCCAGTCAAATCGCACTCATCAATGCTCTCAACGCCACATTTGGTATTCTCTTCACTCTGAATGCCGTCTGGATCATCGATCGCTTCGGACGCAAGTTCCTTCTCATTGTCGGTGGCATCGGCATGGGCATCTGCATGATCATCGTTGCAGCTGTAGAGACCGAAACACCCTCACCAGGGGGAGCAAAGACCGAACCCGTCGGCATATCAATCGTATTTTTATTCTTCCTCTTCATCTTCTTCTGTATGTCTCCCTACTACCCCCCTGAAAATCACGACTAACCGATATACCTTAGACAAACCCTCCTGGGGCGCCACCATCTGGATTTGGACCTCGGAAGTTTTCTCAATGAACGTCCGCGCCCAGGCAGTGGGAATGGCCTCCCAGACCCAAAACGTCGCCAACGCCATCGTCCAACAATTCTTCCCCACCTTCATCAACAACTGCGGCTTTTATGCCTTTTACATGTTCGCGGGCATTTGCTTCCTTCTCGCCCTGTTCGTGTACTTCTTCATCCCTGAGACTAAGCAAGTGCCGCTCGAGGAGATCGATGCTCTCTTCGGTGGTGCGAATCACGTCACGCAGGGTGAGGATCTCATTTCTTCTGAGAAGCAAATGCACATGATGCAGCAGGATTCGGGGATTGAGAAGCCGAATGCGGTTACTGTTGAGGATGCACGGCGTTGAATGAATAAACTTTTGTCTTCCAGTTTAAAACTATTACGGATGGCATTGGCGGACTACGTGAATAATCAATCAATTTTGGATTTGCGCTGCTGGTACTATATACTGACCAACTCTCCCTTGTACAAACTCCTAGAACACCTACTATATGTACTAAATACCAATCAATATCATCACCGCACATACACCGTCCTAACCACCAACTCTCCCCCACCCCCGACAACCCTCTCCCTAAGCACACACTCCCACCCAACAATCGACACCCCATCCAGATAAAAAACATAATCATACTTCGGATCCCTCTCCTTCTCCCTCTGAACATGAAGCCCCCCCTGTCTCGCACGAACCACATACCTCCCCCTCTCCTCGCCCTCGCTCGCCAACCCGAAAATCACTCCATGCGAGAACATCCCCGCATGAAAAGGATCACTATCCACATCCCAAACAAGGAAATTTCCGTTTTTCTTTGACCAGGTGCCTTCCACGAGACGGTAGATGGATCTGCTCCTTGTACTTGTGCTTTTGCTTGTGCTTGTTGCGGAGTGGGTTTCTTCGTACACGTATTCTTTTTCGTAGAACGGGGTGGATGGGTGCCGCGGGTGGAAGGTTGCGTGGCCGGTTGTTGTTGTTGTTGTTGTTGTTGTTTGGGAGTGGGTTTGTTTGGGGTGGGGGGTTGGTGGTAAGGGGAGGGGGAGGGGGAGGGGGAGGTGGTAGTGGTGTGGATTGTTCGGGTGAAGGTCCAGGTTCCGTGGAGGGATCGGAAGATGGCTGTGCTCATGCCTAGGTTGAGGTTGTTGGGGGTGGGGAGGATGGTGTTTTGGAGGGTTTTGATGGTGGAGGTGCTTTGGCGGTTGATGAGGGTGGAGAGGGAGAGGCGGTCTGAGGGGTCTGGGGGTGAGAAGGGGGTTGGGATGTAGCGGGAGGGGATTACGGGGCCGGGACTTGAGTTGGGGTTGAGGTGGTGGTCGGTTGATGATATTGGGGAACGAGGGATGTTGAGCTCCCTGGCGAGGGATTCCATGAGGCCTACGTAGTCGCCCATGGGGAATTGGCTGCGGCCGAGGCCGGGGTTGTTGGTTCGGAGGGAACGGAGGAGGCTTCTCTCGTGGGACCTTTGGAGGAGTTGATCGTTGGAGAAGTAGGGGCCGGTGAAGGATGGGTCTTTGGCCCATGTGCTTGCTAGGCTTCGGGCTTGCATTTCCATCACGCCCCAGTAGGGTCCGCGGTAGAAGCCGACGAAGCCGAGGTCGGGGACTTCGGCGTGTGAGGTGCCTTTTTCGTCGAGGATGAGGGGGAGGAAGGGGTCTTTGGTCGAGTATTCGAGGGTGGAGAGGATGGATGGTGGGAGGAAGCTGAGGGAGGAGAAGGGGGTGTAGCCGGTGGCGGTTATTATGGCGGTGATGTTGGATATGGTCTGGTGTTCGCCGTTGGGGAGAGTGACGGTGAGAGTTGATGTGCTGTCGATGCTGGAAACTCGGCCGATGGTGACTTTTATGAAGCCGGAGCGGACGTGTTCGGCGTAGTCGTCTCCTATGGCTATCCAGGATGGCTGTGGATCTTGGTTCTCGTTGTTGTTGATCCCAAAACTGCCGATCTTCGCGTAGTCGTCTCCGAGGATGGAGTGGAAGTATGCGTTTGTTTTGCGTATCTGTTGCGTGGAGAGCGGTCCGAGACCGTATTCAACTGGGCCGGGAGGACGCCGGGCTAGGTCGTAGAAGACGAGGTCAAGGGGGAGGAATTGTGTGTCTTGTGCCTCTGTGGGATCCTGGAAGCCTTTGTGAGGGAGGTAAGTAGGTACCGTCCAGAAGGGCCTTGAAGAAATGTGGTGCACTTCGTAGTTTCTGCCGGATCGAGTCACGGGTGGAACGAAGTCCATCGAAGATAGGTTGAGAGCCACTGTAGAAGCAGCTTCGACTCCTGACATACTGCCTCCGATGACCACCAGCTTACCCCCCGAGGCACCGGTTCTCTCAAGCAGCTTATAGACACCATCAGTGGTCTGCACTTCGGAGCTGTGAACGACCTTATCAGCAACACTAGCGAGGCCAGGTATATCCGGAAAGTGTGCTTTCCCGAAATATCCAGAAGTGACGACAAGGTAGTCGAACTGTTCTGATTCTATTTCAGAACTCTCATATATCATACCACTACTGTCTATGCTACAGTCCAATTTAGCCCATGTCCCATGATGAATAAACACATACATACCTTCTTGAAGTCCATTGTACCGTCCATCTAGCTCTTAACCCATCCGTTTCGCGAACTGTACGCACGACTTCCTTCCCCAGCCTCAAAACCCCCTTGGGTATATATAGATCTGCGTACTTCTCCAGGTACTTGCCCACCTGTCTCGCCTGCGGGAACATGGACAGCTCCTCATCGCCCATAACAGACTCCCAGGAAAGGTCGGAGAAGGCCACCGTGAACCGACTTAGATTCGTTCGTGCCCATGGGTTGATCCGTGGCTCTGCTCCATGATTGACCCCGATGGGCCAAAGTCCACCGATTCCGTAATTCTTCTCGAATACACTAGGAATGAATGTTCCATCGGGGAAGCTGTGGAGGAGCGTTTTGGCTGTCACTAGTCCCGATGGGCCGGCGCCTGCGGGTCTCTGTTAGATAGTTGCCACGAATTGGGTCGTCATGAAGTTTGGGTCACTAACCGATGATGGCAACCTTCTTTGGCTGGACCATTATATATACTTGCCTTGGTCCAACGAAGGCTGGGGATGATAGATGGTGGGTGAGGCGGTTGTTGATGTGGGCGGTTGGCAGAGAGATGTTCCCCTCAGCTGGAATTACCCCTCATCACCGCGCCGCTAAGGAACCCCTGTCACTAGCCTTGGTTGGTGATGCAGGGGCATGGAGGCAGTCACAACTGCAGTTGCTGACTGCATCGATTGTTGGCGGTGTGGTAGTGGCTGGTAATCAAACATTGGTGGCAACAAACCAATATATTTCGGAGTGCCAACCGAGCGCATATTGAAGCTACTGTCAGGTATTCCACATCAGGCAAGAAACTGACAACAACAACAGATCATATAATTGGTTCAATTATCTCATATAACAACCAGTCGATAGAAATCTAGACAGAACCAACCCCCTCTAAACCTAGAATGGCCCCAGGTACCTTGCAAAACAGAACCAGCTAACGGCCAAAAACATCCAACCAACCTCTCAGTACATATGAAATATTGGATATCGAGTGATCGTAAGTGTTCGTGAGTGGGATGTTGAGGATCCTTCAAAGATCAGATAACAAGGATAGACATCTCAACCATCATCATAAAAATATCGTCAGAGAGGGAGAAGGGAAGAAGAAAAAACCTTCGGATAGGATAGATAGATCAATGGATGACGAGGAAATAGAAAGAATGCAAAAAATGAAGCGGCCCGAGCCGCGGATCGAACGCGGGACCTCTCGCAGATATGCTTGGGTTTGCAGGCGAGTTGCCATCCCTAAGCGAGAATCATACCACTAGACCACCCGGGCGTTATTTATTGGAAAGCGCTTTCATTTTAAGGCTCATGACACGGGTAGAATTGGATGTGATTCCCAGGAAGACAGCGCCTCGCGTCTGGCGTCGACACCTGCATACTTGGCGGCAGAGTGCAGTGCATGACGTTAATGCCAAGAAAAGACCCCACGACAAGTAAACGACACCGGTTTGTATATCCTTGATAAGATGGTCTGGTCGGCCAGCGCACTGAGACGTAGACGAAAACTGCCGATCTTCGACCCTTATTTCTCCTCAAAATTGTTGCCGAGCGTCTTGGTTCGAGGATGGGATGGGCGAAGGAAAGTCGGTCTTGGAGGATATTCCCCGCGGGGTGATGTAAGGATGGTGCGTATCACTAGGATAGTCGCTCAAGCCATGCAGAGATCTGCAGCTCTCTGCTATGATTACCAGGATAGCAAGCGTCGGTGAACCGCTGCTCCGTGACAAGAGCATCGACATTTCTCTCAGTCAAGGGAACCTTCAAGCGATTCTTTTGCTTAAGGAGTTCTTTCTCAGCACGCGCAGAGGACGATAGTTTCTGAAGCGTATTTCGAATGCGTCGTATTCCTCGGCCTGGGAAATGTGGGATTTGGGGTGGTCCGAAGGGGGTGTCCACCTTCCAGGGGTCCTCGGAGGCGATAGACCGAGCGTTCTTCTTGCGTTGCTGGGAACGGAATCTGTTGGACATTTTGAAGTCTCACACGTGCCGAGGGGTGATTCTGTTGAGGCCATAGACCGAAGGGTGGTACGTGGGAGAGGTGAGGGTGGGGGGCACCACGGTTGTGGCATAGAGGGAATATATAGCTGAGTGACTTCTCTATCTACTACGAATTACAATGTACTTCACGGAGGCCCACGGGAAAGGGTCACCGGGACAGACATGGATAGCGCGGAAGGGCAGTGCGGGGGCACTAACCAACATAAACCCACGCTAGCCTGAGCCTGTCTGGACGTGAAGGAGGGTTTTGACGACATGGGGGTCCCAAGAATTCCGCAAGTGTCACAGCACTGATCTGCATGCCAGTCGGATTGTAAATGAACTGTCGTGATACAATCCCCCCTTGACATGCAAGCAGCTGCAGAAAGAAAGGAAGAAAGAAAAATTCAATCAAAGTTTACAGGACAACGTCATTGGTGACTTGGCTAGTTCATTTCCAAAGTTTGAAGCAGACCCTACGCTAGTGGATCTACTGCCCACTTGTAGATCTTATCCCACATCGTCTCTTAATCAAGACTGTCGTTTACAGAGCCAAGGCTTAAGGTAGCTTCATTTTGCCTTGGCAATCAATGCAGTGCGAGTATTATGTGTTGAGATCGAAGGGATCATGGACCCGCAAGATACCAAACTATAATAGCCACCATTCTTTTCAGTTCCATGAGCTGCACTTTAGTACCATGCACAGACTCTGCTGTCATTGAATGCTTAGCTAGTTTAGTTGCCTTCAGTCGGGACGGGGATTGCCTGTTCGGACTCGAGCCAACCCTTCCTCTGCGCCAGGGATCCTGAAGGATTCATGCATGTCTGGGGCTTGGCGAAGAAGTATGGTTGAAATACAATCTAGGTAGAGGTACCTCTTACGGAGTACCCCCTACCAAAATGCGGAATGGGGTTTCCCTGTCATTAGAAGACACCACGAGCATCTTGGGATCCCGCGGGGTATTCTGAGCCGATCAAATGGAAGTTGTCACTGAAACACCACAGTGAATGGTGATGTACTCCAGCCAAGGACAAAAGCAAACATTTGTCGCCCACAACTCCATTCTCTCCCGATGGCTTCTGCCACAAGGCGTCCGCTGTATCCCACTCGCTTACGAAATCTTCAGGTAGCAACAACCCACGGAGGGCGGAGGGCCCTGGAATCTGTGTGGAAGGGCCAAAGAAGCCCGATCAAGTGCGGGGTAAGGGACCAACAGCCGCATCTAGACACACCCCGATCCCTGCTGGATATCGGAAGTCCGGCAAGTTTTCTGACTGGTTTACCTCCTCTCAAATCGGAGGCCGCAGGTAGTCAAGTGATTGTTGCCGGGCTGTCACATTCTTCCAGACCCTGGGAATTATCGGGTTGGTTGTACGGCTTACCTACCGTGGGAATAGCCCGACCGAAAAGGTACGACCTGGTTGCTTGGCTGGACTTGGCTTCACTCCTGTCGTGACCATGGATATCGCTGTAATTGTCGTAAGCAGAAGACTATTATTAGGGAGTTTATTAAACCTTATCAGGACGTGCCGCTAGACAGTCGGATCATTTTACAAGTTAGAGCACCTCGCAAGAGCCGTATTTGAAACACAACCGTTACTTGCATTGGACCAGCCTGCATACCTGAGACATATACCTGAAGACAAAGCAAGAGCGCCGGCCCAACCGTTCGTTCCCCATCCTTGTGATAAATACACTGCGCGCCAATTTATACCCATGACTCGCTACCGGGACCTCATGAAAACTTGTGAAGAAACAAAGAACGACAACCCGACCATGGAGAGGGTGAGATCCACTAAGACTAAGAGATAAGCAGATCCTTAACACTCATCCCGATCTTCCTTTGTGGGTCCTGGATGTGGGGGGTTCCAAGCTCCCGCGACCGGGGAAGGGAATTGGCGGGCACGTCATGAACCGAGCCTACGGATCCCCAGCAGTCTCGATTCAGCATAAGCAGGGCAGCGGATGCTTCATGGTCAACATCGGCTGAAGATGCGATGGAGTACCGGGGTTGGACCACTGGGGAGGTGCTGGAGGAAGACATAGCCCATGAACTATGCCCAGAGCGCGTTGTACCTTGAGGTGGGTGGGTGGGACCTAGTGCAGGGCTCGGCGTGAATGATGATGCAAAGTCAGTCACTGTCCCTGTAGGACCACGACTTCGAGGCGAGAAAAGAGGTGAAACTGCATCGGTAGTGGCGTCGGTTGGAGGTAGTTGTGGGGACACGGATGGCGAGGATGAAAGACCCGATTCTTCTGCCAGAGCTTCAGGAGATGTTGGCGAAGGAGGAGCGGGGGGCATTGGTGGAGAGGCCTGTGTGTGTCGACTGCCGGCGGTTTTGAGATCGAGAATACACTGTTCTAGATAGTTGACATAGTCAATGCTTGCCTAGATAATCGAACATGATTAGCAATTTGAGTAAGAACTAAGATGGTCAAGAAGAGAAGGACTGACGAACCTGTAAGATCGCGAGTTTGTGCATGTCTTGTCCTTTGCAAGCCGGAATCATGTCTTTTAGGGTAGCGAATTCCTCATTCATCTTTGACCTCCGCCGCCGTTCGATCAAGCTGTGAGCAGTCTTCCTTGCAATTTTTCGGCTAGCTGCACTCGTTGCGCTGGGCTGTTTCTTCTTGGAATTGGTAGATGTGGCACTGTTAGATGAGGTCTTGCTGGTATCCTTTGCGGAGGCTTTGTTGGCTGTTGCGGTCGGCTTAGGTGGGGGTTGAGTCTTGGGTTTCATCTGAATGATTTTGCGAGTGCGTGTGGGGGGTGGTGGGAGATTAAAGTCCTCGAGGGGTCTCTTGATGCCGGCCTGACGGGGAGGATTCGCCATGATGCTTACTGCGAGGCCGGGGGATGTTGGAGATGCTGGGAAGCAAGCGGATGATCTCCTGCTAGCGCTTTCCATCCTAGACGGACTGATGGCCGCTGGAGGTAATGTGAACGAGTCGGAGACATCCACCGATGCATTGTCCTTGACTATGAACTCCCCCGACATGGCAGGGGTCGGTGGCAGGCGAGAGCGTGACATGGTCTATCTGGGAGTGAAACAACGTCTGATGTCAACCTAATTATTTTCCCACCCGACGGGCTAATAGAAATGCGAATGGCCACGATGAAAGTAAAACCGGACCAATGATCGAGTTATGTTGAATGACAACCCGTTGAATGTCGTACAGTCGTGGCGGTAGAAGAAAAAGGAGATTAGGATAGGAGGAAGTGGATAGGTCGAGAGGGGGAGCTTGAGAGAGACAGCGGATGGTAAGAGCAGCAACAGTTATTTAAAGAAAGAAGGGAAATAGCGACGTGATAAGTGTTGGGGATTCTGAACGATAGAAAAAGTACTGCTGTCTGCCAAAGGATGGTACCTAGGTCTGAAGTTTATATGAGAGAGGAGAGGACGGTTGAAAGAGGCAATTGTTCAACGGGGGTACTAGTAAAGTTGGTGGAGGGGGAGGGATTGCGATAAGAACAGGTACCTCTTCTACGGTGTACTTGGCTGCTCCCAAATTCTAATCGGGATGATCGACCGGGGGGGGGTGTGGAAGGAATTCTGGATTTCGGGAAGCTTGCAGTCTGGTTGGACTGGGGATGATGCTACACTAGACCGTGGACGGCCCGGGGACTGGCCAGCGGCGAGCAGTCCAGTGCCTTCCCTAAGCGGAGGGCGATTCAAGTGTCGCGTGCTTGGAGAAGCCCACGCGGTAGCTTGCAGGCCCGCCATTGGTTCAACGGCACCACCGGGAGGGGGCACGAGACCGGTTGCCTGGGGCCAAATCGCCGACGCTTTTGGGGCTCGTGCTTCGGGTGAGTGTTCTTATGGGTTGTACGAGCTCCCGGCTCACGTCCCTTACTTTCGAGTCCGCTCTCCCCCCCATCGCTCCCAAATCCTATTACCCACGACGACAACTACAACGTGCCTACAGAATAATACCTATGGATGGCGCCCTCTTCACGAACTCGGAAGAACCCACAACCTTCGGATGCCGGAATGACACCTACCAAACACAGTCCCCCTTGACCTCCAAAGATGGGGTTCAGATCCCCTATTCCTTTGAGCTGGACTACCACCTAGATAAAATTGCGGAATGGACCACGCCCATCCGAATGGGACGCTAATTGGTGCTGTCTAAGAACTCAGAGGCTTGTCTCGCCACCGGAAGGACCCCCGGATCCTTTTCGATTGATATTAATCGGCGTGACGGCCAGATTCTTCGGTCTCATAACTACCCGAAGCATCCTCACGTCCTTCAACCCTGCTCGTGCTCCTAAGCAGACGAAGCGACAGGCGGGGCGAGGAAAATGTCAGGATCAAATTGTGAATCCTCCTAAGCATCGCTGTCTGCAAGGATCGAAGACGTAAAACAGAGTGGATCCATCTAATATCCCAGGCCGCGAGACTGAGCAGTTGCGTCGGAACTCAAGTGGTCATGATCTCACCCCGGCCTATTCTTGAGAGCTGGCGACGTCCTCGTCCAGACGGGGCATCGGAGCACGTGCGTGGCCTCTTCCCAACCAGTGGACCCTCTGGCCATGGGTCGCATGTGCGAGTCCCTTCCTAGGTACCACCTCCATACCCGAGCAGGCAGGTCTCTTCTTCTGCCTGGGCACTCTCCGCATCATTCTCGTCACGATCTGCCTAGCCAGATACCCGAGGTACGCCCCGACTGTTTCATCGTCACCAATCGCTGGCTTCTCAATTATGTACCAACGTCAGCTCAACGGCTATTGGCATCAGTTTGGTATCATTCCACTGCCTGCGGGAAGGCCTCGTAGCGGGGCAGAGCCACTACGCACAAGTCTATGCCCCGCAATACACCCATAGTCTATGCCTGGACTGTCGCTCGTCACGGTAGGTAGATTCTTCGGACTACTCGACTCGGTACATTCAAATGTACTGGAAATGGTGATATTGGTGGGAATCCTGGACCCAGTGTATGCAGCACTGCCTCCCTGCTTATCGTTTCCCCACCCATTGCCCTTCGACTTTGAAGTCGACACTGGATGATTTGAAGAGGCCTTGTAAGGTAAGACAAGTGCTCAGTGCCATACCCACGACAGCAATCTTCTGTCCGATTATTTCTTCTCGGCTAGAAGCTAGTATATGTGGACCTCCACCTAAAGCACTTGATCAATCATAGACACTGGGGTGTCTGGATCCGCTCATTTGCTGCATGCGAGAAAATTATGGATTAGAGCACCGGCCCTAAAGGTTCGTTTCCTTCATTTATCCCTAAACGACGTGGATCTTAATAAACTCTACCATTACTTTCTGGATAATTTACTTCCTTAATGACCATCGGGCCTCTATATATGTTTCGAGCAAAAAGACCTATCTACTATAGCACCCAGTCAAGACAGACTTGTGACTACAATATCCAACTCTCGTGAAGCACCACCTCATGTGAACAATTTTTGGAGGAGCACATCGCCAAAGGTGTCTTCCACTGGGGAGTTATCCATTCTCCAAACACGGTTTCCGGCCGACTGACTCAGCCATAGACCTTGATCAGTTGGGCTCTCCTCCTCAGCTTCAATACGGTGTCGGTTTCGTCGGTCGACGACACACAGGCCCCGCGTCCACTGCCCAGTAGTTTCAATGCGAATGTCTTCTGGTGATGTCGCTGAAGGTTTCCAGCCGTCATGTTCGGCGGTCATCGCATACCAGACACACACCGGGTCATGCATACTAAGTTCTGCAACATCACCCGTATGCCCTGGATGCAATCTCTCCAGCGTACGGAAACTATGGGCCATGAAAGCAGAGACCCATTCAGCCAGTGGCGATCCGGCCTCCAGGAGCGGTTTAATAGTCTTCCGGAACTGACCCTGCGTCACATTATGCCTTAAGGTAATGTCCAGGGGAAATATACGAAGAGTGAGTTGTTTGCTAAGCCTCGGGGGATACTGTGCCAGACTTGTCCCGGGCGGCAGTGTACTCTTGGGAGAAGGGGATGTGAGGGCATAAACTCGGGCAGCAGCGACTGCGTCTGCGTATGCATTGAATTCTGCAGCTGGAGTAACCTAGTAACAGTCAGCATACTATGACTCGATCGGGACCTGGTGAAGTGGGAGCGCACATTTCCCGGTTGGTTAATTGCCCCTCCCATTACTACCACCTCCTTAACCCGGAGGAAGGTCTCCGGCTCAGCAGAAGATGCCAATGCAAGGTTAGTAAGAGGACCAACTGCCACGAGTGTGACGGTGTCAGGGTCATTCTCTCTTAGGATACGAAGAATCTCCTCGTGCGCGGGACGCTTCGAAGGAATGAATGAGCGATGGGCCGGATCGCCCGTTGGGACAGGCTCAACCACGTTTGGATCAGCCGAAGGGTCGAAGAGATGTTCCCAAGTCTCTTCAGGGGTTAAGTGGGGATGCTGGAAATTCAAACGTCAGCAGTCTTGTAAGCTTGTAGGTTGAAAGCTAGCGCGCTTCACGTACACTGGCATGAATGCCTCCCAGACCGTCCATGCCATCTACAGACGGTTAGTATGATGCATCGTTCAAGGCGAGGTTATCATCTTCGGAACCCACGAAAGTAATCAGCCAGCATCTTCTGGTCCTCCAAGGGATCCGCTGCTCCTACGGCAACGACTGGGGGAGAAGCGCGGAGAGTGCCATAGCCTTCCGGCCGGCCTTGATCTCGGCGCCATTTCATCTCTCGCTCAAGGATATGGAACATGGATACGACATTTCGTAGGCAGCTGTCCGAGTTAGAAGGGGTAGTTGCACCGAGCAATGAATAGAGGTGACTCACCTTTTAACCTCAATGTTACCGAAGGTGAGGGAGATCAGTAGAATCTCAACCTCTTCAGGCTTAGCAGACAGAGCCAGAAGAATGGCAAGGATGTCATCAATGCCCTTTTCTAGGCATCAGCAAAGATTGTAGCAAACAGCTCGCGGAGCTGGTATGGAATGACCGAACAGGGAATGTATCATACGGGATCGGTATCAATAATAATCTTTCTAGGGGCCATTTTGGATGCTCGCTTGTATTTGTGGTTTGCGCTTGAGTTTATCCGAGGGATGTCTAATGTTCTGTGATACAAAAATGAGTCGGCTGTACAGAGAAATCTGCGATGATGCGGATTGCGGGCGATGGAGAGGGGAAGTGGGATGGTCTTGGCTGGCGTTATCATCGGGTTCTCCACTACTATCTGCCCGGGCAAACTCATGACGCACATGTCATTAGTCATGGCAGCCTATCGTGGGACTTGGATATGTAGATACGATCTACGGAGTACTCCGTCCAGGATACTAAACACTATGTCCCAGGGATAATAGAATTCTCGCGGTTCAACATATTATGATATGAGCATTGGCTAGAGCCTCCAATCCTTTTCAATATGTGGTAGCGAAATGAATATGTAGTCAAAGCTGCATGTAGAACACACCAGCTCTACCTTGGGGACTACATATGAAAGATGATGCCTAAAGCGGCTAGCAGTATCAAGCCCTCTAATCTCTTCTGAGCGAATGGTCTGGGCAGTCGATCTTGGAAGTTGGAACTGACCCCGAGGAGTCTGGCTGTGATTCGAGACCGTTGGTTTTCCCTGCTTTGGTGTCAGCAGACACACTGTTTGTACCACAGTGTAAGAGCGAAGTCCTAGAATGACAGCCTATTAACTCGATTCAATCGGATGACATTGTTTGGGTTACATTATTTCTGTTATCTATGCCTTGTGGTTCCTCTGCAAGGGGTCTGGAACCGGCCATCATTACGTCATGCATTGGATGCTTCTACAGCTTCTACAGGGTTGCAAGCCCCCGAGCAGAGGCAAAGCGGGAAGATATGGATGTAATCCATCCCACCTGGATCATGGGGGAGTGTATACATTAAGGTGTTCTGGAATTCCAGCCTGTGGACACGGAGGGGGACCCCGGGGCCGGAGCGATCTCGAGACGTGGCCTGTTCGGAAGTAGGTAATAGTACCCCGTAATTTACTGCGAGGCAAGCCCGTTACTGTGCCTGTCATGGTGTAACTGCCGAGTCTCCGGAAGTTCTTGCATCTCTAGTACCATTCTAGTGATTGCCTGCTAGTACTATCTATCAGGCTATCAGCGACTACTGCTGGGCTAATAGCAGGGCCGTGGAATCTTCATTCGAGGACGGAATATTCCGTCGAATCGTCTAGACGCCCACTGACAGGGGCAAACATGACATTGCAGCATGGGATGGCCGAACCAGCGTCAAGGTGTGGGAGATCTTTCCCCGCGCAATCTCCTTGGGACAGTGTCCTCCACATGATTTAATATCCAAGGCACACCCCTATTATGAGTTAATTACCGTTAGACCATCAATGATAGCTTCTGCTGTGCTTGGACGTTTTGTCCATGAGCGTCGTTTGGTATTGCAGGTTATGGAGGACAGTACAACTAAGCCCGAATACGGTCAGGTACGAGCAACTGGTACATAGCACCGAGTAGTAGATCTTAAAATGCGCCACAAGCATGTCAGCCCCTGACCCGATTGGAATCGAGAAACGACAATCATAGTACGATGCAGCTCCTACTACTGAGACAATCTGCGAGTTTCCACCGATCCTGAATGACAGATTCAATGCAATCGTGATATTTATCTCCTGTGGGGCGCTCTGTCCATGGGCACGGCCGCCAATATTACCGATACAGTACCACCACCATCACTGGCAGCGTCTCCTCCTCCAGGCGTAATTTATTATTCACGGACGGCCACTAAGAAGGTGGTAGTTCATGACAACCCCCTTCATCTCTCCAGACCGTGTCCTCTTCCATTATTTCCACTTCCGCCCTCCTCCTTTCTCTTTTTCCCCAACCCTCTTCTTTCTCACCTTTATCCTCTCTATTCCCTTGTCTTTTTTGCCACCCATTGTCACCAACCCCGAGCTTTTGGTTGACGGGTGCCTCGATGTCCACTCGGTGATTCTAGGTATCCGTTTTCCTTACCTCATCCCGACCCTCGCTACCAGTACCTTTCTTTACCGCAAAGCGCAGTCGGAACCTTGAACCACTCCCCGACTCTGAGGTCATAGGCAACACGCTCAATTCTTTGCGAGCTGTCAGTTGAACTTCAGAACATCTGTTCTCCTTGCCGTTTGGCTTCGTCGCGATAAGAGTTGCAGCTTAAGTTGTTCAACGATCGAGGCCCACGCGGCAATCTGGCCTTTCAGCGCGACTGGCCTGCCCTCTCCCCTTGTCCTCCAACCACCTTCTCATCGGTCACAGCTTGGTGAACTGAGGTTGAAAAGGATCCGCGAAAGCTTGCCCTATACTTAATCCTTCTTCTTTTCTGGACAGTCCTGTTGGATCCTCCTATTCTTTTTTTTTTTTTTTTTTTTCACTTTCCCGCCGAGTGTCGAACGCGCGCCTGGCAATTTAACAGCTTTCAGACAGACATTCAATCCTTGATTGAGGTCGTCTCTATATTCGATTGTTTATTACGATTTCTGCTACGCCTGTAAAGTTTTATCTGAATGTATGTCTTCCGCTCCTAATCCCTCACCCCCCGTGATATATAGTGGCCTGTGGACTGACATAATAACGTGATAGCCTTAACGATGATGAACCCCTACATCAGTTGGGCTCTCCTGCTCGTTGTGGCAGGTGGCCTTGGCTGGTATTACAATGGTCCGAACCCCAAGCACAAGACCCCCATAAAGCCCGCCGTGGAAAAGACAGAAAGTGCGCCGGCCGCAAAGAAGCCCAAGCGCAAGGCTAAGAAGTCCCCGGAACCTTCGCCTGCTCCTAGCGAGCCGGTGGAGGAGAAGCCCGCAGCCCAGCCTACTGTCTCGAAAGCCGATGAGGTGGATGAGGAGATTGACAAGAAGGAGATGGCGAAGCGTTTCGCCGCCGTGAAGAATGGAACTCCGGTGCAGTCTAGTGGCAGCGGCAGCGGCAGCAAGAACAAGAAGAAGAAGACCAAGGCCGCTCAGGTTGAGAACGGCGAGCGCTCCGCCTCTCGTGTTTCTACGCGCACCTCGTCCACTACTGGAGCTGATGCCGATGATGACCTCTCCCCCGCTGGATCCCCCTTGGTGAACGCCACTACTCCCTCCGCTGGCTACGTTTCGGATATGCTTGAAGAGCCTGCTCCGGGTGCCTCGGTTCTCCGTGTCACCGGTGCCTTGTCGGACGCCACCAAGAAGCAGAAGCCCCAATCTTTCAAGCAGGTCGAGACGAAGAAACAGCGCCAGCAGCGGTTGAAGAACGAGGCCCGCAAGCAGCAGGTCCAGGAAGCCGAGGAACAGAGACGTAAATTGCTCGAGAAGCAGCTCCACCTCGCCCGCGAAGCTGAGCGTCGTGAGGCTGCCAACTCGAAGCCGGCTCCTCAGACCAACGCCTGGCAGACCAAGGCTGCCCCGGCAGTCACCAACGGTACCCCCAAGGTGACCCCGAGCCCGAAGGTCGAATTGTTGGACACTTTCGAATCGGAAGTTCCTATCACTCAGGCCGCCCCCAAGAAGAAGGAATGGGACCAAGGTCTTCCTTCTGAGGAGGAGCAGATGCGTATTTTGGGCGCGGACAACGTTGACCAGTGGACCACTGTCTCCAGCAAGAAGACCAAGAAGAAGGGAGGTAAGACGGACGAGAGTGAGGCCAGCGCTCCGGAAAGCCAGCCCGCTCCTGTTGCCGCTGCCCCTGCTCCCGTCGAGCCCAAGGTGAAGGTGACGCCTACCTACCTTCCTGATGTTCTTCGCTCGAACGTGAAGGGACACCCTCTTGACTCCGACTGGGCTGCTTAAATTCCTGATAGCCCACCCGCAAGAAGCTAGATCAGGGAAGCATGCCTGTCTGGTTCATTCAGGACCGCGTATCTCCTGGATTGTATTTATTACTCATGGCTTTGGCGTTTGGGGAACTCCATTATACCAAAAACGTACCATGTATCTGGCGAGTTGTTCTGTTTTCTCCGTGAGACTCAGCGGGGACAGAAAAGCAACGAGTGACAGAAAAAACAACGAAAACCCCCTGCAAAAAGACGTCATGTATTATTTCTCGCTATGCTCGGTTGTTGTCTTCCTTGGTTTCCCCTTATTTTCGCTCTTCCATTTTTCTTCTCAGCTGTTGTGTTTCCTATCGATAATTGGCTCGGGGCTTCCCCTTTTCCGGCCAGACCTGTACTCGACCCCAGCGCAGCCTTCTGTTCTTTATTTTAGGGACTGACAGATGGCAAGTTTGGGGCGCTTTAAAATTGGCCACCGTGCCAAAAATTCCTGATGTGTCTTACCTACTCTACCCAATAACCTATTACTACTCGAGCGGCATGGCGACCGCATTGGCGAAAATAGCATGGATGGTTGCGGATGTGATGTACGAGCGTGGATTGGAACGTGCCATGGGGGCCACCTGGCATCTTATGTCTTATTTAACTCTCTTCGCTTCTTGATGCAATTGGGATTTGTCTCCATAACCTAGGTAACTACTTTTTATTTCTCTTGTATGCCAGGATCATCGTAGTTTCTTTTTTTAGCACGTTTGCACCCTTTCTTGTCAGTCCGGTTGTTCCAAGTCCCCATTTGTATGGTTCTTGTTTCACAATGATCGGGTTTCAGACGCCGGATCTTCCGCCGACCGACTTAAATTTTGGGCCCTGCTGGATGTGGGGGCGGCAATGTCCCTGACTCCCTGTCCGTCCGGACTCCGGAGTAGACATGGCTATCTGTATGTTGGTGGTATCAACCCTCCTCCGGGAGGGGGTAAAATGCGTCCAGGCGACCCCTAGAAAGCGGGCGCGGGGACTGAAGAATACGGAGAGAACCCCGGAGCCGGGGCAGATCCCTTTAGCTTGATGGATTGGATTTGAAGAAGGCAAAGTAGGGAGTAGTGGAGGACTAAGGGGAGATCATGGCGTCACGGGCCCAGGGTCACTCCCGGCCTGGGCACTGCCGCCTTGCCCTATTCGGACTAGCGCTGAGTTCCGGTCATCGTGGCCTGAACGGCAGTCACGGGCCTTCTCGACACCGCGGAGGTGCTGCAGCAATCCATCGTCTTCCTCCTCTTGAGCGCTGCTCTTTTTCTTCTTCTCCCCTGTCCCTGCTTGCGTCCATTTCCTGGCAATTCGCCTGCTCTTCTCCCCCTCTCGCCCTCGCTCCCCTTCTTCTCCTCTCCCAACGCCCTAATCCCGCCAGCTTGTTCCGGACCCTTCGTCCCTTGTTTGTTGTCCCTGATCCAGCGGAGGGCTCAATTCGTGTCTCTCCCCCTCATTGTCGCTTCGCTTCTCTCAACTCCATAACAATCCCTCATCGCCATGGCGCAAATCCGTGGCACTGCCGGCTACAATTTTGGCCACCAGAACCCCTTTGGGGGTCCTGGCAGAGTAGAGGCAACGGGCGACCCCAGTCCTCTGGACGCTGTTCGGGAACAAACCAGCAAAATCGAGGACTGGTTGGACACCATGGCAGACCCCGTGAAACCGTATGTTAAACCTCAGGCACTGCTGACCCCAATTGCCCTTGTCCAGACTTGGGGCTGGAAAGGCAGACCCAACGTTCGCATGCGGAAAAGGGCTTATCGCTGACACCGTGGCTTTTTGCTGTTCAGATATCTACCAGCCATTGGTCGCTTCCTGATCGTGGTCACCTTCATCGAGGACAGTCTCCGGATGATCACTCAATGGAACGACCAACTATTGTACCTCCGTGACTATCGGAAGAGTAAGCATGGACTGGCCCCGTCCCTCTTATACCCGGCCACACCCGCCGTGGGGTCCGACTGCAGATCCTCTAACCTGGGCTTCGTCGCATAACAGTTCCATGGGGTGTCACGCATACATTCCTTATCATCAACATGCTCGCCATGTCGCTTTGCTCGTTTATGGTTATTGCCCGCAGACACACGGAGTACGCTGTTGCCGGTCTCCTGGCCGTTGTCATCGTTCAAGGTCTCGGATACGGACTGATTTTCGACCTCAACTTCTTCCTTCGCAATCTGAGTGTTGTCGGTGGCTTGCTCATGGTTCTCTCCGACTCATGGGTGCGCAAGAAGTTCGTCCCTGCAGGCTTGCCCCAGCTTGATGAGAAGGACCGCAAGATGTACGTCCAGTTCGCTGGTCGTGTTCTGCTGATCTTCCTCTTCATCGGATTTGTCTTCTCGGGCCAGTGGAGTCTGTGGCGCATCATCGTCAGCCTGTTCGGCTTTGTCGCGTGTATCATGGTCATTGTTGGATTCAAGGCCAAGTGGAGTGCGATCATCTTGGTGGTCTTGTTGAGCGTTTTCAACGTGCTGGTCAACAACTTCTGGACGGTATGTCTTTACTCACAGATTTTCCGGTTGTGTAATGACTGACTTTTCCAGCTTCATCCCCACCACCCCCACAAGGACTTTGCCAAGTACGACTTTTTCCAGATTCTGTCCATCGTGTAAGTCGCCTTTTTTAATGGATGCCAAGAAATACCAGCTAATGACTGGTCTACAGCGGAGGACTTTTGCTTCTGATCAACATGGGTCCCGGCCAATTGAGTATGGATGAGAAGAAGAAGGTCTACTAGAGTGAACGCGTTACCATGGAATGCTGGGCATGCGATGTGATATTCCCGGGCCATGGGACCCATATATGAACGTGCTTTCTATTTTCACTCTTCTCTTGTTTTGGACAGACATCTACGTCCCATACCCCTACGTTACACCACGAACATATCAATTATATCATGCAATCATCATGATTATCCTCACCATTGTCACCACTCACCCAAAATGTTCACGCCATGCTTGTTGTTCCTTGGTTACGGCATATGAGATGATGCACTATGTATATCAAGGAATGAGCAAAATGAGATTATATTGGGATCGAAGGAAATCATGAACCAGAATCATTTCCCACAATTTACATGATTTTATCTCGGTGACTGTTTCTATATCCTTTTTCGGGTCGTCAGTTGCAAACGGAGTTACTGTAGCTCCTCTCTATAATTCCACCAATTGTATCTACCAGGGCCATTCATATCTCTTAGCATCTCACGACTCATCAAGTCGACTAAAAACCATAGGTAGATGCTAGTCAGTCCTCGTGTGTCACCAATATCAATATTCCGTAGTCCTCAGAACCATCAAATATCTACTAGTACCCGTCCTCTCTGCGGAGTACCTCCTCATCCAACACAAACAACACTATTGCCATTCATTCTACACACTCTACTAGAATACTTGCCATATACGAAGACTGTGTGCCTACATAACTAGCATCACATAACGAGCTCCATTAAGCTAATAGAATACAACTTGACTATACAAAGTATGTACCTACTCTCCCAATTGATTGTCTACACTGAATAAATAGGGCTCCCTTTTTCTGCCACCGCCAAATTGAACACTTTTCGCCGAAACTTTTTCGGGCCTGTACTCTCCTAAATCCGCTTAAATCCGTGGTTTTTGACGCGAGGTTCGGGCGGGCTCTATATGGACCATAAAATCACTTACCAGGACCATAAATTATACCTAATCAGGCTTAATGGCTCGCTTAACCCGCCACTATACCCAAATAGAAGAGACTAAATCATGTGATCGTATTTTTTTAGTCAGACAGATGCAAGGGCTGCCCCCTGCTGCCGGCCTGCGGCCCTCTGCTCCCTAACTACGTATTTAATTACTGACATCACCTCGCGTAAAACAACACTGAATTCAATACTTGATTACATTTCTTATACTGCTAAAATGGCTGTTTTCATTGATTAGAGCGCTCTGATTGGCCAGAGATATCTGATAATGATTAGTCAGAATATAATTTATCTTATCATAGGATTCGGCCTACGTAGATTGAATCGAGGCAGGCAGGTAGAGGGGGTCAGGTCGGCTGGGATTGCGAGCCCTCGACGGCTCGCAGGCTCGCCGGCCTCGCCGGAGGCTGAATCGTTGAAAAACACGATAAAATTGAAACAACATCTATTTCCTCTTTGGGCGTAGCCGTAAGACCGCGGAAGCTAGAATGAATTAGGTATAGTTTATGGTCCTGATAAGTGATTCTATGGTCCATATAAAGCTTGCCCGAGGTTCGTTGGGTTCTGCCAGTTAGAGCGGTGAGATAGGCGGTAGATACTGGCAGGAATTCCCAGGAGTGCGGCAGGCGCTTTTTCTGCCACCGCCAAATTGAACACTTTTTGACGAAACTTTTTCTGGCCTGTACTTTCTTAAATCCGCTTATTTCCGGTGATTTTGGAACGAGGTTCGTTGGGTTCTGCAGTGGAGGCGGTGAGGGAAGCGGTCTGGGGTGTTTATTTACCAGATATACTCCGTAGAGGACTTACCGCTCTAATTCTTTGACCATTATTACCACTGTGATAATAGACATGATTAGGGACTTAAAAAAAGAGTATGGATTGATTTACGAACATCTAGTTGGTTGTATATAATAAGGGATGAATCAATAGAGTGATGTTCATCGCATTGTGTGTGTGTGTGTGTGTGTGTGTGTGTGTGTGTGTGTGTGTGTGTGTTTCAAATGGCCCTGGCAATTAAGGCTATATATCAATCTATTCATTGTACAATTGAGGCAGTAATTATCATGGGACCCTGGAGGTAGTAGGAAAACAAAGGCAAGGATCTCGAAAACAGCACCTCGCCTCGGATGCAACGCCAGCTACAATCCTATTCTACATGTAATTGTCCTTCTCCGGTAGCACTGTGAAGCTCTATTTGAGTATATTGAACATGGCTCCTGAATGTGATTTACAAGGTATCCTTGAACTCCTAGAAAATGGCAGGAAGAAAAGCACCCAGATCTAGAGGCAGACCTGTCAGCATGAGTTCAGCTTCAGAAGGCAACAGTTATAACTTACGAGTCATTTCAATGTTGCGGTGGACAGCAAGGTCGTGGCCAAGCTGAGCACTGCCGTGGTTGTTCTCGGCAATGAAGAAGCGAGAGCGGAGCTCGCGGTAGCCGTTGGGCATGCGGCGAACTTGGTGCATCAGGTAGGAGACGTCGTCGAATGCGGTGGTGGAGTAGTCTTTGAGAGAGCAGATTGTTAGAATTTGGATCGAGGGGATTAGTGAATGTATGGTGAAGACTTACTTCCGATCATGACTTTGCCAATGACAATAGTCTCAATGCCCAACTCAGGCCAGGCAGTCGTGTTGAACCCCAAGGAGGTCGGCTCGACAAACTCAATGCTTAGCTTTGCAGCGTCGTTACCCACATACTCATCGATGTAAGATGTAGTGCCGATATAGCGCTCCGTGTAAGTCTGGTTGGCCCAGTTCCCGGAGAAGGGGGTCCGGTAGGAGTATTGGTGAGCAATAGGGTTCCAGAGCTTGTATCGGGCGGTTTCGACTGAATGCCAGCCAAACCACCAGTCGTACTGCTCACCGGTGACTAGGGAAAAGAACTCGCACCTTGGGGAATCTCGCTGCGCACGGTAATCATTAGGGTTCCGTTGCTACTGATGGAGTAGCCGTTCTCCAAATCCAAGTATCCTGGACGGGCGAAGTAGTCATGGGCTTCCCAGACGGAGAAAGTAAAGGCACTGGGCCAGGGACTGTCGGCCAATCCATTGACGAGTGCATCGGAGATGGGAGCGACCACGGGGTTGTAGTACTTGGCGTACGGCTTTTGGAAATCGGCGTCACGGAAACCGAGGTAGTAGTCCTCGGCGTTGCCATTCAGAGGAGTGGTATCCGTGGACACAGTGTTCTGGCTCAAGGAAGTCGCCGTGGCAGTCGTGGCCGCCATCGAAGAGTCGGGCTCTTTAGGAGCCAATTGACGGCGGTCAATGACATTGGCGTGGACAAGGGCAGCCAGGACAGCCGCAGCGATAGCAACGGAACGCATGGTGGACGATACTGGGGAAAAGTAGCTGAACGTCTGAAGATGAGAGAAGATTCAATGGTGGTTGATGAGTACGAACGCTGAGCACAGACAACGAGCTTCTTTATCTATTCTGTCTGAGCCCTGGGGGCCGCTGAGGGTGCCGCCGAGGGTGGACTGGAATCCACAAACAGTCTGCCACGGAATAAAGCGAGACCCGCTATTCATTGTAAGCTGTACCCGCATCGGATCTGGCTTCTCGGGGGTTAAACCAAAGTGTTGCGTCATTGATGTGAAGCTAGAAGCCTTGGTATACTCCGTAGTATAGAAGGAAAGGGTGCCGCCGGGTGGATCCCAGGGTGCCGCTCGGCAATGAAGATGATCGACAGCGTTTATATCCGGCGGGACCGATGATCAAGGATCGCCACCGTGATCTCTGCAATCTCTGCATGAGAGAGTTGGTTGATCTCGATAGGTGGACTGCTCAGCTTGTTTCCAGCTATCTTCCCACCACTCAGAGCTGATCCGTGTTCACCGTTGACTCGGTAGCCAGAAACAGAATAAGAGATGCCAGAGACCGCGATAGTCCCCAGAAGCCGATGCAATTCAACATATCGACCAAGCCCGATAGAACGGTCGAGTCTTGAACCGACGGTCGAGACTGTTTGGAGTCATGGGCCTCCAACATCAATGCCCCCGGGTCGATCCCAAAACATACGAACTCTCGGAATTCATCAGCGCGCAACTGCGCATAGGCGCGGTTTGGCGGAGAAAAGCGCAAATAAAAGTACCAGGCCATCGCCGCATGGTAGAGGCTACTAGAGACATGGATTGGAGAGACCGCCCGGATCGGAACCGACTCGATTCCACGAAGCAACAGAACTCCGTGGAGGATCGCCCGCTGCGCGTCCAACGAGGCCGCCCACCGAAAAGCATATGCCTCGGGATGTACCCCAGACGAGGCGGGGGACAGGTCACCGTCCTTGCCCACAGCCTGTTCCAGAAGGCGGATATCCGTCAATGAGACAATATAGACCGAACGCCAGAGCGAGTGGAGCAGGAAATGGTCGGGGCCGCGGAATGCGAGCTGCTCCTGACACATGGATAGGAGGGATTCCTCGACAAACCCCGCGGTCTGCTGCAATCCCTCCCCCCCTTCTACAGGCACTGGAGCCAGGAGAGCTGTACTTGCAGAATACCGTTCGCTTTGATCCTCAGTGTGAGTTGGGCTCTGCGGCAGGCTGCGCGACTGTTGCATTGGATGTATGAGATCGAGAATGGCGCACCAACAAGTCCCTGACAATGTGAGACTCAGGCCACTGGTCACAATAAGGGAAATGACTCACTATCGACTGAAAGTCTTGTGACATGTCTCGCAGGTGAAGGGTTTCTCATGTGTATGTGAAGTCACATGCCGAGCCAGATGCGCACGCTTTTGAAAAGTCTTCTGGCACCACGGACACTGCCGCTCAGCAAGACCGGATCGTGTAGGGGGCATTAGGGCGAGGATTCAAGTATGATTACATGTCCAGTCTCTCATATGTAAAATGACTACTCATGTGTGCGATCCGTGTAGGTTGACAGAAGACGAGTTGTATGCGGGAGAGATCCGCGGGCCGGTAGAGGTGCTACTGCATCCGGATTAGCTCAAGTGTGCTACCCCATACTTTGTGCTTAGAACACAGACATTCGCTCCGTACCAGTAGTCTGGGATCATCGGGGTGATGACTATGAGTATACGGAGTACTCTGTATCTAGACAATGAACTCTGCGAAGGTATAGACCGTGAATGCAATATGTATTATTAAAACAAGTAGTATACATGAAGGTAAGTGAAAAAGAGAGCGGGCAAGAGCGAGAGCAAAGCATGCGGCTGGATCACGGAAAAAGCAAACATGATAGGAAAAACTAGGGATAGTACTCTGCGCTGAGGGAGATCAATGACAATAACAATATGTGGACGCAGCGAGTCAAGGATAGTGATCAGTTGGGATAACAGTCTCCTGGTCCGATGATTTGTGTCTGTGGCCCAGCCATGCATACACAGTATGTGCGTCGATCGAACGGAACTCCCATGCGGTTCAGTATGATGCATCGAGATATTTGCCATGGGATGGGTCAAGGGCATCAAAACGGAACGCTTTTTGCTGCTGCCAACGCCGAAACACAAAGCCACAAAAGCAAGACCAACAAAAAGGGGTATCGGCTACCCAAGAGCAAAAATAAAGCAAAGCAGGCTTCCATGATAAACAATGCGCAAAAGGGATATGATAAAACGTCCAGAGGTGGCTCCGTTATAGACAGAGGGCGGACGGATTACGGTCATATATCCATACTCCAACGCCACGGCCGGAGACGTTCAAGCTGACCTAATCCGATATCGTCAGGCGAGTCATTGATTTCCAAATGCAACAATTGAACCTTGTTGTTGTCACGTTTCAAGGTAGATAGGGCTTGTGAGATCGTTGGAGGGAAATGTTTACCGCTATCATGGGTTGCTTTGGAGACCGGCCGTGACGTCGGTGTCCCAGGCGAATGCAATGAGTTTCGCGGAGACTCCACCTCGGTATCACCAGGCGATGATAGGGTGGAACATGAATCGGAGCGCGAGCGCAAAGATGGGGATATTACGAAGTTGGCCTCATCACGTCCATATCTCAACTTGGGGGATGGCGGCGGCGAGAACTCGTCATCACCTTCCGAGTCCATGTCTGCGGATCTCGGGTCATACCAGCCGTCGGGGGCCATGCGAGGCGGAGAAGGTTTAGAAACATTCTTTGCGGGCGGTTGGGTGTCTAGTGGGGGTAGTTGCTGGGTTGGCTCGACGGGTTTCTTGACATTTCTGTCACCGTCTGCGCGCTGTGCGCTGCTGTTATTGCTGCGGACAGTGTCCCCAACACGCTCCTTGCCAGCCATTACCCGGGCACTGGGTGGAGGTTGTAGCATCCATCGCGTCTCAGCGCGGCTCTTGGGTCCACTAACGATTGGGGGATGAAGATCATTGACTGGAGGGACCCGAGCAATATAGTACTTGCTAGTGGAGCCATCATCTTCCTTGCCGCCACCAGACAGTCCGACGGAGGAACCCTTGACCTCCACATCCTGGCCCCATAAGGGCTCATCCTCGCGCTGGTAACGCATGCGGTTCCACCGATCGCCCAACGGATGCTTTAGACTGCTTTTATCCTTTTTGTGTGACGAACCCCCCGTGCGGCTCACATCCTGCGTCGAGTCTGCAGAGACGCCTGTGTTCCACGAGTCGGTTCGACGGTGCGCCGTCCGATGACCACCTCTTCTGGCGGGAGGCCCCGGACCTAGAGCAATTTCCTCCGCCCATCCTGGATTGGTACTAAACGCAGTGGGTTGTGCTAACGGTCGTGGCTGGTCCGTGATAATACCATCTATCTTATCCTTTTGGCGTTGCGATCGAACGGCTTCCTTTTTGCGCTTGTGGAGATCGAGGGAGGTGGCACAGGGAGTGCATGTGGCGTAGTAGAATACAGCGGACTGGGCGCCACGGTAGAGCCACATTCTGGCCTGGCCAGAATCGAGCGAGGGAGGCTGGGGAGAGAAAGGGGGAGGGAGTCCGGGCGGAAGAGAGAGGTAGAGGGAGAGGAAGAGGAAGAGGGAAGGATGGACACCACCGACGAAGCAATGATGCCAACGGAAGAGATGTATATCCTAGCGCTCAGAAAGACCAATTGGCCTGGGGGTATTGACACGTCGAGCCGGAAGTCTGACGGGACGGTCGCAACAACATGAAGGGCGCTCGTATCGGGGGAGGGCAGTTGATAGCGGAGGGACAAGGCGCAGGCAGAAGTGGCGGTCGCCCAGCGACCGAGATTGGCGTAAAAAAATCGGCGACGCAGAGAGAGGCGGTCTGCAGGTGAGAAGAGGCGGAGGTGAGGCCGATAATGAGGGCGAGAACGGAAGAAGAGAGGGAGTGGGAGAGGGGGGAGGGGAGGGGAGGGGAGAGATAATGGGAAGAGGAGAGGAGAAGTGAGACTGGGGGAGTGCGAGAGAATAGTAGAGAGAGCCGGAGAGGAGAGGAGAAAGAGAGCGAGTCAGGGGAAACCAAAACTGAACGGCCAGTTGGGCCGCACTTGGCAAGGGCGGGGCGGGCGGCACAGAAAACGGGGCGGCTGTCACATTTAGATTTCAGGTGGTTGGAGCCTAGGAGCGATCGAAGCAGGCGCATCTAAATGCAATGGTCATGGTGGTGGTTCATGGTCTGGAGCCATGGGTGATGGGGCTTGGGTTGCAGCAAACACACCGTGATGCAGGGCGCGTTGGATGGCAGAGTGGCAGTGGTGGTGGCTCACGAGGGGAACCCTTCAAAACTGACGAATGAACTGCCGACCCCTGGAACCAATCGAGCCCGGAAACGGCCAGTGTTCGATCCTCGGTCCCCGGAAGACTCCCTGGAAGTGGACGCAGCCACTGCAACCTACGCGTTGCCGCCAGATCCCATTAGTCACTCTGGGCATCACTGCCTCTCTTTCATGCACGGGGCATCTTCTTACTTGTACAGTTGCAAGTAGTATAAGAATAGCACAATGGACAGCAATTGCAGCATGGCAGCATGGCAGCCTGGCAGGATTGCAATTATCTTTCATATCAGATCATGTGATGACTAATGCACTCCCTCCAAGCCTACTACTAGTTGTCTCGCCCTCCCCCTTGCGGTCCCTGTCCAGTGTCCAGGCTAATCACCTTGCATCTTTAACGCTGTCCTGAACATCCCGCGTCTCATCCCATCAGGGTTTCAATCCCATATCCAATTAAGGGCCACCCAATGGAATGGCGCGCAGGATACTGGTCCCCCCCCACGCATTTAGCCATCCAATGCATTGTCATCCCTTATTTCTTTTCCTTGATTCCCCAATCCAAGCGCCAGAGTCCTGCGAGCCACCACTAATTGGGCCCCGAGATTAAGACAGATGAGCGCTCAGTCAGCCCATGCGCGTCCCACTTGTAGCTCAGGCTCATGAGAGGATCCCCGCCCGACGCACCGATCATGTCCATGGATCACCAGGTAACGACCAATCCCCTCCTGTAAATTTGTCGCGCGCATATGTTCGCATAATCCCCCTGGCCCGGCTCGCGCCATCCCCTATTCGACGAACGACACCACGAGAAAGAGGGGTCCGTCCGACCCGTATACGCACACGCACTAGCCACCATGTCACGCTGAACTCGTCCACACCCATCATACAACGCACGTCTTTTGCTGCGAGAATCTTTGTATTGTAAACTGTTATCGAACAGCTCGCCTCATGCGTTCTTTGTGCCTTTGACCACCTCGCCCCTGACCTTCGTCCAGTCAATGTCGTTGTCGATGCCTTCGTCGACCTCGCCGCAGAGGACCACATTGTCGCCTCGGATCAGGTAGAGGCCATGTTCGATCTGGGAGCTCGGTTCCGGGTCATCGGGGGTTCGAATGATTCGCTCGATTGTGTCCAGGAGGACCAAGTTCGTCAGTTGGTCGGTGGATAGCAATGTCCCGAGGAGTGTCCGCCCGTCAACGGTCAGAATGCATACTTTCTCTGTACAAAAAGCGATTGTCAGCCTCATCTGTATGGGTAGGAAAAAAGAGACAAAAGCCATTATGCGTCAATACAATCCTTTGGGACTCAGACTTACTGTTGATATACGAGTGCAGAGACATGATGAGAAGGAGGGGATTAAGAATTAGATTTTGTATGAGGACAGCACTTGAGGTCGGTATGCGGAGAAGACTAGAAACGATAAACTTCGTCTATTATAGCTTGGACCGTGGAGAATATCTGAAGAGTACTGGTTTCGTATAAGGCTGAATCCAATTGAGCACCAAGTTAGGATAGTAGTGTGACCTGCAGCAAATACTTTGTCGCTGCGTTCGATCCTCAAACAGGAGGGTAGTGCTGTATAAACCCGGGTGTTCGTGGGGTGTTTGACGATCGACGTAATACCGCGTGGAGAAGCGCTAGGAGAAAGGGAAGGTTGATGGTGGAGGAAAAAGCAGCTGGCCTGAGATGTTGACTTCGGCTTGCTTCTCCGGACCCTCGCAGCTTCGATGCGGCGGCCGCGCATCACGTGATAGAACCGTCCCGTGCTGCCTCTGACGATCGATCAGATAAGCTCATGTTACACTGCAACTGTTCACTACAAAATGTAGCACAATGGTATTTGCGTAAAGACCGTTCATTCCTAACTCCACTGTCACTAACAATATGCGTTGCTAAGTAAATTTACAAGCTGAAGAATGCGCTAATCTACCACGCGGATCCAATAGACACCTCATGCAGCCAATGCGCTTAGGTCCAACGGTACACTGCTGCCTCGTCCAGCCCGGTACCGCTTGGTACCCCCCACAAACGGCCGAGGTTTGGGCAACAAGCCTTCGCTCTGGAACTTGAACCGATGATCGTCCACCCGAACCAGCCCATGTGACCCTGGACTCCAAGGGCTCGATCCCGGTGACGGCCCGCCGTTGGAGAGGGTATAAGCGCTCGGATCCAGTGTCGAACGATCTGGTTGACCAATTGGTGAGTCATAGGATGAAGGTCGAGGTGGTGCTATAGCAGAGGGGGAAGGAGATGGCCGTGATGGTGGCTCACTCGGAGGGACGACGGGAGGAGCACTGGGAGGAGGTGGGGGTGGAGGCGCTGAAGGAGCCGAGGCAGGCAGTGGTGGTGGCGGTGGTGTCGAGTGACTGTGTCCAAGAGCGTTTCTAGCAGCTTGAACTGCGATGGATGCAGCAGCCGTGCCGTTTGGCGGTTGTGGAGCAGAGGCACCAGGCGGGGGAGGGGGTGGAGGGGTAGATCGTGCTGGCGCCGGAGGAGGTCGGGGAGCGGAAACTGCCGGAGGGGGTGGCGGCGGGGGTGCAGCTGGACTCGCTGTAGGGGGTGGAGGTGGGGGAGCAGGGACAGAAGGCTTCCTGTTAGATAGTGGAGGCGGCGGAAGTCTTGCGGAGCCCGGCAACGGCGGCGGCGCGCGTGGAGGAGCGTCAGGGGCTGACCTGCTTGACGCATTCGAGACTGTCGATGAGGGCCTCGACGCCGGCCTCGGAGGTGGCTTCCGGAGGTTAGCAACCAGCGGGTTCACTGGAGGAGCCGGCGGCGATTCTGTTGCGGGTGGGCGAGGGGAGGTCGGGCACCCGGCGGCTTCGGAGCGAACGCAGCAGGGGGCGGGGGAGCGCTCCGCGAACCCTCCGAATCCGACATATACGGCGACGACCGAGTAGCCCCAGTGTCAACGCCTCCCCGACTGCGCAACTTGGGCATACCTCCTGCGAAGAGGCCTCCCAGTTGAGGCGCCGCCGGAACGCCTGCTGCAGCATCACCTCCTGCGCCAGTATCACTATTGCTTCGTAGCCTGTTCGCTGCTTGTGCCGGAGGAGGTGGTGCCAATCCCGCCGGAGGCTTCGCCATGCCCGGAACAGGCGGAGCGCCTGGGACTGCGGGACCAGAAGACTTTACTCCTCCACCTGCAAGCGCGGGTGCCGATCTGTCGTTGGTCACGGTCTTCTTCAATCTTGCGCCTTTGTGGATGTCGGAGAGTAGTGCGCCCTGCACGTGGCATTAGTAGATTGGCTTGCCAGGTTGGTTGGCGAACTTACTCGACCCTTAACCTCTGCATTTGAGGGTCTGCTGGGCATAGCTCCTGGAGGGGGAGGAGGCGGGGGAGGACCTCCCATCCCTCCGGGCGGAGGCGGCGGCGGCGGCGGAGGGGGAGGCATGATGATTGTAGAGATGAGGTATGACGCTTGCAATCGGTAGGGGGGTGAGTGAGTTGACGATCACGAAGGGATCAATCCGCTGGGGTTAAATGGATCATTTGAGGCCTGTCGCAACCAGGAGTGGGTGGCGTTGAAGAAAGCAGCTGCCTACGGGGCGTTGCTGATGATGGAGGAGGAGCAGCAGGAGAGTTCGAGGGGGACGTTAGGTCGATGGACGGATGTACCTGGAGCCAGACCCGCCAGTGGCGGCCGGCAGTATCGCTCTCTCCGCCTTGTTGCGCATCTCCCCGGCCTTTCTCTGGTCCGTCGTCTTTTTATCCTCCCCACAACCGCAATCATGCTCCCCACCAGAGGCATTGCCTTGAGCGGCCAGAAGGGCTCCCGGCCGCAAGCCCTGGCCTGTCAACTTTGTCATCGATCCGTCTCGCCTGCCCCTGTCCCTCAATCGCTGGTTACGCGGTCCTATGCGTCAAGCAGCCCGTTAACTCGAAATGCGCGCCTCGGCCAATTGCGACCACAGAAGAGCCCGAGAAGTCCCTGGACTGCAATCAAATACAATCCTACGCCTAGTCGGCTCCAATCAACCAAGTCCGACCAACTCACATCGGTTGACTTTGACGAGGCGGTGGCCCAGATCGCACACGAATGTGCGGAGCTTCGGAAAACGGATTCTGTGCCCCCCACCGACAAGGTCGTGAAACTCCTGGAACGATGCCAGAAAATTGCGGAAGCTATAGTACAGCCGGAGCAGGATACTGGCAAGACGTCTTCATCGAAACAGCAACCGGATGAGATCGCATCTCTCCTAGATCTAGAGGAGAGGAAGACGACCCGGAAACCACAGCAATCCGCCACTCTGCCCCCAAAGACACCCGAACAGATCATCGACCGCCTCTGCAAAGCGGTTCACGACCTCCTAACGGATGAAAAGGTCTTCATCTCCCCCGAAGCATTGACCTGCTACACCAAGATCCATACCATGTTGAAACGCCTCGACCACTTCCCGGAGATCTTCCATCTTTATGCGAACAAACCGGTCCCAGAGGAGAACAGCTCTCCTGTTAAATACCACAAGGCGAAGCCCCAAAGCATTAACAGTTCCGTGCCTGTGGAACTTGCAGACATGGCCCTGGACGTGGCGATCGACCAGCGGAACCTGTCGCTCGTGTTGGCCATCATCGATACCACATTCTGCGCTCCGGCGTTCCGCCGCGCGAAACTGTTCAAGAAGGCAGCCGTCCCGCTGGGTGGATTGGCCGCGGCCCCTGCAGCCTGCTATACCATTGCGTCGTGGGCCGCGACGCTGCAGAACACGATGGACCCGAGCACCGCGACAGGTATCGCTTTTGCTGCAACCCTGGCATACGTCGGAGGCATCTCGTCTGTTGGAATACTCGCCATTACGACGGCCAATGACCAGATGGAGCGTGTGGTCTGGCAACCGGGCGTGCCGCTGCGACACCGTTGGCTGCGCGAAGAGGAGCGGGCGGCGTTCGACAAGGTTGCGCTGGCGTGGGGATTCAAGGACATTTATATGCGCGGTGAAGAGGAAGGCGAGGAATGGGATACCTTGCGGGAGTTTATCGGAATGAGGGGGATGATTCTGGACAAGACGGACTTGATGGCAGGAATGCAATGATCTGCTGTTTATTACTGTACCATAGACACGACCCAGTTATTGCGCCACTACACACTACACTACAGCATACAACTATTGTATAGCACCAAACACACAAATAGCGACCAAAAACCACCATGGATCACATTAACCTCAAGTACCTAAACCGAGTTCTACATAATCCGACGCCAGCCTTCAGCCCCTAAAAAAAAGACCCCCAGGCCCATAAGCGACGCACTTAGTACAGACGCTTAGGAGGAGACATGGTAGCCTTAAGGACAAGGCTACCAACGTTCTGCCAGCCCTTCTTGAGGAGGGAGACGAGGTAGTTGATGGCAAGCATGGTGTTAGCCACGAGCTCATCCTCAGTCATACCAACGTTGCCGACGGCAACACCGAGGCAAAGAACCTTCTTAAGCTGGAACTTGATGGTAGACTTGACCTCGTTGACCTTGTTGGCCATGTCCTCACCGTGGGAGACGGGGGTGGGGAATTTACCGGCTGCAGACACAATTAACATATAATCCACATACACAACAAACATGGGAAGGGGAGGGGGAGCGTACCCTTGGAAAGACCAGGACCCAAGAGACGGGGAATCTGCTTGATGAGGGTGTCGGAAGCCAAGAAAGCATCGTACTTGCGAGCAAGCTTCTTGATGAGCTTCTTGTTCTTGTTCAGCTTCTTCAAGTCATCGGCCGACATGGCATCAATGCCGTGGTGCTTGGCACGGTCGAGATCGTGCTGGTCACCGAGAACACTATCCTTCTGTCAGCAACCCTATCTTCCTTTTGTATTTCGTCGTTGGTATTGGTAAAGGTGGAGGTAGTCGTACCAGATGCTCATGTTAGGGCGAGGAACAGTAGGGAGCTTGATGGTACCCGAGAAACGCTTGTCACGCTGGGGGTCGTAGTTCTTCAGACCGATCTGAAGCTCGACGGTCTCGAGGAAGTTACGCTTCTTCTCATTCTGAGAGTAGTTGAGCAGCTGCTCGATGTTCTGGCGCACTCCGGCTGTTCATTTCACTTATCAGCATTTTGCGTTCTGGTGATATGTAACTTGGCGAAACAAAGGTTGAATACGCACCGACTGTGATCTTGGACATGGTGCTGACAGTCTTCCAAAAGAATACTTTCTTATGGTGTGGCTCTGCGCTGAATATCGGTTCAAGGACAAGAGGAAAAAAGGTGAACGGCGGCGGCGTCGCCCGGGAGAAAATCCGTTCTCCGCTTGTGTGGGACGCTAGCTGGTTTGGGTTTGGTGGTGCCCTAATTTTGTTGATTAGTCATGATACCTACTGTGTACATAAGTGGTCAGGTGCACGGACCACTGTTTACTTTGTGGTTGGGAGGACTTGTACTTGGAGGCATGGGAAATGGCCTAAGTGTCAAGATTGCCAAGGAGGTTTAATTGGTACTTCCTATACTCGATAAACGTTCCAGTTATCTAGTCAGGCACTGTGTCCTGCGTGCTATATATGCATTCTCTGATTGTATGATGGGTCTGACAGGCTATGTGTATCTCATTTTCATCAATAGGTTATTCATTATAGTCTCTATCCTCCATGTATGACATATCAAGATCCCATGTTTACGATTGCCAATTGACAACGACCGCTGGCAATGAAAGTCTTTGTGCAACAGGTTCAGCAGCTATAGTCATGAAAACCAGGGATATTCAAATCAAGACTATCCCAATCCCACAGCTGACTTATCTCGCCCATATCGGTGTTAAGAATATCGTCCAGTCCTGCGAGACCGTCAATTGTTCCTGAAGGGTCCAGCCCTGCGGGTAGGGTCATGTCAAATCCAACCCCCAAACCATTAGACGGGTAGGCATCAAACGCATCGTCATTAACAAATGTCACCGATTCGGTATGCACAGTAGGAGGCGTGTTAGGCCCTTCCAATGATCCTCCCGGGGTTTTGGAGGACAGAAGAACCTTTTCTTCCGGAGAAAGGGGCATTCTGCCGGCAAGCCTCGCCAGAACTGAATGACAGGTGGCACCGGTTTTAGTGCCTTGTGATATTTGCTCCAGCGCATCGAGGCCCATGCCGATTGTTTCAACAGCTTTGTCTCGATGTGCAAGATTCCGGCCGCGGTCGTGGATCACTGCAGAGCAGAGAAAGGCGGCCGTGTCGAAGATCAAAAAGGGCGCGAAATGGAACTTCCCATTGGCAGGAAGTAGGTGTGCCAGTAGCAGCCGGGCTGACTCCATCACCTTCGTTGCGCAGTCCACCGCCATTGGCTGAAGGCTCTTCTCTAGACTAGGCTTGCTTGGGTCGGCGTCGATGGTTAGACATTGCTTCAATGGCATAAACATGACCATGTAGCCCACGGCATGGAGTTGGTGCCGTTGCATCGGCACATAGCTATGGGAATGGTCCCATCGGGTATCCGGATTTGTGCGTCTGTAGGCCGGAGGGAACATGTCGGACCATCTCTCAATTTCTTGCTGAATAGCAATGGCTTGGTTGGGGGCTAAGATCCCACTCATCACGCCAGGGATCTTGGAGATTGCCTGCCCTAGTTGACACTGAAGGGCTATATGTATTACTGGTGATGGCATGTCTATCCCTGCCTCGGCCTCCAGCCTCACATTGGGCAATTCAAAAGAGCAATAATTGCTGTTGATGATAAAAGGTCGCGATAATAGGAGCGACACTTGCCAATCCCAGGTGTACAGAAGGCACCAAATTCGTCTTCTCATCTCCCGTTCAAATTCGGACACCTTTGCCTTGGTGGAGCTTCGGTGCATCCCTATTCGAATCAATAAACTGATCAGAGACGCGTAGAGGAAGCAGACCTAGCTCCTGAGCTTCGTGGATGGCAGCACCTAATGCATGCCACGATTCCACAAATAATGCCTCGGTTTTATACCACACTGCATTAACGAATAGTTGTTGAACTTGGGTTAAGCCACCCTTGCCAGGCCCGATGGTATTGCTGAGTTGTTTGGCAGTCCGGTGGTACTGCTCGGCCAGATTTTGAGAGTTTTCGCCCAATTCAGTCTCGAGTCTCTGCTTCCCCTCTGCATCCAGGTAAAGAGTGGCGCATGCACAAACTTGCAGCAGCAGGGCTGTAAACTCTGGAGCTAGTGCCTGGCCACCGGCTTTCCCCGACCACCACGCAGCGTAATCATGCAAGAAAGTCGATGGGTAAAGACAAGAATACTGCTCGTTCATTTCACCCAGGAAATGCTGCACCAACATATCTGTACGGATTAGCAGCCTATCAGAAGCAGATCTCCGCACCTACCTGTATAAGGCTTAGGAGGAATAGTGCGTATTGCCTTTTCCAATTCCGATGATATGAATCCCTGAGAACTCGGTGATACTACAGTAGATTGCTGATACCAGGCAATCAGCGATCAGTGTAATCTGCCAGATCTTGGGTCTCACATATTGTTCGGGTCCTTCCTTGAGCAGGTTGTCGGGGAGGTATCCTAACATCCGAAAATCCTCCCCACTGGCAACGCTGCCAGAAGCCTGAGAGTCGGGCACTGAATCTGCATTCTTCGTAGGGGTATTTAGAGTCCTAGGGGCGTTAACAAATGATCGAACATTTCATTACTGGGCGAACCTTTCATTACTGGCGGGCTTAGCCTTGAGCACCTTTTTAGGTGTGAATTTACAAAGATGAGCGATGCGCCTTGATTGGCAATGATTGCAGGGCCATTCCCTGCTGCACTGAGAATGGTCAGATTGGTTGATCCACCGGTTGGGATGCTTGCCTTTTGCTTCCGTCGCTGGCATTCGGTGCATGATGTCGCCAAGCGGACTGTTTTCCCGGCCCCGTTGTCCATGGTGTCAATCGAGATATGATCGGGGCTACAGGTCACTCAGAGCCTGGCGACCAGACAGACACTTGAACTATAGGCAGGGAAGTATGACCGCCAGATGGAGAAGCGTGGACCAAGACCCTCACCGATCAGGTGATTGATTAGTCAGGTACTTCTGTCACTATCTGCAACAACTAACAACTCAGTTTTATAGCTATTGGTGGAGTCATCCAGACAAAACATGCATCAATAGCACGTAGCTTCAACTCCCTTTCTGGAATCTTTTGGTGTCTCAACTGCCGAGCTCCAAGGTGCCATTTAGTATGGCTTTGGTCAGATGAATTAAGGAGCATTTAGTCCGGCAGTAGCTCGTACCATGAGAGAGGTGCCATCACTGCCACTCTCGCAAAATTTAGATCACTAAGCCCGGTGAAGTCAATTCTGCGAAACAGTGTGTCATTTGCAAGATCCGACCTTTTCACACTGTCTTTCTTTGTCGACAGCGCTTTCCCAATAGTCCACATGAAACAGACAAACATATGCTGAGCATAGAGCTGTCCCACGGGGACTTTCGAGATCCGTGCTAGTTTAGCGCCAGAGCTTTTGTCCAGATGGGCATTTTCACCAATCCTACTAACGCTAAATGTAACCTCGTCATCGTCCTCCTCGCCTGTCATATCGCGGTTTCCAAGGAGTGATGGTTTCTCAACGGTCACGCGGAAGCCGGTGGAAGAGTCTTGTGGTGGTATTTGGTAAAGTCCAATCTCGTCGTACAAGTTCTTACGTCTCAGTACAAATTCGAGATTCTCATGGCTGGGACCAATGGTTAATGCGCTCATTTTGAGAACTTTGACCTTCCTGGGATTGATGCCTGATAACAATAACGAGATCAGAGCCCCGAGCTGGTTTTCATCTGCCTTCCACCCTTCTTTGTGTTTCTCGATCATTAGTTCCAGAGACTCCGTGGCTTGCCCGTCGACCTGGATCTCTAGCTCCCGGGCCCAGTGATCGATGCCTTTGGATGTAATGACGTTCATGTTATCAGCCAAACTTAGAGTTACTTCATTGATTGCTAGTGCGAGAGTTGATGCCAATTGGGTATGCGAGCCCTTATCCTGGGTCGTGCGAGCCAGAAACTCACGGATTTCCAGCAAGTCCTGTGCGCAGCGGCAGCCCCGAATCTTTGCGTCGTCATCGCTCACTTTGATGGACGACAAACTCCAGCTTATATCCGGATCGTCACCGGGCAAGGCGGGCTCGTAGAGCCGTTGCGGATCTAGAAGACACCTTTTCGCGATCCAGTCCGTACAGCAGCCTGTGTCGATTCTCTTCGCCCGATCGGGCAGATCCTGGCGGCGGAGGAAACTTCGACACAAGAACATAAACACTGTGGTCAAGAACTGGAGGGCCTGCGGAGGCCAATGCTGTAGGGGCAGGGAGATTGCTTGCATGAGGTATCCCGCCGCGATGCAAAAGATGATCAGGGGCGGAAACTGCACACGCGGAGCCATCCCACGAGGACGGTGTGAAGAAACAACTTCTGTGCGGATTCGCTTGGTAATGACGTACGAGTCCGTCGCATCCGGGTCGGATCTTTCTTGGGGCCAAATGATAAGTGAATCGGGGCGTGTTGGCTTCCATAGTACATCCTGCGAGGCCTTGTCGATGGCCGAGGCACACACCAACATCCCGACAAAAAGGAATGCCGTCCCACTTATGAAGACGAAGAGCGACCATGTAGTGGGAGGAAAGCACCTTCGCATGGGGGGGTAATAAGCTATGAGAACCCCCATTATAGGACAGCGGAGTAGCGTAGCGAGTAGCAGAGCATATCCACTGACAAGGAATTGGCAAGTCCGTGGTCAAAGGACTTTATTGCATCCAAGCTCATCGTGATTGGAGATTTTGAGTTAGGTCGAACCATGGCACAAATCATGAGAGCCAGTCCGAATACTTCCTAAGTGCGAATAGATACACAAACCAGCCATGAACCATAATAGAGAAAATACTCTTTAAAAGTCAAACAGAGAACCTTTTAACTCAATCAACCCACCGCAGACCGTACTATACTCCATTCCCAACCCACCACCAAGACTATACAGTCCGAGATCTCGACACTGAACCCCATTTATCCATCCCAGCAGAAAGTACCATTAACATGAGCTCCGGCCCCAATCCCCAACCCCCCAAAACCTCCCCACCAACAGGGGTATGCTGTTTCTGTCGAGGCCTCTTCTCTTGCCGTAAGCCCCCACCCCAACCCCCATCCTCACTCCCCACTCTACCCTACCACAACACCCCTAACCCCCAAAACAGTCGGCATAGCCATATCAGCCATCCTCTGCTGCTTCTGCCAATGGCCCTTCAAACAACTCGACCAAAACCAAGCCGGGATAATCATCCAACACGGCCACATCCACGAAGTCGAAAACAAAAACCTCTACTTCATCAACCCCCTCACCGAGAAATTCATCTCCGTCGACTTAAGTGTAAAGACTCGGGAAATTAGTCAAAAGTCCTTTGACACGCCCACGGGCAGCGTTCGTATCGCTCCTGTTATTTCCTTCAGGGTTGCCAATCCGAGTCGGTTCCTGTCTTTGTTCGCAAAGGTTCAAGATGCGGAAGAGTTCGTGACGACGTTGACGTTGAGTTTTATTGGGGTTTATCTTGCGATAAGCTCCCATGGCAATGAAGGGGCGGTGGAGAAGCTTCGGAGGGATTTGTTCTTTATGTCAGTTGCCCTATTCCTTTCGTGAAATCTGTTTCCAGACCATCCCTACCGAAAACATAAAATAGTCCTCATTGGGAGGGCCAAAGCAACCAACACATTTTACATCAATGAGAGACGAACTTCACACACTGATACCACAAAGTCATACATAGCGACTGATCTTACTAAAACAGTACATGTACTAAAAATCCGAAAGACCGCGCTCGAGCTGACGGTAACCCTGAGAATGGAAAGGAAGTTATTCCACCAGATGAAGCGCCATCTTCTTCTTCTTCTGCCGGGTCTCCATCAACATCTAACCACATGGATGATTATCCTCGGTGTTTGGAAGAAAATGAGATTCAGGTTTAGGGAGTTGAGTTGCGGAATCTGGTGGTTCGGTAGATTGGAGAGTTGGAAGTCGGATTCCTGTGGCTCATAAGCTCACTGCTTAAGCATTAGGAAGGGTTTCTGATGGGTGGGTTGGTTTGTTAGCTGTATCTAGGAAATTTAGGACTTATTCAATCACTAGTATAGATATTATCTACGGGAAATATATATCTATACAGAATAAAGAACGGTGGATGTTGGAGTAGAGTTATAATTATCAACGATCAATTTAGAGTACAACAATTGAACTACTACCTAAAGGACCACGCGGAGAAACTTGGTGTCCGATCAGTATCAGCACATGACTCCTGATACAAACAGTCTTTCTTGCTTAGCCCTCACAGTTCACCAGAAATAACATCCGCAGCCAATTCAGCAAGAGCATAGACAGCAGCTTGGATATGCGCTGCAATTGGGACAGGAATGACGCTTGCATCGACCACACGGAGGTTCGACACCCCATGAACCCGGAAGTCGGTATCGACAACCTTGCCCATAGAGCATGTTCCCAACGGATGATAAGTGGAACTACATCCCGATTCTGTCAGATGATAGGCTGTTATGGGGGTAGGGAAATACGTACAAAGCTCCATGGCGAGTGCGCGAATCCAGATACTCATCGGACGAATCCAAGGTGATTGGGCGGAAAGCATCGGGGGACACCTCTCTTTCGACAAACGACTTGCCAGCGTCGGTGCCGAGGAACAACTGAGCGGTCTTGCGTAGACCCATGCGCCAGGCGTAGCGGTCGGCCTCGGTGGAGAGATACTGGGGGTCGATGACGGGGTTGGTTGCCGGATCGGTGGAATTGATGCTGACGGAGCCCTTGGAGGTAGGGAGCAGGTGCACGATCGTGGAGGCAATATGGGTACCGTCGAATGAGATGACGGGGTTAGCGGGACATGCAGCTGCGTACAGCACCAGGTGTTCTATGACAGCACGTTGGGAGCGCAGGAGCGGGTGGTTGTCGGCGTGTCCGTCTGCTGCCAGGGCCTTGGCTAGACCTTCTTTAGGCACGTCGGTCTTGACGATCCAGTCGACTGGGACACCGAGGCCGAACTGCGGCTTGGTGAAGTTTGGGTTGTGGACTCCGAAAGCGTAGCCGGCATATTGATCCTTGAGTTTCCAGTATTGAGTCATTTCCAAGTGGTCGAAGAGGTTACGTCCGACTTCCGAGATGTCGGCTTTGATAGGGATGTTGAATTGGGAGAGAGTGTCCTTGGGTCCAATACCGGAGAGCATCAGGAGTTGAGGAGTGCGGTAGGAGCCGGCGGCGCAGATGATTTCTCTTCCATAGTAATGAACGCCAGCAGCGGTTTCGATTCCCACGGCGGTGGACTCCTCGATCACGATGCGCTTGACAAGCGTGTTGGTGAGGATGCCGACCCTGTTCAGGGGATATGCGGAGCTGGCAAGTTGACGAAGGCCATTGCGTCTGTTCTCGGTGAGCTCGGCGAGGCCGGTGGGATTGCCGCTGTTTCCATCTAGTCCGTCCAGCGGCTGGACGCCGTTCTCCTTCCAGGCCTGGAGCAGAAGGTCGCAGAGGGGGTAGTGACGTCCGGTGGATGCAGCGGTGGCGATATACAAAGGACCGTCCGAGCCGTGCTGACCAGTGGTCACATTGGGGTCGTGGTATTCTTCAGTTCGGATGAAGTAGGGAAGCATGCGTTGGTAGCTGTAGCGCTCATTCCCGACGAGTTCAGCCCATTGATCATAGTCATGGCCATCACCTCGATCCCATCCGCCTAGAGTTGTCAGCTGGATCCCCATTCGTTTATGTGATGGCAACTCACAGACGTTAATGGCAGTGCCACCGCCCAGGCATTTACCAGCTGGGTTGTTGATGCTGCGTCCCTCGAGCTCTTTTTGGGGAACGGTGGCATATGCCCAGTCCAGCTCGGAGTGGATGAGGAAAGGAAGGTTCTTGGCGTAGGGGATAATATCGTTTTTGGTTACATCAGGGCCGGCTTCCACCAAGAGGACCTTGGGTCTGTTTGGGCCTTTCGATAGACGGCTTGCGAGGACAGAGCCAGCAAGGCCTCCGCCGACAATGATGTAGTCATAACGAGGAGCCATTGCGCTGGTATTGATCTAGGTGGAGATTGTTTAAGCGAAAGATAGTAAGTGGGTCATGGAGAGCTTACTTGGAGCAGAATGTTATGCAACAAAGTGACACAGACTAGAACGAGAAACTGAGAGGTTGACACACTGGACAACTTTCTTGTGCTTCTGGGTGCGTGTGTATCTCAACACAGATTGAGTCCGGAACATGGCCTCAATTTATAGAACAATCCCCCCTAAAGAAAGATTCATCGGATTCTAGCTTTCACCGAGTTTATCGGGATCTTCCGCTAAAAAATCGGGATTTCGTGACTCGATATTCATTCAATATCTGATTATAGTCGGAATCTGGATGCAACTTTTCACTGGTTAACACATATAAATAAGCTCAATCTCCACCCAGACTAAGTGGATACTGACTGACCGCTACTTGGAATTCCCTTGTACCTGGCTGTCTACCTCACCACATGCATTCGACTCATACTGTCCGGTTGGCAAGCTACAAAGTTTCTGAATTCACGTTTAGCAAATGACCCACACAGCCACAACCTCCATGCTAGGTTTGTGCAGTGATATCAGCAACCGGTAATGAATATTCCAGCTGCCACTTCCGCAGATTCCCCCCATATCGGGCAATGAGTCTCTGCGGTCTGGCCACTTAGCAATGGTCAACGTGATAATTTGCATAACCTGGTCTGCCCGAGCTCAGCATAGAGAATTGGAATAAGGCTCGGCCGACCCTTGAGCCTATTCAATTACAGTGAGTGTCGTATGACAGGGTCGTGAGAAGTGGATGGAGTGACGAACAAGCTCTTCTTGACAAAAATCATTCACATTAAAGAAGACTGAGATAACACAGCCAATTTGATATTCATGGTTATATCACCTGTATATATTGAGAGTGCAGTGCAGTCGGAACCTCGGTGATTCTTTCCAGAGCCGAATAGGTTTATCCCCAAGTGTTGACTTCACTCTGGCAAACGCCTGGCCGTGATGAGCTGAGTTTATACCCTTTGTGTGTGCTCGTTGCACTTGCTCGTTGCGCTTGCCTAGGCATGCAGTATATTCAAATCTGCATATTGTAGACTGGACTAATGTTTTAGCTGCTCAAATTGAGCTACAATAGGTCTCGCGTGTTTGTTTAGACGCTTTGAATTTGAGCTGTTCAATACCATTCGGGAACGGAATATTGTCCACACCTGGTCACATGCTGCCCTCAAGCCCAACAGATGAAAAGGGCACTGCCATGAGGGTTTAGCCTTTCCACTTGACCCTTCAGCCAGTGCAATCGGGCTGAAGGGTCAAGTGGAATATCGGCTAAAGGTCTACAGAGTGCGGAGGACTACACCGTATGCGGTATCCGAGACCGAGAGATAAGGCCGATGCTGGGAATCTTCCGAGGACGTCTCAGCCTTATGAATTCTGCCCCTCTTCATCTCCTTTCTGACATCTCACATCTGTTATTCTCAAAATCACATCAATTATGGAAGAAATAGAATTGCAGGATATCTCGGCTTCTCCCAACACAAAACATGACCAACCCATCTCCGAGCAAGTAGTGTCTGGTGATGTCCACCAAGAAAAAGGACCAAGGAATGCCCCTTTGGTGATCCTCTGCATCTCCTGCATCACATTCATTAGCTCGTACTTGGGTGGGCTCGTCACGGTGTCTGTTCCCCAGATTGCGACCGATTTACATCTCAGTCCTGGGATGGAACTATGGTATGATGCTTCGCTGCATGCAATAACAGCATTAACATGATCAGGCCCGTTTCGATGTACGCCCTAGGGACAGGATGCACCCTCCTTATTTCCGGTGCCATGTCGGACGCAGTAGGCAACAAAATCCTCTTTTTGACGGGCTGCTTCTTGCAAAGCATTCTCTCCATGGCCTGTGGTCTGGCTCAAACCGGTACTGAGCTCATCATCTTCCGAATCATATCTGGCGTGTCGGCGTCGCTTTGTCTGCCATCCGCAATGAGTATCATCTCGGAGCACTTTCCGGCAGGAAAGCTCCGTAATTTTGCCTTTGCGTTGATGGGATGTGGTCAGCCCATTGGCTTTGGGATTGGGATCCTTCTCGGGGGGATTTTTGCAGATACAGTTGGATGGCGCTGGGGGTTTTACAGCGCTGCTATTGCCAACACGCCAGCGTTTCTTCTGTCGTTGTGGCAGTTGCCCAAGAAGAAGGAGGGTAGAGTGTCGTGGAACCATCTCGTGTTTGGAATTGACTGGATTGGAGCTGTCGTTGCGAGTGCAGCGTTGGCTATTCTATCCTATGCTTTGGCGTATGTATTCGACCCAGTGGAGGATGTCGCTGACTGTTGTAGGATTATCACTGGAGATGTGTCTAAGGTTCATGACGCAACCACTATTACACTGTTCTGCGTCTCTGGTGCATTGGTGATCGGATTTGTGCTCTGGCAAGGTCGACAGGAGCGGCGGTCTAAACCCACCCTGATCAAGAACTCACTGTGGAAAAAGGCCGCCTTTTCAAGCATCTGCGTGAACGTGTTTACGATCTGGGGAGCTTTTAATGCTTTTGAGCAGGTCGCCAACTTTTTCTTCCAGGATGTACAGAAACTCTCTGTATTAAGCACATCGGTACGATTCATACCTGTTTCAGTCATGGGTCTATGCGCCAGTCTTATGACCGGTCTGATATTACATCGAATCCGCGCCGACGCCATCATCACCATCGCTACTGTGGTTTCCTCAATTTCTCCCCTTCTCATGGCACTCGTCAGTCCCCAATGGACATACTGGCACGGGGCATTCTTTGCCATGTGTTTGAACCCGATTGCTGCTGATGTGTTGTTTACGGTCTCGACGATTCTCATTGCGGGCATGTTTCCTACTGAGACTCAGGGCTTAGCAGCGGGGGTGTTTAATACGGTGTCGCAGGTTGGTCGCAGCATTGGACTGGCATTGGTGGCGTTGATTTCGAATAGTGTGACGGAGAAGAGCTTTCCCTCTAAGGACCAGAGTCCGGAGGCGTTGTTAGTGGGATATCGAGCGGCGTTTTGGTTTCTGTTTGCGATGAATGTGGGGAGTTTGGGGGTGAGTTTTGTGGGATTGCGAAGGGTGGGAAATGTAGGGAAGAAGAAGGCTGTATGAGATCCCCCCATAGCCCTAACTCGACTATACCCTGTTCAATGTCGACTACTCACATAGACCAAGAGTGTCCAGATACTACTAGCACTACTAGCAGATCTACTATCCCAAAGACATAACAAACCATGTATGTATCAAATATCTATATCACATAAACATCCCAAACACGTATATACAACTTAGCACATACACATATACATCCCACAACCTCCCCTTTCAACCCCATCATCACCTAGCAGATAGGAAATACTACAACCTCCCCTGCACCAACCCCATCTCCCCCTTCCCCTTCCCCTCCACCAAAGAAGTATCCTCTCTCACCACAAACCCCCACCCCGGCTTCATCATCCCCTCCTCCCACCCCAACCTCCTCCCCAACTCCCACCACGACTCCAACCCCCGTCTCGCATGCTCCACCACACACTCCCTCCCCTCCCTCGCCAACGTCCTACTAAACAACTCCAAACTAACCCATCCCTCAAACCCAATCTCAAAAAACGCCCTCGCCGTCTCCTCAATGGGCAAATACCCCCCCCTCTCCTCCTCAAACGCAAACAACCTCGCATTCCTCGACCAACTCATCCGACTCGGCTGCCCCTCCACAAAAAACTCATGATTCTCATCCAACGGCCTCTCCAACCTCTCCCCATCCACAACCTGCACATAAAACACCTTCTTCACATCCACCGTCTCCCTAAGTTTCCTCAACGACGCAGCCAACTCCCCCTCCGCATTACCATTCTTCCCATCCACCGACCCAGGGTCCGCATACACCCTCCCCGCCAAATTAAACGTATCCAAACAAATCCCAAAATTCGCCCGGTCCACCGCACACACAATCTCATATGCCTCGTCCCAGAGACTTACGTGCGTGCCCCACGCCAACGCCTCGTATACGAACCGGAACGGTGGATTCTGCGCTGCGCCTAGGTCCGCTAATTGTTGTAAATCGGATACAATCACGTTTCTGTCGCCTGTTGTTTCGCTCGCGGGCGCAAAGTTCGACGGCACTTGGATCATGTCTGTGTGTAGGATCCTTGCGAGAGTGAACCATTTGGGGAGTTTGTCGGTGAGGAGGGAGGAGGTTTGGGATCGGTCGAGGAGGCCTTCGTAGAAGGCGAAGGGTTGGAGACAGATGATGGTGAGGGAGAGGGATGTGCAGAGAGTGTGGATGGCGTGCGCGGCTGAGATGTGGTCCCCGTTGAAATTGGTGAGCGCGTAGTGGTCTAGGTCGTCGAAGAAGAGCTCGATTCCGGTGTAGCCGTGTTGGGAGGCGATGTGGAGTTTGGTGGGGAGGGGGTGGATGCCGGGGCGTCCGAGGGACATGGAGGCTATGCTGAGGCGGTTGGGCATTTTGATTGTCTTTATTTCTTTGTTTTTGGGTCGGGGGAGGGGAAGAGAAATGGTTGTGGTTGTAAATGGTGTGTAGGTAGTGGAGGTAGTGGTGGTATAAATAAGTGATAGATCGAAAGTATATCTTCCGAGTCCAAAAGCAAATCCAAGCAAACAAATAATCGAACGAATCAAATCCGAGCTAAGGTGTAGATCACTCGCACCGAATAATCTCTCGATGAAAAATCAATATCACAATCAATAAATCCACGGGGAGTCAAGTTCGCAAAAGCAATTCAAACGTACTTTCAATCCGCGGCCTGGGCTGGGAATGGGCTATTACTTGAATGGTTATCTAGTTAGGGTTGGTGCGCGGAGTTCCGGCGGGCGGGAAAGCGCTTTTCCAGGTTGTTTTAGCCGGTGGTGGTTTTGCTGTGGAGTGGCGGGTGATGAAGGTCCGGGTTAGGGGTTAGTGTGAGTGATTGTGGGCCGGTGGTGGTGGTGCTATTTTTCCCCGGATGAAGGATGGGGGAGAAGGGGGCAGGAGGAGGGAGGGTTTATTTAGTCTTTACCCCCCGTTTATTGTGTCTTTGTTTGAGTTGGGTTGGGTGCCTGATTACTTTACTTTGTCTTTAACTTTCGAGTTTGCCAAGTCGAGCCTTGGAATAAGGTATTCATTCCTCATGACGCATAGCATATACATAATGCTAGGCAGTCTCTACCTGCTCAACTCCCCCCTTCATATACCCACTTTCTTCCAAGTCGTGGCGGAACCGTTCCTCATCTTCATGAATCTGGGCCAACACTGTCGCATGTGCCCGCCACACCGGCTTGGTCTCGAACAACGGGTCCATGTTCTCCAAGGGAATTCCCTTGGTCTCCGGAATCAAAAAGTACACAAACGGAATCGACAGCAACATCAGACTCGCAAAGAAGAAATACACCCCATAGTCCATGGCCTCGAACATTTGCGGCGTGAACCGTGAGATGAGAAAGTTCCAGAGCCAGTTGGATCCGGCGGCGCAGGCCTGTGCCAACGATCGCACATTCGGGTCGAACATTTCCTGCGATTGTCAGTTTCTCGGCCAAAGAACGTGTCCGGCTAGGCACCAATAGGGGAGCTGAATGAGGTGGGTGCTTACCGCGTTAATCACCCATGGGGTGCCGTTCCATGATGGCGTGTAAAACGCCGTCCACAGATAAAAGAAGAAAATAGCAGCAACACCACCCCCATTGAGGTGATCACTGGTATTATGCGTCGGATCAACCACCTTGATGTACGCCCCCACAATCCACATGCAGACGGACCCTCCCGCCGCTCCGATCAGCAGCAGCAGCCGGCGGCCCACCCGGTCGATCAGATACAGCAGCCAGACAATGGTCACCACTGTCTTGACCACGCCGAAGATGCCCGTCGTCAGCAAACTGGAACTGTTACCCTTCAGCCCGATGCTCTTAAACACCGTCGGGCTGTAGTAGTTAATAGCGTTGATGCCTGATCCGTTCTGCCAGAAGAACAGCATACTACCCAGCCACAGTCGATACAGGATCTTCTTGTTCGTCCAGGCCGCCGCAAAAGGCTTCCAGAAGCCGAGTCCGATCGTGGCCCGCTGGTGCTCTAGAGTCTGGTCGATAGCCCCAATCTCCTCGATCATGTAGACGTGATCTTCAGGGATCTGACGGATCCAGCAGAGGTTACGGATAGCCTCCTCGCGTCGGCCACGCAGGAACAGCCATCGCGGGGATTCCTTGACCATCATAATCCCAATGATCAATAAGCCTGATGGGATCAGCTGGACCGCAAACGGGATGATCCACTGTTTGTGGCTGGGAGTCAACGTCTGCTCCACTCCGTACTACTCCAGTCAGCTATGTCGAGACCAAGATAACGAGTAAACTTACGTTGATCCAGAAGCCCACCAGACCACCAATCTGCCATCCCAACTCGTAGACACCAACCAAACGACCACGAATAGCAGGTGGGGCCAGCTCAGAAATATAAATCGGCGTAAAGTTAGACCCAGCACCTACTCCCAACCCCGCCAGCACACGTCCAGCGTAGATCAACCCCAGACCGCGTTCGCCATTAGCACCCAGCATGAGACCCGCCCCCAGAGTGAAGATCAGAGCCGACATCATCAGACCCCACTTGCGGCCCCAGAAATGACCGATGGGGTAGGCAAAGAAGGCACCAAAGAAGGCGCCCGCCTGGTAGCAGGAGACAATATTCGCACTGACCATGTTCTGAGTGGAGGAGGACATGGAGCTCCAGTGGAACTCCTCTTTAAACGAATCAAGAGAGATAGTAGTACCGATAAAGGCACTGTCATAGCCGATCATACATGAAGTGCAAGAGGCCACGGCAGCTAAGAGATAAATCCTCCAGTTGTAGACCTCTTTAGGCGTGGGCCTGTCCTCGACCATGGACAGGATAGACATGATGTGAGTGGACCTCTAAGGTATGGAGAAGAAATGGATAGACTACTGCAGGAAACTGGGGAGACGCAGTCTTGGGGTTTATATAGGCTACCCCGGACTATCAATCCGGGGGTGGAGCCGGGGAGACAAACGATTACCCCAGATATCATGCCAACAGTCAGTGGGAAAACGATGGCGGCAAAACATAGCTGGATGCAACTGCTAGAAAGATTAAGAGTGTAGTGGTGGCTGATTGGGATGATAGACTGGACAAGGACGAGCCATGGATGGGCTCGTGTTGCGCATTGACCTCCTTAGGTTGAATTTCCAGAGCCAGATTGGGGAAGGGAGACGAGGAGATATGCGGGGAGTCTGGCACACACCAACAAAGTCAAATCAATTTGAGGATTCAAGATTGGGTGTTCCGGGATCGGAGGATGAAGAGAGCAAAGATCGTCAGACCAATGGAATGGGCGGGGAATATCCCCACGGGGAAGATATGTCCAATTCTACAGAGTCTACGGTGAGTACATAGGTGGGTCTCACGTGCTGCCCAATTGAGCGAGTTAAGCGAGAGAATAGCCAAAAGAAAAAGTACGATTGTGGGGACAGCCATAATCCTGTAATGTATAAATGGAGGCAAATACCGGGTGAGACCTATGCAGCAGCAATACCACAAACACCTCACAAACAAAACTACAGAAACAATCTTAATCAATAATCTCTCAGCTGAATACTTCAAAGTTCTCTCACCTACTCCGTACTTATACACTTATTCCAACCCCTCATCTCTCATCCCTCTAAGCACCCGCTCGGCACTCGGCCCCGGCAAAGCGCTCTCCCCCGGCCAAGTCCTTAGCCTGCCCGCCACTCAGGCACAGGCAATACACTCCTCCGACAACCACATCCATGGATATGGATAACATTCCAGTCACCAGTAACCAGGAACCAATATGACGGTAGGTAAAGGTCATCTCCGAATTTCATCCACATAGACATACATATACATGCAGCAGCGACCCTTAGATTTCTTAACTAACCGCAACCACCCACATTTACCTCCAACATCCTCCACACAACCAACATGACCTCCCAATCCAAAACAATTCTCCTCCTCAACGGTCCCAACCTCAACCTTCTCGGTCTCCGCGAACCCCACATCTACGGCAGTACCACCCTCCCTGAGATCGAATCCAGCTGTGCCACCCTAGCATCCACCCTAAACTGCACTCTGCAAAGCTTCCAATCCAACCACGAGGGGGCCATCGTGGACCGCATCCACGCCGCACGGGGTGTCGTCGACGCTATCATCATAAACCCCGGGGCATACACACACACGAGCGTGGCGATTCGAGATGCACTGCTGGGCGTTGCGATCCCGTTTATCGAGCTGCATGTGAGTAATGTGCATGCGAGAGAGGAGTGGAGACATAAGAGTTATTTTAGTGACAAGGCGAGTGGGATTATTGTGGGGTTGGGGGTGGAAGGGTATAAGGTTGCGGTGGAGTTTGTGGCGAGGAATTGGAAGGTTTTGGACAAGGGGAAGCTATAGATGTACTGTTGAGGGGGTATGTATATAGAGGTAGATGGATGTTGCTATCTATGCTGCATCGTGCTATCGTCTTCGACGAGTATGCATATGTACAATCGTCAATCATGTCTGGCCGGTCACGGTCGTCCGTATATCAGTCGTTGATACTGCAAGTCATCTCTTCGAATTCGAGCTCTCCGACTCCCGTCGCACCTCACACGGAACCTGTTGTTGCGTCTGCGCCAGGAGAAACGGCTCCACCTGGCTCGAGTACGAATATAGCTCCGGCACCCCCGCCTCCGGCACAAACCCCAGGTTCTGCATAAACTCCGGCTGGTTGTCCGTCCTATTTTGTCAGTAAGATTCATCGATACCAGAGCATGACTTACTTTTCGGTCCCATCTAGCGACGCCAGTTCGTCAAACAACGCGTCCAGGTCGGGTGCTATCCGCGGCCGCCGTGGCGGTCCATATCCATCAATGTCAACAAATGACCCAAGATTGAGATTTGGATCACTGTATGTCGGGGTATACTGTGGCCCCGTAGGGTGAAAAGGAGAGGTCAGGTCCGGCATCATCGGGGTGCCGTTCATCGGTTTGGAAGAGGATATTGAGGTGCGTGGATGGTGAGAAAGAGGATTGTGGGAAACAGATTCTTTGAGTTGAGAGGGAGGATGCGATGTCTCACTCCCCTGGTTGATATTCAACGATGGAGCAGGCGTTGGGATAGATAGAGCTACATTCTCATCAACAGTCGGCGTCCTCATCCACGTGTTGAAGAGAGGGTCTGGGGTCGCGATGCTGGGCCGACTTTCCTCCAACGTGCTCACCCGCCGTGCCGGCTCCAACGAAGCTTGAGAGAAAGCGTTGAGAGAACTCGCATCTCGGTTGGAAAGACTTCTCGGTCGGGCAGGCGTTGCCATCGACATCAAATCCAACGTCTTCTCTGGCGAGATACCGGTAGGCCTGTCTTTCACATTCCATACCGTCGCCAGATGCGCAGAGAAAGACTGCAGTTTACTCTTCAGGCCTGGGTCTAGTTCGAACGGAAGAGCATGTCGTTCTCCAGGCATCCCAATCGTGAGCATCATCCCAAAAGTGGGACTAGTCGCCGACAGACTATAATTCTCCATGTACGTCTGGAGCAACTGGAGCAATCGCTTCGAGCTCTCAGTAGCACGCTTCTTCAGCGGCATCTCGGGCAAGTTCCGGTCGCTCCGCTGCAATGCAAACTGCAGACTCAGGTTCGCAACCACGCTCTCGTACATCATCTCCAGCCCAAAAATATGCGGGGAAGCCACTTTCACAGGCGTGGTCTGCAGATCGACCCGGTAGCTCTTCGGAAGCGCCGATACCCAGAGTTGGAGCTGCCTCTCCAGCGCCTCCAAAGGCGCCGGGCTCGTCTGCTTCAAACAGCACAGGTCATTCAGAATGCACATCAGCGAGGTGAGCCGGTTGAACGTGCTCAACGCGTGGAGAGGCCCGCGGTGAAAGGCGCGCGACGGTTCTACCGGGCGCAACCCCGTCTGATCCTCCCAAGGATGCCATTCCTCCAGACCATCTTCATTGATCGGGCCGATCTTGATGAGGTCGGCCTTGCGCAGCGAGGGCACCTGCCCCGTCTGCATCGCAACCAAGGTCTCCAAAATGAAACATCCCAGAAAAACATGCTTGGACCGTGGTGAACTCTTCCCCTCTAGGCCTTTCGCTACGGGCGGTTGGTGTAAGCCCAAGATCTGGGAAATGCGAACGGCCTGGCCAACCAATAACCACGCAGCCGACCAGTCCTGCTGGCCGAGCTTCACAAGGGACAGAATCAGCAGGGCTTGCACGTGGCCGAGCTCGTGGGTCCCCTCTTCGCCAGGGATAAAGCTCCTGGCGGTGGCATACAGCTGAGCCGGATTGGACCGGTCGGAAAAGTCGGTCAGTTGACGGGTAGCAGATATTGAGGCTTCTTGAATCGATGCCAGCGTTAGGACTGCCCACAGAGCGGCATGATCCCCCGACCCCCGAGATCCGGCGGAGACTGAGGCATCATCTTCATTATGGCGAAAAGCAGTTCGTAGGATATCGTGCTTTTCAAGAATAGGAAACCAACATTGGGTATAAGAGAAATAAATATCGAGCAAGGGCCATGCATTTGACGGAAGAGTAACCGGATCCTCGGGCGGGCGCTGCAACCGACCAAACGAGCCTGTGTCTTCCATGGTTTGGGTGGCACAGTCTCGCGTGATGCGCACCCCGCCGTTCCTGACGGTCGATGCTGCGGTCGGGGTCTTGATCGGAGATACCACCGCCAACGAACCCTCGCGCCCATCCCCGAGCACTTCAGGCAGATTCCACTCAAGCACATCCGCTGACAGCACCTCGGCATCCTGCGGGGAATCACTCTCCCCCGGCAAGCGATTGCCCTCCTCCTCGGGTTGTTCCAGAAAGGTCAAGAGTCTCTCAATCTCTCGCAGGACGATGCTGTTTTTCCACGACGACAACAATGTATCAGATCCCTCCGCTTCCTTGCCCATTGTAGCCAGATGACTGGGAATATTGGCCGCCTTCAACAAGGCCCGTACCACCTCCTCACTCCCTTGTATCTTGTTGAAGACTAACCCCCATAATAACTCGAGTGTGCGTATGTAACCGGTCGGAAGGCCGCGTTTCTTCGGATTGGCCTTGTAGGTGCAGGGCCGCGAGAGCGAGGCGCAGGTCGAACACACCGGCTGAATGCCATCGCATTTGTCCTTCTTGGAGCGACAACTGTCGCAGGCGCGGGAAACTCGTTGGCGTTTGGGATTGGAAGCAAAGTCGTCTGCAGCCGGACTCTGCTTGCTATTTTCCTCGACATCGGTCAGTCGCCGCTTGGACTTGCTGCCGGGCCCGGAGGCTTGGCGCGTGTCGTTGTTCATGATCGTCTATCCAACGGTCCACTAGATAATCCCGGACGCATGTTCATCTTCAGAATGCGCGGGCTAGAGATGAATCCTTTGCCGGCGGCAGGTAGTACCTCATAAATTGGCCCTGGGAGCCGCCCCACCGCAGGAAAGATTAGGCGAGGCCAGTTAGCGTAATGCGAAACCTGGCAAAAGGCCAATGGTGGCGGTCAGCGACAGGCAAACCAGGATGGTTGCAGATAGTCGAGGGGGTGAGACCGGAGATGAGAGGAAAGAGATCTAAAGCGGAGAAAGGAAAAATGGCGGCCATGACGGCTGGAGGAAAGTTGGGGAAAGCCGGGCCTAAGTGTACTAACTGCTTACCCGCGGGTGAGAGTGTCGGCGCCGTCCATGGATGGAGGATCGCGATTGGGACTAATCACTAAGGTGGTAAACGGGGGAGGCCCATCAGAACCCGCGGATTGGAAACGCTAAATCTTCGGTGGGCAAGATGGAGTAAGGCGTGGTTCAGTAGGTTGTGTATTGATTGTGTTTGTTGTGGATTGTGACAATGTGGGGAGAGGAATTGGTCACTGAATTGTCTGTACCCCGGGGGCTGAAATTGAGAGCTGGAGAAGTTCTGCGGAGGTCTCCAGACCCTGGGGACATCCCTACCAGCACCAGCAGGCAGAGCTACGTCCGCCAGCCGCACACCACGCCCGAACTCGCAGTTAGTCCAACTGGTACGTACCTGGGTGCCTCACTGCCTCTGGGGACAGGCGAATCCCCGCGGGGTAAGGACCAATGCCAGCTCAGCCGCCAGCGTGCCCAGTCAGCTGCCGCTCATTTCGGCCTCCGGAGTCATTCCGGGACTTCCGTCGCCTTGGTAAGTTACGGCAAAAATACGCCCAGCGAGTCAGCGCCGGCACTGCGGCACTGCGGCACTGCGGCAGAGCCTTTGTCCGCATCCCACTTGGCCCTTGGCTTCGTACTGGCTCGGCAGTCGCTTCTTCCCCGCGGTTCGTTCGCACTTCTCTCCACCAGTCCTCCTCATCTCCCTGCAGCGGTGCAGCCACGCCAGGTTCGTCTCTTGGTCCCTCTTGGTTCCTCCTAGTCCGTTCCCCGGTGGATGCTGAGCATCCCGTCCTTCATTGCGTCGCTTACACAAGTAGTTCAATCTCCGCAGTCCTTGTTCAGTGCTTATCGTCTCCGTGTCAGACCAATGCTTACCATCGAATGCGCCCGGTCCGTCCTGCAGGAACTAATCTTCGGAATTCGCGTCCTACGCCATGCGTGGGTCTGACAATCGCCCTGTTCTCAGTATTTTGAATCCTTGCGTATAACACCCCCGACATGTCCATCCTCGTGAAGCCTCCCAAACGCAAGCTAGACGAGCTCGAAGGTCCCGTCGAGCAGAACAGCAGGCGCCTGTCGCATAGCCCGTTCACCTCCAATGCCTCCCACGCAGTAGATCCTACCTACGGCGATGATGCCCCACGTCCACGAGTCAACTCGGCTCCCCAGACGGAGCACTCGGAGACTTCGCATTGGTTTTCCCTGCGCGAGTTGAACTCCAATCGTCAGTCGCCCGCCTCCTTTGAAGGACCTTTCCAGGCCCAGAGGAAGTTCTCGCCAAATGCGTCCATTGTGTTGACTGGAATCCGGGGCACGGGAAAGTCTAGTCTGGCGGTTATTCTGGCGGCGACCTCGGGCAGAAGGCTGATCGATGCAGACCGGTACTTCCAGCAGGTGACCGGTCGTTCTCGCGCCTCCTACAAGAAGGAATTCGATCTTGTTGAATATCGTCAGCAGGAAGCCAGGGTGATGGAGTCCATGCTCACCGAAAACCAAGAGGGCTGTGTCATTGCATGCGGACCGGGCTCCATGGAGCGCAGTGGGCAGACGTTGCTCAGGGAATACGCAAAGACCCATCCTGTCATCTACATCCTCCGCGACCCCGAGAGCATCCAATCGTATCTGAAAGCGTGGAACACAGACAAAGTCCGCCGTTTTCTCGAACTATCAGGGCCGATTTACCGAGCCTGTTCCAACCTTGAATTCTTCAATGTCTCCGAGAAGGGTATCGACCAGCCAGTTCCAAAGGACACCCATGATTCGCAATGGGAAGCCGAGCTAGATCAACGAGTCCAGGCCATCACTCCTTTTCTCACTCTTAAGCAGTTGCAGCGTGATTTCCTCTGTTTCATCGCGTTCGCCACGGGCGATGCGACGGACCTCAGCCGCCATAACTCATCTTTTCCGCTGTCGATGCAACCAGTGGAGTCTCGCACATACACTTATGCTGTGAACGTACCCATTTCCTCCATGTTCGAGCGTGACCTGGACATTGAGGAGCTAGAGTCGACCGCTGATGCTTTTGAGTTGAAGCTGGACGTGGCGGAGCCACCTTCCTCCCACCTCGGCCTCGACTCGAGTTTTGCCGATAAAACCAGTCAGGCCGTGGCAAACATCCGACGACATACTGTCGTGCCTCTGATATACCATGTAGAGAGCACTGTATCCCGTTACGGTCCGGGCGCAGAGCAAAAGGATCCGTTGCGGCGCTCCGATGCAGAGTATCTCAAAATGGTACAGCATGGTCTACGGCTGGCTCCAGAGTTTGTGACAGTGGATCTGTCTTACGAAGACAATGTACTGTCGCAGATCATAGCCTCCAAAGGGTCGAGCAAGGCGATCGGGCATTTCGCCGCTACCCAGCCACCAGCGCGAGGGTGGGATGATGCACAGTACATGGAGCTCTACGAGCGAGCGAAACGGTTAGGGTGTGACATGGTTCGGCTGACCCAGCCGGCGGTGACGATCGACGACAACTTTGCCGTGCAACGCTTCCGTGACTATATCAAGTCGCTTCCTGCTCCGCAGCTGCCAGTCATTGCATACAATTCGGGTCTCTTGGGCCGATTGTCGTGTTGCTTCAATCCGATCCTGACCCCTATAACCCACCCGTCGCTGCTCTCCGAGATGCAGTCGAAGGGATTGCCGTGTATCACCTTGCGCGAGGCGCAGGAAGCGCTCTACTCCTCTTTTACTCTGGATCCTTTGCAGTTTTTCGTCTTTGGTGCCAACATCACCTACAGCTTGTCCCCTGCAATGCATAACGCAGCGTATGCGCGATGCGGGATGCCGCATCAGTATAAGCTACACCAATCGTCCTCTCTGCGCGGCCTCAATGAATTGGTGGAAAACGCGAACTTTGGCGGAACCAGTGTCAGCTTGCCGTACAAAACCGAAGCCATTCCCCTTCTGCACTCCATGTCACCCCATGCTCGAGCCATCGGAGCTGTGAACACGCTGATCCCGATACGGAGGCTGGAAGACAAAGCGCTTGGCTCAGATAATTCTTCGTTGTACATGGAGAAAAGCCGTGCGGGGCCGATCAAGGCCTTGCATGGAGACAACACGGATTGGATTGGGATGGGGAATTGTTTCCGAAGAGGACTGTCTCCCGCAAATGCCATCCGACCGTCATCCACCGGGCTGGTCATCGGCGCGGGTGGAATGGCGCGTGCTGCCATCTACTCCATGATCCATTTGGGCGTGCAGAATATCTTCATCTTCAACCGGACGGTGGCCAGCGCTGAAAAGCTCGCCTACCATTACAATCGACAGAACCTGCCTTCTGGCCGCGCCGGATCAGCAGTGCGGCCTCGGGTGCACGTCATACGGTCCCTGCAGGAAAGCTGGCCTGCCAGCTATAAGCAACCGACCGTCATTTGCTCATGTATTCCTACCCACAGCATCGGGGGGCAGCCGGCCCCCAACTTTGAGATGCCCGTCCAGTGGCTAGAGAGCCCGACCGGCGGCGTCGTTGTAGAGGTACGTACTGACAGAAGACCGTAGAGTCACCGCTAATAGATGCAGCTGGCCTACAAAACTCTCAACACGCCGTTGATGAAGCAAATACGAGCGCTATCCCACCGTGGATGGGTCGCCCTGGACGGGCTGGATGTTCTCCCCGAGCAAGGCTTTGCTCAGTTTGAGTTATTTACCGGTCGACGTGCGCCCCGGCGGCTCATGCGGATGGTAGTGCTGAAGGAATACGAGGGCGAGGAGGGCCAATACGATGACCGGGTCATCAAAAGCCGGATTGAGAATCTGGAAGGGCAGCCTACTTGAGGCCCTGTCTAGCAACAGTGTTGTAGCCCGTTTTCAGCAACGCGGCCCCTGGTCAGTGCCTCCGCGGGCCTTAGGTGGCATGTGGATTAATAATGCACTGTTTTCGGTGGGCTCCAGGCCTATCGGACGAGTGCCAGGGCATACCTACCGGCCAGATGCAGATGCTTGCAGTGCATAGCCGGTACCAACACCAGCACTTACATGGCATAATGTCTGACGAACATGTATAATGGGCATAGCCCCTTGAATACGATAATCAACCACGTCTCAGTCGTCCGTGACGATTAAAAATGACTAAAAATAGATTCCACCAAAACCTATGAGCACAGCCGCAGGGCTGAACTAGTAGTCCAGTCATTAAACCTAAACACAGCCATCAAACCTAAACCATCCCCATCAACATACACACCCATCCCCAACCCATCAATGACTAAAATCAAACAGCTCAAAGTTCCCACACGCCAATCTCGAATTATCCGACGCATGCACCACCACCGACAAATTGCCAAAGAACGAAACATCCCCCACCACATTCGACACAAACCAATCCGTATACGTCACCGAGAAAGTCTCATCCTCAGGCGCCCACACAGGACCATGCTTGCCACTCAAATCCCCCACCTGACAGGTCTCGGGCGCCTTAATATCGCAAGGGATGGTATCGCCCCGTTTATAAGGGTCGAGGTGGGCGCCTGTACTGTAGCAGTTTCCGTCTTCGGGGACGGGCTTTTCGTGGATGTGGTAGGCTGTGTTTCCTCAGTTAGGTTTGGTTAAGGGAAAGTTTAAATATAGTAATAGCAGTATGGAGGATAGTGGGAGTGGTTTGGGGGGGACGCACCCAAGGGTTGACCGTCAGTAGGAATTCCCCAGAATTCAATGTCAAAGTTGATTCCGACCTTGCTGGGACCGGAGTATGTGGTGACGTGTCCGCCAACGGTGGTGTTATCCTTGGGTTGGAGCTCGGCGCGGTACAGTTTGCCGTGGTTGTCGGTGGTTATGGGGGCATTGGTGTTGGGGGTTTGGGCGGAGGTGAAAGAGAGGAAGTAGGCCAGGGAGGCGGTGGTTGCGAGGAGGGGTTTGGTCCACATGGTGGTGATTCGGTTGTTACTGTAGGGGGTAGTAGTAAATAGAGGGGTGTCTGGTTGTGAGGTGGTTAGTGTGATGGTTTGGGGGAGAAGAGGAGGTTGTATAAGTACGTTGATTGGGATAGTGCCAGTGGTAGTGGGGTGGTGGTACCTGAATAAAGAAAGAACGACGACTGAATGGTAGACAATGAATCCAGCTAGCCTTGTGCTTCCCCCTGGATTGAAGCCTTTATAAGAACCGCCTGCAAGGCGTAAGGAGTGAAACAATGATCCATTCAGGCGCCCTGTGGATGGTTACATCCCTTGCCACGACCGGATTCGTGGGCCCGGATTGGGGGAATGTCGCGGTCGAGGGAATGCGTGCGGGCTGTCATAGGGACGGTTTCGGGGTCGTTACACGGCCAGGATCATCTGTCATGCCAAGGGGGGTAATCAAAGAGTGTGACTTGGTGGAGGGGAGAGAAAGTCCATCGCGGTCTGGGCGGAGGAGTGAAATGAAATGAAATGAAATGAAGGTGTCACATTACTCCGTACGGAGACTTTCAATTTCGCCGACTTCTCTCACTTTCACCATCTCATCTCCTCTTCACCATCGCCAGCTGGCTTCACCTTCTTTATAGCCCCCATCTTTGGTTGAATTGGCCGATTGACTAGTTGGATTGTTGGTCAGCTGCATCATGTCAGCCACATTGGTTAAATTCCTTATTTGGGTAAAATAGGCGCTGCAAGATGATCCTCGCATTGACCAGGATCGGCAGCCACCAAGTGATGAAGGATCCACGTTGGCGATAACAGCTGCTTAACGGCTTAAGAACGTTGGATAGCTGCTAATTAAGAACGAGTCTCGGAAATCTACCGTCCCCGCAACTCGACTCGGGGTATGGATCTGACCCATCATCCCCGGACTTCCTTGCGGTGCTCCGCATCCTGCAGCTCGCGGAATCGGAGCATGTCCACAGCGCGTTTCTTCGGCCATCGTTCCGTCTTCCCCTCAGCCAGCTGTTGTCCCTAAAGCGATGGGTCCCCGATGGAGCTCGGGCTATTTATACAACGACCGGGCTCGCTTTCAACCTGCCCTCTGGTCCCAACCGGCATCCTCCTCACTGATTTCTATTGAGACGTTACAATTGTGACATTGATTTCTCGCCATGTCTCTTGCTCAGAATCACTATGTGATCCAGCTCCCCAAGACCCCTGTCACTATCGGTCCGTTGGATGCACGCGCCATTGCCCAACGATGGATCACCGATCTGGAGGCCCTCACAGCGGGAAATTACTCCCGGCTGGCATCTCTCTTCCATGATGATTCCTGGTGGAGGGACATGCTTGCATTAGTCTGGGACCTGCGCACGATTCAGGGTCGTGAGAAGATCCAGGCGTTTCTGGCTGCAAACCAGCCCGGAGCGGGTATATCCGCTCTGCGTCTGCAGCATGAGGGCAAATACCAGCCAAGCATGGAGTCTCCTGCAGAGGGGCTGAGCTGGATTAACTCCATGTTCTTCTTTGAGACTCGTGTCGGACGCGGTTCGGGTGTCCTTCATCTGACACAGAATGATGCGGGCGAGTGGAAGGGATATTCGATGTACACCTCTCTACAGGAATTGAAGAGCTTTGAGGAGCCCTTGGGCGCTCGGAGAGTTGATGACACCATCGAGTCGATGCCCGGTGGTCTCAATCAGGGAAATTGGATTGAAAGGCGCCAGCGATTGATTGAGTTCAATGATGAGGAGCCGACTGCTCTTATCGTTGGTGCTGGTGTGTATCCCTTTCCACTTATAGCTACAAAGGTTAACGTGGATTAGGCCAGGCAGGTCTCAACATGGGCGCTCGACTCCAATCCCTCGGGGTGTCACATCTCATCGTCGACCGGAATGAACGGATCGGCGACAACTGGAGGAAGCGATACAGGGTAAGCACCATCCATTCTATCTCCATATCTATCTAACCTTCAGACCCTTGTTACCCATGATCCTGCAGAGTTCACACATATGGCCTATCTACCCTTCCCGAAGAACTGGCCGCAGTACACTCCAAAGGATAAACTGGGCGACTGGTTTGAGGCCTACGCCAGTATCATGGAACTGAACGTCTGGCTCAAGACCTCCATCAAATCTGCCGATTACGATGACGCCCAGAAACAATGGACCGTGACCGTCGTCCGCGGCGACGGCGAACGCACTCTCCACCCACGCCATCTGATCTGGTGCACTGGTCACTCAGGCGAGCCCCTGGTCCCCAGCTTCCGTGGCCAGTCAGAGTTCAAAGGCACAGTCTACCACGGCAGCCAACACGATGATGCATCCCGCCAGAACGTAACAGGCAAAAGGGTCGTAGTAGTTGGCACCGGCAACAGCGGCCATGACATTGCGCAGAACTTTTACGAAAACGGTGCCCAAGTGACCATGCTCCAGCGACGCGGGACATATGTCATCACCGTCGAGAAGGGCGTTATCATGATGCACGAGGGTCAACACGAAGAAAACGGGTTCGTGTCCCACCTCCATACTCAATACCTACTAACCATCAATCTGCAGACCCCCCACCGAAGAAGCCGATTTAATCCACGAATGCCTCCCCTACCCCGTCCAATTCGCCCTCTCCGTCCACTTCACCAAGCGCGTAGCCCTCGCCGAACAAGACCTCCTCGCCGGCCTCGAACGCGCCGGCTTCGCACTGGACTTTGGCATCGACGGTGCTGGCATCTCCCGCGCATATATGACTCGTGGCGGCGGATACTACATCGACGTCGGCTGCAGCCCACTCATCGCCTCCGGCAAGATCCAAGTCAAGCGCAGTCCAGATGGTATCTCCCATTTCACCGAATCCGGGCTTGTGCTAAAAGACGGATCGACTCTCCCTGCCGACATTGTCGTTCTAGCCACCGGATACGATAATATGCGCACGACGGTGCGGAAAGTCCTAGGTGATCGTGTCGCCGATCGCTGTCGCGATGTATGGGATCTAGATGAGGAGGGAGAAATTAATGCCGTATGCCACCCCTCTCCCTTCTAATGTAGTAACCTTTCAACCCAAACCTATCTCCCATTATATTAAGCCACCACTCACCAATCAACTCCACTAACTGAAAGTTGAACATCCAGATGTGGCGACCGAGCGGCCACCCCGGGTTCTGGTACATGGGGGGAAACCTCGCCTTGTGTCGGATTTACTCCAAGTTCTTGGCGTTGCAAATCAAAGCTATTGAATCTAGGTTGGTGGATGCGGATGATCAGACGCAGGTACAACCAAAATTGTGAATTTGATGTGGCATATATGACCGGACAGTCATTTTTATGGCGTTATGAGTTATAACCATTTGGTTGGGTTGGACGGTAGGTAGACAGATAGATAGATTAGCATTAGTATTAGCGAGTAGCATAGATAAACGGCGAAGATGATTTATTGATTGACTGATACTCATGACATACTAATGCTTCTCATCATTAGAAGGAGGGAGAGAGGGAGGAGAAAGAAGGTATTTTCAATCGAAGAATCTATACAACCTTATCCCGGTTAGTAAAACAAGTCAATACATTCATAAACACGGATGTGCATACATGCATAAAATTGATATACAAATAAACATACAAATACAGATACATTAATCTTCAATATCCACTGAACTCTTTTCCAAACGCCATTCGCCACGTAATCATAGCCATAATCATAGTCATCAGTCGAATCATCCCAACAGGTAAGTGCGTGTATGTAAGTAAGTATGCATGTATAACAACCGTAAGTAAGTCTTGAATCATCCACCATCACGCCAAATCAAACAAAGAAAAGTAAAAGCTCGAGGGCTAATCTCTTGCACGTTCTCCATCATCAATAATCATTTCCACGTCCTTAATAGGATGCAGCAACATCGGAGGCAAACACATGCGACCTTCACCGGCGAGTTCGGCTTGTTCACCACCGTCATTGTCGACCTTGTAGCCTAGCCAGCGTCTCCACAGGTTGGGCGCGAAGCCAGCTGAGTAGAACCACGTGGTTCCGCGGAAGTTGTGTTCCCTGTCGCCGAAGACGGAAGTCCGGGCGCCGCCGGACGCGCCGTTGCGGCCCGCGTTGAAGACCGTTTCGAGGTATTGGGTGGGCCAGCGACGGTCGATGTACATGGAATGGGGCACGTAGACGGCTTTGAATCCGTGCTGGAGGGCGGTGGAGGCGGGCCACATTTCGGAGAACATGGTGTGGCGTTTGAGGGTGGTTTCCTTGTGCATGGCCTGCAGGAGCTTGTGGGACATGCGGGATGCGGTAATGATGGAGGTGCGACGTGGAGGGAGTCCGGTCTCTCGGTCGTATCCGGTGACGTCGTCTCGCAGGGGCCAGGTTGTGCCTTCGGGGTCGAAGAGTGGGTTGAAGACGATTAGGTCGGCTTCTTCGCCCACGCCCCATTCGTATCGATCTTTTTCCATGGTGGTGGGTGGGATGCCTTCGCCGTCGACTTCTAGGATGTCTTGCTCATTGGGTCGCTCGGGGCCCCAGATGGGCTTGTCGCCTTGTTGTTGTAGGGCTTTTACCTCGCCGGGAGTGCGGTCTTGGCCGGGTCTGGAGGCACTCCAGAGGTTGTTTGGGCTGTTGGTGCCGATTTCGGTTTGCACTCGGACCATTTGTCGGAAGTCCTCCCAGGTGCCGTGGACGGAGGGCACGTAGAACCGAGCGTTGCGCTCCCATAAGCCCTTTCGTGGCTGTGCCCGTGCCCAGTTAATGACCTTGTCGAAGAGGTGGTACCAGTGGCCTGTGTACCGGGCGTCCATCTCCCAGTTCCAGTAGTAGTCGTATCCGGGATGCTGGTGCGCAAAGTATTGCATGGGCATGTAGGTGCTGCGGTAGACGCCGTGGACGGATAGCCCGCGAGCCCACGTCTCCTCCAGGCCGGGATACATGAGATTCATCTGCCGCTCAGACCAGAGCGTGGCCATGCCACGGAACTCCTCTGGCAGAGCCTCGTTGAGCACGCGCTCGTATACTTCGTCGTCGGCCCAAATCTGCAGGGTTTCGTCCCGGACCTGGACCAGGAAATGGATGATGTACTCGCCGCCGGAGAGTAACGAAAGCTCTGCGATGAGGGAGCGCAGGTACAGAATATCGTCAGGGGAATAGTGGATGTCGTGCCACGTACGGATCACGAATGCCGTTCGGGGTAGATAGTCCTTTCCAGAATCAGGCTGCGGCTTGTCCTGGGGCTTCTCGTCTGCAACTTCCGGCGTACCAACAGACATAGAGAGGAAGCGGCTGGGTCGCGGCGCAGGAAGATCCCTGAAGCGATGGCTGTTTGAGGCCAAGCATCGATTCTGCGCAGCTGCCCAGTCGACGCGACGGAAGTCGACAGGCGGATAGTCGTCCCAGACACGCTCCGCACCTTCACGGTCGCCTTCGAGGCCAGCACCGATACCACCCTTTCGCACACTGTAGCCGAGACCATAAGGTCCCAAACGCCCGAACCGGTCAAAGCAGACGTCATCTCGAATGCCGATCATCTCGTTGGAGCCCATGACCGCATCAGGGAAGCCACGGGGTACACCGGGATAATGATGCACCAAGGGTACCCGTAGAGTCTCATCTTCGTCGAGGAAGCACTCGCGCTTCTCACCGTACTTTGCGATGTATTCCATAGATGAGTACTCGGGATACGGGTTGAACACGGAGCTCGAGAATGGCAGCGCCTGGTCCCGGGCTTGTATAACAGTATCATTTGCATTCTCCTTGTCAAGACCGATAGCTTCCGGATTGTCGTTGGGATACTCTGGCACTCCCTCACTTCGCGACACCAAAGATCGGATACCACCATGATACCGTTTCAGGAACGGGAAGTTCTCCCATGGTGCTGGCCTCGGGGCGGGTCTAGGCAACTGAACGTTGACACGAGTGACAGTTGAAAGGAAAGTGAACCGGAACAGGGCACATATGAACAGAATCAAGAACGAGAGCAGCGCAAAACAGAGCCATTTCATTATCCGATGAGGAACTCGATAGCCCACTCTGCTGCGGGGGCGCGGAGGGGCTCTATTCAACATGGGGCGATAAGAAGCCACCGAAGAAGAGCTGACGGAATCATCGTCACTATCTGTGTCATACGAGCTGTGGCTGTGATGGCGGTAATGGCGTCTCGGCCGCGACGGCTGCTTCTCAACGTCTATCACGACATCGCGCTCGTCGATCGAATATGGTGATGATGAATCGGACGAGGCCGAGAGCCTCTTCGGACGGGCAGGCATGGCGAGTCTAGGCCAGCATAGAAGGAGTGGCGAGAGGTATGTGAGTGGATCAATCGATTAATGGAACGGCATCCGGGAGGGAGAATGTGAAGTACGCCCTGGTCCTGATCAGTACATAGTTAAAGGCAGCAAATGGACGACACATACTTGACGAGTAGCCTGACTCGCTCAAGTCTGGCCCGAATGATGGGCGTGCGACAATTGCGCACCGGCTGAGAATGCTGAGGGATATAGTAGAAACAATACAACCAGTACCAGACGGAACCCGGAGTGACCACGGATCAATGCCAGTGGATCCAGAAGTCAGAGAAAGGCAATGAAATGTGGACAGTATCAGATTGGATATGGAAAAACAAGGCACGACTGCTCAGGCGCATAGCGAGCTGTGTTGATAGATCGGCCGTGAGCGTTGCCCAAGGGACCGTCGACCGATGCACTAGGGCGGCCGGGTCCGGCTTGGCGGAGCACCGCAAGGGCTCGATGGATGTGCAATGCGCAATTGAGTGCTGTACAGACGGACTTGATACTTTGTCAAAATCTTGAATATGAAGGGATCGTCTTGTATTGTAGAATGGTGGAGAAGTCAAGATGTTCGACGGAGAGTTGGTTGGCCCAATCCGGAAAAGTGCCTCGTGCGTCCCAATGCGGTTAGTGCTGTATCTATTACGCTAGTCCATCTCAGGAACTATGTCGCCTGAGGCATAGGTCTGATTCATGTCATAGACAAAGCATCCACCAAGATGAACAGTCAGAACGCGGGACATCAAAGAAAATCATACCCATAATCCATACCTGGGGACCAGTACTTGCAGTGTACTTCCTTCATTCCAAACCACCACCTGACTAACCATCCACGCCATCAAGCCAAAGGATGCCCCCCGCCGACACCACCACATTCAATCACCAAACGAAGAATCACTCACTCATTCCAATCGACATTATAAAACCAACGATCCTGCCCTCTCCCTAGAATCCCCATCGCAAGACTCACAACAGCCCCCTGGAGCCTACACATGACCCTAGACCCTACCCACGGGCCCACAATTACCCCAGCTTCTCTCCGCACTATCAAAGTCAGAACCCAACATTCCACAACCAGCCACCAAATGCACCACCTGGCATAACCCCAACCACATCACGCGGAGAAAACAATAACCCAGAGACCTCCACCAGAGGAAAATTCACCGCCTCATCGTTGAGGGAAAAGTCATCCGCTGACTGGATCGGCATACCGTGCTGACGGGAACTTATGCTCCGAAACTAAAGCTGCCTTAGTTCCCGAGGAAGAGCGACTACGGTCATTGTCGTCATACATCACAGTGACGACGACCGACGCCTCGACAATGGCGGTAGCAATCCATTCCACCGGCACACTGCGGATACAGCCTTGAGATTTGCCGTGGAGAGAGATCTTCTTTGTTGGATTCAGTACTTGCGGTGTGATGCACTGGTGATGATTGGCCCACCTGGCTGATGCATGCTGCACCCAGCAGGTCCCAGGAGGAGAAAGTCTGGTACGGATTGCTGGCCCGGCCATTCAATATCAACTGGCGCATATTGATATCGTGGCACTCTTGACCGCAGACCATATGATTTGGTTTTGCGGTCATGATGGCGATGACTAACCATATAATAGACAGCTGAACTGAGCTCCTCCTCGAGTCAGTATCTCACAGCCAGCCATATCCTACTATCCCCAAATCAAATAAACCTCACCATCACAACCACAACCACCACCAACAACAAACATGGTCAGCACTCCCTCATCCTCCCCTTCATCCACCAACTAACACCCCCAGAACCCACCAACCCCGACTCATCAACCACCACCACCACCACAATCCCCCTACCAACCCTCATCCTCCTCCTCCCCATCCTCCTCCTCCCAACCATCTTCCTCCTCCACCAAATCCGCAAAGACTACCACGCCTTCCTCGCCCTCGGCCCCGGAGGCACCCCTCCACCCCAACCGGCTACCTCCGAATCTGCCTCCTCCGACTCGTCACAATCCGCGATCCATTCCACCCTCCCTCCATCCCAGCCTCCCTCATCCCCAAAACCGGCTTCCTTTCATCAAAATCAACCACCACCCCCCTCCCCTACCGTCCGGGCCCCCGCCCCACCGTCGCCGGAATCGCTCCCCAGCGGCAAACAACCCAAAAATCCTCTTCAACCATGTACACCACCCTCTGCAGCTCCATCCAAGATCTAGTCTCCCACCACCCCCAGATCCTATACGAAGGCACATCCTGCTTCGAGAAGCATAGTACAGGGGTATTCTGTACCGGCCCTACCCCTACTTTGCCCCATACGCAGACGGCCCCCACCAGCAAAGAAATCGACATCTCATCCCTAATCTTCACCCGCCATCGCCTAACCTGCAACGGGGAAGTTTGTCACGCGCACCCCAGCGACGGAAGCCTACATTTGACGCTTCACCCTGCGGACGTGAAACTCGTTATCGAGAGGGGATGGGGTCAACGACATCCGTTGACGCGCGAGAGCTGGTGGTGGTGTTATTTGAGGACCGTGCCGACGGGGTTCGTCATGGTGTATGCGCCGAGGAATCGGGGGGAGTTGGACACCGTGTTGGAGATTATTCGGGCGGCGGCGTGGTGGGTTAGTGGGGTGGAGTTGGGGAGGGGGAATGGGGAAAAGGGGGATGGGGGGAAGAAAGAGGGTGGTGGTGGTGCTGTGTATCGGGGTGGTGGTGGGCGGATAGTGGGCTGTGAGTTGTGAGGGGGCGAGGTAATTCCTAATCTTTAATTCAATATCTCGAATCATATAGCTGGGAAGGAACAAGGGAGAGGGGGAAGTATAGATGGACGGATAAGATTGTTATATTTATATCAAGACGTTATCAACTCACAATGCGGCCACTACATGCATTCTACATTCTCGGGCCAACGCAGCATTCGGTCAAATCAGGGGACCCTCTCCGCTGAGCATCTCTGTTCGAGTCTTCCAGGAGAACAGTCGAAAAACATCGTTAAATCGGCGCCAGGATCAAGACCCAGGATGAAAAAAAGTAAAAGCTAATAGCATAGAGGAATGAAGAGCCGTTAGAGAACATACAAGAACCACCAAGTAGCATATCCCTTCCCTACACGAGGTGACTTTGCCGGCCCCGGTTCCCCTTCCTGCATCCGCAACTCCCAGTCAAACTTGCAGGTATTCTTCCACTCATTACATCAGTCTAGTCGCGGTTCGTTTTCCGCAGCGTCTCGGCGAGCCACTCAAGACCCTCGTACAGACCATCACCGGTCGTGGCGCAGGTGGATTGGATGTACTACAAGCGCGTTAGTCTCCGGTTAGTCGACACCTCAGGCATCCACATAGAGGGGTCCAACTTACCCAGGGACGGCGGGTGAGGCTCTGCAGACCAAGCTGCTGGGTGATCTCGGCAGGGCTCATGGCATTCTAAACGGAGTATGCGTTAATATCATCCCGGCCAGGATGTCTGCGGAAACCTGGAGCATACCGGCAAATCTTGCTTGTTGGCGAAGACCAGGAGGAGGGCATCACGGAGCTCGTCCTCGTTCAACATGCGCTGCAACTCCTCACGGGCCTCGACGATACGGTCACGGTCATTGCTGTCGACCACGAAAATGATACCCTGGGTGTTCTGGAAGTAATGTCTCCAGAGAGGACGGATCTTGTCCTGACCACCGACGTCCCACACGGTGAACTGAATGTTCTTGTATTCGACGGTCTCGACGTTGAAACCTGCACAGCCAGACAACCGATATTAGTTCCATCGACCTCTATGCGCAACGTCGAGCCTCGAGCCAACAGATCGACGACCCTGAACCGGGAGAGAGAGGACTGACCAATCGTGGGGATGGTGGTGACGATTTCACCGAGCTTGAGCTTGTACAGGATGGTGGTTTTACCGGCAGCGTCGAGACCGACCATCAGAATACGCATCTCCTTACGACCCCATAGTCGGTCGAACAACTTGGAGAAAGTGAGACCCATGATGGCGGTGGCGAGAGTTCAAGGTCTAGGGATGAATGCGATGTTAGACTCGATCAGACAGATCAGGAGGCAAGTCCACAGCACGGTCGGAGGGGCGGTCGAACGAGGGACCACAGACCTGTGACGTCTGGCTGAGGGGGGTGGTATAAAAAGGCAAGAGGGCAAGTGGTATGACGGATGGAATGGAGTGGACGATGAGGGGCGAAGGTGGTAATCGACAGGTTAAGGTAGTCACGCCGGGGAAACACGGCGGGCAGGACAAATCAGGGGGAGGAGGGGAGAGCGGTGGGCGACTGGTGGATGGCCAGAGAAAGGAGCAGAAAGGCAAGGGCAAGGGGATGAGGACCAGAGATCGGGTGACAAGGCCAAAGGGACCATACGGGAGGGGGGTAGCGACTTACCAGGTTGCGATGAAGCTGGAGAAGGAGAGGGAGGGAGGAGGAGTGGGTGTGGGAAGGCGTGGATACCGTGAGTCGTGAGAGAGAGTGAGTGAGTGAGTGACCGGCAGTCAGGTCAGGTCAGCCTTCGTACCGTTTTGTCGAGGTGTGGGATTTTTGGGTGCCAAACGGCCAGGTCGAGAAATTCAGCCGCCGGCGTAGCTTCCGTCACTAACGGAACCAGCTGGCAAAATTACCAACTATGTAATGATGCTGTGTCGAGATCCTGTTGCTCCATACAAAGGTACAATGAAGGGAATGGCCTATTCAGAACGAAGGGTACAGATCTCAGAAGTCTAATCCAATAGAGTTCACACGGCAATGCCATCACCAGCAATGGGCGCAATCAATTGTCTGGTCAGTCCGTTCGGACGAGGGCCTCCCCCCGAAGAGGACACGGTGTTTCCCGTGCATCTTACTGCTAGATAACTTACGGGCGATACCCTTGCAATCAATCCCTGCTGCCTCCAGATCGGCTTACCTCGACCAACGCCGTACCGCTTTTACGCCATCGCTGCCTATCCTCATGTCGCCAACATGGCTCTAAGTGCTGCTAACCGTCCAGCTTCACCCGGTTGCCGGTCTGCTGCCAGCCTCCTTTGCGCCCCTTGCCCCTCTTAGCCCCGAAAAAAGGTCCAGACACCCGGATCGATTCCCACCCTTGACCCTGATACCTGATAGGTTCCCGACACGGCTTTCTGAATTTCCCCGTGCCAGTGGATCGCCTTCGGTGGCACTGCTATCTATGGGGTGCAAGTCGACGGTAGATTGTCTCGTGCTCAGGTTCTGCATGTCCACGATGATCCCTGAGAATCAAGCATCGTCAGGACAATCGAGCTATGCGATGTTATCAATTTCATGATACGTGTGCTGGACATGTCACTCCAACGAGCATTTAAAGTAGGCCGTTGCGTTAAACACCCGGGTTCGTTCAGCCCTCGGAACCCACAGGGGCCACTTTCAGCTAGTTAACTACGCGTCATGCTATTATTCATCCGTAGTGTTCGATAAGCAAACGATCCTGCTGGTAGCTACGAGCCACCGCCTCGTCTCCTGAGATGTTACCATTTCAGGTACAATTTCGGGGTTGGTGCACTCATGTCAAAGACTCCCCGTTTGGTCAGAATGATTGTGGGCCAGGAAACCAAACTCGAGCGCATGTGGCAGGATCTTGGATGGACCCTGTTTGGATGGGGCAATGCATCCGACAGATCATATTGGCCTGCTTATTATCCTTTATTCGAAACATCCACTGCAAAACAAATACCAGTGGACGGATCATGTGACCAGTCTCTTATTGAGATCTATACTCCGTAGGGTTGAAGGTGCTTGCGTTCCGTGGCATTGGTCAATGATAAGATCGGCGATCGTTTTTTTGCTCACTCAGTCTCCCGTGGTATTCATGGTCGTCTATTGTACATTCTATAGAGGTGTGTCATCTCGCATCAAGATCAATGGCTTGCGCCGCCCGATGCCTCGTTTCTGTGGTGGGAGACCTTGTCTCTTGACATCCGGAAGAAGCTTCGGGACAATGATTGGTAGATCGTCTTGCCCTCCACGGTGTCGCTGGCGTATCCGAAAATCCAGAGCAAGACCGCTGACAGAAACATAATCACCCCAAAGCTGACCCAGTATTGATTGATCGTATATTCACCCTTGACGTTGCGAAGTTCCGTTGAGAAATAGCCGGTCATCAGACTGACGGGTAAAAATAGAATCGTCACTTTTGCCAGGAGGATTGTAATCCTCGTTAGTTTCTCCACGGCTTGTGAATCTTTAAGAGCAATCAAGTTAAAGTTCTATCAATGGGTCAGCATTTCGCTCGTGCGCGAGGATTGACAACCTACCAGAAAAGTGAGATTCTCCTTTTCTGTCAGACAGCTATCAATCTCGGACAGACAGTATAGCTTGATTCGATCCAGCAATCTCTCGAATCGAGCCACGGCAGGCGGGCTGAGCTGGACGCCTACGCTGGCATCTGGAATGGTCGGGAAACTAAAACTACTTCGCGATGTCGAGTGGTGGGCGTCCGCTCCATCGTTTTCTCCGAAACTTTGCCCAATTGCCCATTGAGGACGATTCGATCGGGCCTCGTCGCGAAGCATGCGCTGTCTTTGCAATATACGCATCATGATGAGCTCGTAGCTTTGATAGAGACGCTTCAAAACTGCCAACTGCCTTCCCAGCCGATGTAACTCATGGATTAGGTCGACTACCGGTTTCGACAGCATATCCTGTCTCTGTATCCGGCGTCAGATCATCTAATCACCAAATAGATGCAGCAGGATTTTCATATATGCACTTACCAGTCTATTCAGGGATACCCCATACTTGTGTTCGCGTTGCGCAACAAGCGCATATGAGGAAACCCAGTCGTCAAATAAATAATAGAACAGCAAACTCGGACCGTCATCTTGCTTGATGCTCACCTGGTCTGGGCCACCTTCATAAAATGGCCGTACTCTGATGGTGACCAATGAGTCACTTTCGGACGCGGCAAAGTGTTGTTTAGAAACGCCCGCGAAGATGAGCTGCATGTTCCTGCGGACCACATTGAGCACCGATTGCAAGACTTTCTCCGATGGTCCAGAAAGCCCAGGAAACGGGTTTTCTTGCATGCAAATAACAGTCCCTTGGCATGTCAATACGAAGCGCGCATATCACCGATGGCTTACATACCGTCGTCACACAAGATCAACCAGGACCATAATCGTTTCCCTGCAGGCAATTCCTTCCCGTTGTCCATATCGAGATGAGGTACCACGAAGAGCGAGTTATATCCAACACAGGTGTCTAGATCAATGTTAGAATGTCGCCAATTGAATGTTCACCAGACAGAAATACATTTCGGGCCATAGTCCACGGAACAAAAGTGCCATATCTGGTCGATCACATTGGCGAATGTGAGACCTCTGAAAGATGCAGCAGCACCAATCTCTTCCGGGTTTGTTAAGTCTCGCAGGGCATTTCCCTCCACATCATCCGGACGAGAACGGCGCACGCGATCGGTATTTCTTGGGCGCAAGTTGTTCCTTGGAGGCTCGGCAGGCGCGGCGGACTTTGACGGACGTTCTACTGGGTCTGTACACATCATTCCCTGCAGACGTTCCGAGACGCCATAATGGCTTGTGATGGTCTAGCTGTTTCAGCATGCATATCAATCATTCGTCCAATTTAACGAACCTTGATCAATTCCTTTTGTTGCTCGGGAGCCCAGATGTTACTACAGAGGATTAGTCGTAAGCAAACAAACTCGAACAAGACAGCATACATCCACCGAGTGCCAAAACATCTTGGTTTCTGAAAGTGTCAGTGATGATGCCTCTATACGCAGTTGTTCTTCAGACGTACTGGCTTGCGCAGTAGCAGCGCCAGATCCTCCTGGTCCAGATTGACCGCACACCAAGCATCATCATTGCCAAAGTCCAGCACAAAGCTGCGGGTCTGGGCATCTTTCAAGAGCGCCAAATATGCCTTGAGGTTGTTAGCCTCATCGATATTGCGGAACGCATGTTGAAGATGTGGTCTGGTTATGAAGCTTGAGTAGTATTCTTGGGGGCCTTGGAAGCTGAGCGATCGTACGAGCTCAGACATGGCTCGTAAAGGAGTAGTTGAGTTCAAATAGAGTGGAGGTAGAAAGCCGCAGATGAAATGACCCGGTGGTTCAATGCGTGGATGAAAGAAAGAGCAGAAGGGGTAGAACGAGGGAGGCCTGGGCGCCTCTAAATAGAGGGCGCGTAGATCGATGGAGCATGTTGTCGCCGGTCAGCCTTGTGCTGGGGGCATACGAATGACCCGAATCATTCGTGCGCTGAGACGCTCTCAGCTGGCGCGGGGGAGGTTTCTGGGAGGAGGACTTGACCTGGTGGGCGGGGATTGGTGCATTGCAGCTGACTCGCCCGTGACACGAGGGGCCGGCGATCAATCACAAGCCCCTCCATTCGCCGCCCATCATGTATATCACAGTCCAACTGAGCGCTAAAGAGGTACCCATCGCAGGTAGGTATTTAACGCCCGAGGTCGCCAGCACCAATGGCAGACATTGGTTGCTTGCGGACTCCAGCATTGCTTCGCCGCCATTATTTTCCGAAAGGTGATGCAGGTCCTTGCTAAAGGCCTAAGCGCTGCAATAGTTGCAGGGATCAAAGGACTATCTACGCACTGCGTACTACGTAGTAGCCCGCATGTCTCAGCCACATCAAGTGGCTGGAACTTGCCAATGGTGGGAGCCTGAAAAGTAATGAGCGCATACAATTTTATTGATCAACCTCGACAGGCGACGATCCAGGAATTAAAAAAGTGGTCTCGACCTCCATACTCTGGGATATTCCTACCCTTTTTAGGCATACTCCTACAAAACAGGGTGATTTAGGTAATGATTCATGCCTGGGCGATGAAGACAAAGAGATGTTGGAGATCTTCCTATCCTCGAGATACGCCCAACAATGGCGACCATACTGAATGAAACCCTCTTTCTTTGTCTGTACTCGACGTTTTCCCCAATTAAAGTATTAACTAAGCCGAGAAGATCCAAAGTTAGATTGTATTAGATTGCATTCAGCCATGAGACACGATTATACCTAGCATTAATCGAACGGTATCTCCCTATGGCTTCGACTGTTCTCTTATTTACTAGGAATACTCCTGCGGAATCAGGTGATCCCAGTCACGTTTTTACCCCAATATATAAGGATGGTTGGAGTCTACTTGCTTCCTCTTCCAAAAATTCCCATCTATTCAACTTCTCGTCTCACTTTGGCTGTATTCCATCAAAAGCTCGTCAACCATTTCGTATCTCATCGAGATTCCAACCCCTCACTGCTTCGTACGCCTACAGTGGAACAGAACCTCAATCGCCAGGGCCGAGTGTCCAGGACAAGGTACTTTGGGTTCCAAGAATTCACTGCCATGGCCTCAGTCTCAGATAGGTACACGCGTATTTACAGACCACAGGTGCCTTAATAACGGTTTACTTTAGATCTTCAGGTGAATGATGGGATGGGCCCATCTTCTGATGCGGCACAGTATGAAATCTGCTTTGGAGATATACGTCGTCTATTCCTTATAGAATACAATTCGAGACTAATTTGAAGGCATCAATTAGATCTGGACCGGTTCCTATATCCAACGCCCCCTCTTGGAGGAAGCTAAGACGAGGGACTACCTTGCCCTCACTGTCCGCCTGGAGGGCTGTTGTGTCATGTTGACTGATCAAGGAAACACAAGATATGCAGGGCTGCTCCAGGAAGAAACAGGGGGAAAGCTCAACAGACTCTCCGGAAATCTGTCCCTAAGCTTCAAGGCGGTTGTTCCGATGAATATACGGGAGGGCGATCTCATGGAGTATCTACCGACAGGCATGAATCGGGTGTACATCACAGTGTATGGATTCTTAAAGGATGGTGACTTGGTCTGTGAAGTGTTTGATCCTTTGGATCTAATGCTACAACCCCCACGTTACTACGACGACTCATTGCCCTACTTCAACCCACTTGTATCCATCTATGGGACCCGTTACGACCGGGACGGTACCTTCCGGAATGATTACAACCTGACCGGTCGTGTGCTTCCGAGCTATATGTACGTCCCTCCAAGACAGCGTCCGACCAAAGACTCGAATCCTCGAGACACACATGCTCCTCGTAAGGACGAGATTGAAAAAGTGTTCGACTCTGTACCGAGTACTGAGGTTTGCTCGCCACCTCCAAAGAGCCTGAGGCTGTGTACCCGACTGAAACAGTAGGTATTCACAGTGTTCTGAGATGGGGTGGGTTTCTAAGATAGCTTAGGCACCAACTCGAAGGCCTGTCTATGATGATGGAAAAGGAGAAAGGAATCCTTCAAGGATGTCAGTTTGGTAGCCTTTGGAACGTTCATCATCAACATGACGGCCGAGTGAGGTACGTGTACCATTTAGGCTATTATGCTACACGTACTGACATCGGGCGCTTTGCGTTGTCAGCTACAGAAACAACATCACCAAGCACACTACAGATACCAAACCACCCCTTTGCTTAGGGGGTCTGTTGGCAGATGTAGGTAGACGTAGCACTTAGAACGCATACCTATATATACTATCTAGAGGAACATTAGCTGACAAATGAGCGTTTGCAATTGAATTGCAAAGGACATGGGTTTAGGCAAAACATTGACAACATTGGCGCTTATAGCAACCTCCCTTGATCAGTATGATAAAGGCCAGTCGACATTGGTCGTAACCCAACTGTCACGTAGGTAACCTATTCAATAATAATACAAGCTTGGTCGCAATCAGTAATGTTCTGAAGTACTTTCGACCTGGGAGACCGAGATCAAAAGGTACAGGGGAAAATCCTGACTGAGTGACAGCTCTCACACATGGTATCTAGACACCTAAACCCGGGAACCATCAAGTGGCATGTACATCATGGCGCGAAGCGAAAACCCGTCTCAAATCTCAAAGACTACGACATTGTTCTGACAACCTACGAGACTATGAGATCGGAGCAATTGCAAGGGCAAACTGCTCAAAGGGGAAGTGTGCTTCATGACATGGAGTGGCACAGAATTGTTCTTGATGAAGGTGTGTGTGTGTGTATGTGTTTCTATTTATACTCAATTGCCCTGATACTATTCACCCTAAGCACATATAATCCGGAACGACTCGAAGTGCCATCAGTCTGCACTACTTTTAAAGGCCCGTCATCGCTGGTGCCTGACTGGCACCCCCATCTTCAATGGAGTTAAGACCTTTGCTGCACTACTGAAAGTTTCTACAAGTGTATCCATTCGATACTACGTCAATCTTTGATGAATACATCCTGTCCCCGTTGAAAGAAGGTAAGAAGCAAGGAATGGACAACCTACGAGCCTTAGCACGGTCAATTTCCATGCGACGTACAAAGGCAATGGTCCAAGGGGAGTTGCAGCTAGGTCGTCGACAGGACATACTCCACCAAGTGGAGCTTACGCAGGAAGAACGAAGAGGGTATGAAATACTCAAAAAGAAGTTCTCGACAATTTTCTACGCGTTCTCTTCAACCTCAGGCAGTAATACAAAGTCTACGTGTGCCTTCCAAACAATTCTGAGACTACGCCATTTCTGCAACCACGGACTCGGTCTGTTACCGCCTCAAATGGTGGAAATATTCCGTGATCACGTCGAGGATAATCTAAGGCTCACAAGCACCTTGATTGGGGGGTCAGGAACGTGTGATAATTGTCAAGCTCCGATGGGAAAGCAGGTCGAGAGAGACCCAAGTGATATACCTTATCGTGAGGATCGCCTTTGTTCCAAGTGCTTATCTTCAAAACAGGGAGAAGGTCGTCTCGAGCTACCAGACAGCATGGAGGATGTCATTCATGAAGGGGGCTCAGTTCCCGATAATGGGCCAGAGCAACCAGAAAACATGGACTACGAAGTCTGTGCAAACGACGTAATCATGGGCGATAGGCCATCATCCAAGGTGCGAGCCTTGCTTGAGAATTTGAGGCGCGACCATGAAACAGGACAGAAAAGGTAGTAGCCATCAGCCCCCCGTCCTATCTGTGACAGACATGAATCCGACCCCATCCATTCATATACACGCCACAAATCCAACAATCAAGCAAAAAAAAAAAGAGTGAGAGACTGACAGTTCCCCCGCAGCGTCATATTTTCATCCTGGAAGCAAATGCTGGATTTGGTAGCGCAGGCATTGAAGAACAACCATTTCAAATATGAACAAATCGACGGGACAATCAAGCCAGCTCAGCGAAATAAATCCATCGAGATACTTCGTGATAGTGCTGAGTCCTGCATCCTTCTTGCGTCTGTCGGGTGCTGTGGTGTAGGGTAAGTAAACTCGACATTTTCCATTGGTGTTTAACCCCCACCCTTACTGACAAAAAGGTTTTTATTTATCAGGATCGATCTGACATTTGCGTCTCGCGTTCATCTAATGGAGCTCTTGTGGAGTCCAATGGAGGAGGAACAAGCCATTGATCGTGTTCACAGAATGGGTCAAGAACGTGGTGTGATTGTCACGCGCTACATCGTTCGAAACTCTATAGAAGAAGTCAATCACCCTTTCCTGCTATGATGAGGGAACTTTTGCTCTAACTAATCTATATCTCATCTAGTATATTGTTAGGATGCAATTGCATAAATCATCAGTCATCAGGCAGGCCATTGACGGGAGTGCGTCTGGGGAAGTTGTCTCTATGACAGGGGTTTTGAGCCAGGTTGGTGTTCAAGAGTAGCCCACAATGAAATTTACCTAGCAAAGCTGATTAATTGTCCGGGACAGTTTTTGGAAGATACGACAAGTGCATGAGGCTTTTATTTTCTTCATTATGAGGTTGAACCTCGGTCCCATTTCATGATATCTAGATAGGCTTCGGATTCAGGATCCAGGACAGAACGTAGGTGGCTATCCATGACTAGCCGCCACGGTTGTTCTTCTACTATTAACTCGTACCATGACTTTTTAAGCCAAGATTTAAGGTTTCTTGGTCCAGGTCGACTCTCAATTGGCACATCATCTTCGTCCTTGTTGGTAGGATCAAACCCGTGTTTCAGCAAAAACCGCATGAGCTTGGCCGCCTTTTCTGTATCATTGCCCGCTGCAAGATAAAGGGGATTTTCTGAACTCTTACACCAGAAGCTGGTATCGCAATGGGCTCCCTTTTTCATAAGAATCTCCGCGATCTTAATAGAGCAGGCTTTCTCTGCATTTTTCAAAAAGCAGCGATCAAGCTCTTTCCCGCGCTTGATAAGAGGACCGAGACTGCGTAAGCACCTTATAGAGGTATCCTCGGCAGTTGCTTTCTCGTTGGAGGGAATAAGACGCTGAAACCCTCCCGAAAACTTCCGAGCCTCCCATGCCACTAAAAGCTCGATCATCTCGGGAGATTGGTTGGAAATGGCAATCTCCAAATCACTCTTTCTTGAACCCCGAATGGAGTCATATATCTTTGCCTTCCGTTTCAGCAGAAGCCGTGCGGCTTCTACATTATTTGATTGTACAGCGTAACTCAGTAGGGAGGATCCATCAACGTTGTTCACATTTTTGCATGCTCTCAGGAGAAACTCAAGCGTTGCCATGTGCGTGGTGGAACTTTTGATGGCTGAATGAAGGAGCTTGCCCAGAAGACCTGGAACATCTCTCCAGTTTTGGTGGATCATGGGGATCAGATTATGGTTGACTGCATCAACCAGAGCGAGTTCCCACATCTCGCTTTCTTGACTAGCTGCGCCTTGGGGACGAGACTGGATAGAAGGAGGACTCTCGTCGTGGAAGGTTTGCAAGTGCTTCTTGAGGCTCGATTCTTCCCGAAACCCTATCTCTGCATAATCACATGCCGGGTCAGTGCATTTGAATGGCCGGGTATGACTCCGGTCGTGTTGAAGTCTCGCTTGGTTGCTTGTGAATCCCCGGTGGAAGAAATAACATCCAGGGCGGTTGCATTTGAACAGCCGCTCTCCGTATATTCCTTTCAGTCTCTTACATTTGCAGTTTTCCCAGTAATCCATTGTTGGGCAAAGCATGGACTCGTAACGTTCTTGGATGCGTAGTTCCTCGGTGGATATGGTAAGGGGGTCGGTTTGCCACGATGCACCTAGGAAAACACCCCATATACATTTAGCAACAGTATGGCCACGACGGCGGCGTAGATCTTACCTTCACCCAAGCATAGCTCCCGTACTCGCCTTTTCAAGAACGTTTCAGTCGCTGCCAGTATCCCACCAATACCAGACTGGCTCTCTCTAACACCTCCTCGTGTCCACAGGAAGCTTTCGATCTCTTTCTCGTTGATTATTGAAACAGATCTCGCGCGCTTCTCGAGGAACAATCTCACCTCATTCACCAAGCTGGGACGTTCGGGCCCAGCGGTTTCCTTGGCGCATTGCTTTACATGTTCCAGTCACTGCCCGGCTACGTAGTTGAAAAGTACATATGCCCCCGAAAGAACGTGTTCCTCGAGTCGTGCTGAAGATAGGTTCGGGTTGAAGCATTCCGAGGAGAGATATCGAAGACAGGCAGTGCTTATGTTTGTATATGTCTTGGAAGGTGACCGATGACTTGCACTTTGTGGGTTAAGCAGGTAGCTACGTCCATACTTAGCATAGCATGTAAGAACAAAAGCTGTGACTTACTCTTTGGCAGAGAGGTGTACAAGATAGACCCGGCCATCTATGACTTCGATAATCGGGCCGCATAGACGCAAGGCATCTGCGAATAACTCTCGACAGCCTTGTGTAGGGTCATAGCCACCAGAGAGGGATGCCGCAAATTGCAGTTCTTTTAGGGTTAACGGGGAATGTGAACATGCAATCCACTCAAGCATGAACGTCGCCTCGGACTTCTGCGGTTCTCTCAACTCGTTCTGGATTCTCGCCACTATACGACCATATCTAATTGTCGATCAGTATTAGGAAGATCAAAAACCACATTGGTTTGCAGAGCACAAACACTTCATCTAGTCCGTTGGGAAGGCGACTAGCTTCATACCGCACCTGGTCAACATTGCTGAGAGACTCAATACTGTCCATGACCAGACGTGCATATATGAACATGCCTGCGGGGAGTAGACTGTTAGCGTGCTGGGAACCCCCCAGGAATGAGGTACACGTACCATGAGCCTTTACTGCTATGAGCGTGAGAATATCCCGAAGCTGGGACGCGACATAGCTCTCGATGTGGAGAGTCAGTAGCCATTTGTCCGTCCGAGCCTCTACATACGCCGTTATATCCTGGTGGTTATTGAATTGGGGGTGGATTACCGCAGCCTTGGACAGAGCCCGCTGGATGTCGGCCTCGCGCCTGCTACTAATAAGCAGTTTGAGACGTTGGCAAGAACCATGGAGCTGGAGCAGCTGGGGGATTAGGGTGGATCTCTCCGCTTCGGAGATTTCGTCCAGTCCATCGACTATTACGTGTATGGACTGATCGGCGAGGATGTTCCTCAATAACCTGCCAACGTAATCCACGGAAAGGTTGAACTCTTGGCAATGGTTCTCACAGACGTGGCCCAGTATTGCTTGCAGGTCCTTGTTCTTGCTCGCACGAAGGTATTGGATCAGGAAGGAGTGTAGGATTGAGATGGTCGATGTCGATTGGCCGTTGGCGTTATAGCTGAGGAAGGCGAAGACAACATTGGTTGCGTGGGTCGAAAGGAGTCGCTCGACAACGGTCGAGACCAGAAAGGTTTTCCCTATTAACCCTCGGGCTGAGCACGGAGTCTTTTTCCAGGATAATTAATGTGTATAGAAGTAGATACTTACCAGCCCCAGGGATGCCATCCAGCCATAACAATCGGCTTGACAAATCGTCCGGGTTTGACCATCTCTGAAACTCCCAGTTGTAAAGAAACCACTGTCCTCCTCCTACCACTCTCTTCGCCTTCAATCGTTCCAGATCGGCATAGTATAATGGTGGGTTCAGGGCCTCCATGGCCGAGTCGAACAGCTTTTTCAGCCGTTTATCCTGGTCTCCGTCGAATTCGGCAAGGGTTTGGCCATGTGAATTATAGGCTTCAGTGATTTGTTTCTGCTCTACACCTCCAATGAGCAACCTCAAGTGGTGTTTGATATTCCTTTGGATGGCACTGATCCGGTCCGCGTATTTTGGCCAGAGTGTGTCCAGGAAATTATGCCACCCTGCAGACTAGGCGTCAGAAGCAGAGAAGACCACACCGACCCTTTTTCCATCACTTACCCTTGAACTCGAGGAATTGGAGGACAGTGGCGCAGAAGTCCAGCACATCCATATATAACAGAAGGAGGACATGCTTAGTGAGATTATCGATCTTAATCGGCTCCTGGGAGTTGACAAACTCGGACAAAGTATCGCCGATCTGTTTGGTGGCTGTTGCTATGCGGTCAAACCCTGGCTTGTGATCTTTTGATCTCTATGTGCAGCAAAGAGTGAGCCCTCGTCAGTGATGCTAGCTATGGCTCAGTGAAGGACCAAGTACAGACCATGAGAATGAGTATCAGTGATCTCTGGATCTCAGATATCAGCATTAACTTCTGACAACAAACAGCTCGACCGAAAGAATCGATCCTCGGCTTGATGGAACAGACACATACCCAAGGCAATCTCAGATCCATTGGCGTGACCTGAAGGGAAGTCTCAATAGTGGAGGATAGCTGGTCTAAAGATTTCCGAAATAATTCTATCCTCAAGAGGCTGGGTAGGGCGGCGCCTTTTGCATTGTGCGCTTCGTGAATCCGGACATCAATATCAGCAAGATCATCCATTGATGCGTGTTGCGTGAAGCTACACCAATCTGTTTCAGGCAGTGTATTGAGAAATTCAGAGTTGGCCTGGTCGAGAATCCTATGGAAATTTGGTGGGATTGTCTCTGGAATTGGGTTGATAAGCAACTAAAGCAATCTCACTTAAAGTGCTATAGGTAACATACGAGACGCCGCGACATGATTACTTGCAAATATCAATCAGTGCGCTTTCAAATCTCTCCCCGATAGTACTAGGCCTACTTCATATGAAACCCCCCATTGAATGTCTGGTACTTGCCCACCACCGCGCTTGACACCATGCCTGCGCTCACTAGCCTGTTGTCATTGCGAGACATAGAATCCCCTTCCTCATGAGCCTGGCTGGGTTCAAACGACAAGAGGAGCTCCCCCACATATGCTGCAGCGGTTGCGGCCGCATACGGTTGCCACCTCTTGTTCTTGTGGGAATCTGCGTAGTCGCAGATTCCCCGGACTACAAGGCATGGCAACTGACCCGCTGACCCAGCGGCTTCCATCTCAACAGCTATCACCCCCAGCTTCCTTCTCAACTCTTCCCTCGTGGTGGCGTCCCTGATGAGTGCGCTCGGGGAACCAATCGGCCCAAAATGTACTTTGGGCGAGTTCGGTGGATTCGGTGGATTCTGTCTCGGATAAGCTCGGTTGACGAGCTTGTCTGGAGGACAGGTCTTGCAGTCAGGATGACCTTGGTGGACACAATCCTCTTCGAAAAGCTTATCGTACTCTTGTCCCCGATAGTTGCAGTTGGGTCCGAGCTTGTTGGACATTTTCGACAAGATCTCCCTGCCTTTCGTGCTTGAGGCGTAGGGCTTCGATGTGGGTCATGAGAAACTCGGGGGGGTTGCTCAACAGCCCAGTCTGCTCAAACTTGTCCGGATGTTGTTTGCCCTGATCAAACAGAATGGCCGCATAATTTGTCCCCGTTGCCTTCCCCACCACCACATCGCCTAGTCGAATATCGAACTGATCGGTGTCCGGGATCCCACCGGCAACTCCCACCACGATACCGATCTCGATTGAGTTGAACTCCTTCTTAAGCCGGGCGACGGCGCTTGCGGCCTTGATATTGCCGGTTTCAGGAAGAACCGCCACAATCACATTGTGGTTACCAATGCAGCCAAAGGTATAAGCATCCTGGTACGTCGAACAATGGGAGGGGAGGGGAGGGTGTTGTTTGTCCAGGAATGCCACGATGGGAATCATCTCAACAATCTTGGGGCAAACGATCCCAACGGTGTAAGACTTGCGGGTGAGGGCCATGACAGCGTTTGTGAAAAGGCAAGTTTGTGGAGAGGCAAGTTTGTGGAGAGGCAAGTTTGCGAAAAGGCAAGTATGCAAAGAGGCAAAGAAGAGAGGGATGAATTCGGAATCCTTCGTTCTGTCGTAACGGTGATGAAGGATGGAAGAGATAAGTACTAAGTCTGGAGCAGTGAGAGGGGCAGTCAACTAGTACTTACCTAGAATGGCTGCCTAGCTTGCGTAGTACTGAATTATTCTCTGTTGGGGGTTTTCTACTAAGTAGTACCACGCCGAGCTGTGAGCCTATCATTGGGTTTTCCGCATGATTGGTCAGCCAGTGGCTTCAACTTACTTCCATACTAGTAGTATCTATCTACATACTACTACTACTACTACCCAATCCCACCTTGTTAAAGTTCAAGACCGTTGCACACAGGTCACCCACCGAATGTTGATGCCCAATGTCAGGCATGCAAATTTGGTCGTCTGGGGGCTAAGGCTCTCTGTTGCAGGACATACACATATAGAAGTCTGCCTGCCTACTATATGGTATGGTATGGTATGTCCCCCAGCAGGTAGATAACTAAGGCTTATCTAGTTACTAGTAGGCTTGACAGGAGCCGGGGAAGTCCAATTGCACTTCCTTGTCCCACCGGGAAGCGGGGCCGTTGGGCCATCAAGCCAGGGGGTTATACAGAGATCAACAATATAGCACTGCACTGCACAGCACTGCCACTGCCACCAAACCTTAAGCAAGTGAACGCTTCCGGTCCAGGAACTGTCAGACAGAGGCTACCTACAGTCATTCAGTCAGGCTAACTGTCACCACACCTATGTGAAAATAGCGCAATCAGTGCAACCCCCAAACAGTACGAGGGGAGGAGGTAATGGAACTTCATAATGCAGGATAATCTAATTCAGGAGACTGACACAACCAAAGTGGTTCACATGGGTTCAAGAAAAAAGGGGGAAAGGTCATCAAGGAAAGCAATCGAGTGATCTAGACCACATACTGGGAAGGTAGAGGTGAATCTGTGATACTATTACTGGCCAAGCTACCTACCTATCTATACTGGGGTGGTGTTGTCATTCTGTCCACCGGGTAACTTGGCACAACCAAGGCTGTATTGTGGGCATGCCCGCAAAGGTCCTATCTATTGGCTATACAGTAATTTGGTAATTTCCGTCAAAGTAAAGCAAAGCGCAGATATTTCTCCGAATCTGTACGAGGGTGATCGGTGATCGGAGATTGATGATTGGTGATCTATCAACATCACAATATCAATCTCATTCTGGTCATCCTAACCCATGGGGAGGGAGGATAGGTAAGTAGTGGGTGTTCTCACCTTGCTCACAGGACAGGTTGGAGTGCAATGGTTGTACTGTTGTCGTACCGTTGTAGTACCGTTGTCGTTAATCACAGAACCATAATGGTCAGAACAGCCATAGGTTGGAGGAGGTCCAGTGGTCACTATACCTATGTTACCAGAGGCATTGTTAACTTGGAAACTAAGGCTTCCCAATGATTCTTACTGACTCCATCTGCTCCTGCATCCTACCATCCCCTGCCTCCCCCCAAGTAAAAGAAGCACCTAGATTAAATTACTCCAATACTATGAGCAGTCACAATAATCTAGGCATGAGACTTCAATCTCCACTCCACCCCTGAACACGAAACCGGTTACGACGACTTACCGCAAAACCCACAACGTATGTAGTCTCCTACATGAAATCAACTGCAATCCGAATGGAGTGGGGGCGGGTATTGGTATCTCTGTGATAAGTAGTATCAGTATCAGTATCAGGAGATTGATTAGCTTTGCCCTGGGCGCTCTTTGTTACATAGCGACTTAGGGAGGTCGAGTTCGCATCTTGGTATAGGATGGAACTGGGCTGTTTCTGTATTGTTTTGAGCTGGTTGTTAGTATGGTGTTTTTGAGATTTAAACTTGGGTCATGTGAACTGGTTGAACATGTCAGTGCGTGTATGTCAATCGCATCTAATTACTGACCACGGGTATTGTCTCGACCTGGAGCATAAACACAAAGTTGATTACATTATCTATCAATCAATAACTAACTAACTGTAACTATAGACATGAATCGGGATAGCCATGTATCAAAGACCAATGTGGTCGAAATAAGCACATTCTTTCATCTGCATCCCTGTACCTATGCTCTAATTCATACTGGCCTGCTGGCTACCACTCCGCACACACGCATCAACAAAGATATTTGTTGAACCCTGACTGATGGCCAGACTCCAATCATGCTGTCGCTGGAACGATCATCGCTTGCAAATCCAAGGTATATACACTTTTGTGGCGGTAGTGGAGCAACTGCGGGCAGGATGAGATGCAGCCAAGCTACGCTTCCTGAGCCCAACGTCGCTCCCGGAGAGGCATCTCTTCACTGGCTTGTGCCCGCGAGCCGTCCATCTCCCGACGCCAGGCGTAGTATTCTCCGAGACGGACCTCGGCGTAGGATGCATAGTCGAAGTCGATTTGTGAGATTTGGGCTTGGATGAGTGACCAGACACCCCTGTTTGCATTAGCCATGTATCTCCTAGAAAGGGAACGGAGAAGGGAATACCAGTATAATCCGGGAATGCCGCGGAACCGATCGACATCCTCGTAGAGACGATCCACAATTTCCCCCTGAGAAGACTCTGGGATTCCCTTGTGGTGGCTGTAGCTCCGGACGTATTCGGTCAGGAATTCGCGCCGCACAGATCGGGTAGGTAGCATGTTGTAGTCGCAGTCATAGCCACCCCATTCGGCAAAGTGGTTGACAATGTCGAAGGCGGCAGGCGAGGGAGTGGCATATTCATAGTCAATGAAGTTGACGGTGGCCTCGTCCGAGTCGGCGCTTTCGGGCAACACGATGACATTGGCGCAGAGAAGATCACAGTGAGAGAATACCAACTGGTGAGGTTAATTGGTGGTTTGTACGAAAGGGATTAGCGCTACGTACCCCGCCTTCACCGAGACCCTTTTCATCATCTAGTTCGCTAACGACCTGCTCAAGCTCCTTCTGCAGACCGAGTCTCCGTTTGCGCTGCTCCTCTGTGGTCGTGGGGAGCGCCAGGATCCATCGCTGGAGAACGCTCCACATACTCGGGTCCGGCTGCTTGGGCGTGATCATCGAGATGTCCTCCTCCTGCTTCACTCTCCGGCAGTCTGTCGTGTCCATGTCTACTTGTTGCATCAAGGGCACGTCCTCGACTGGCTTGGTGGGAGCGACCGGTCCCTTAATGGGCAGCACTGCATGCCACTGCGCAAGTCTCCTGGCCACACCACGCCAGACAAAAGGCGTTACCAAGTCCTCATGGCTGGCTGGGCGGCCCCGGATGAAGCGGTATAGGAGACCATTGTTGAAGCGGGCCAGAAGAGGAGGGGCTAAGCCATGGCTTGCAAGGAGAGCGTGGGAGCTCGTTTCTCCTATAGATAGAGACATCTACTCAGCATGTGGTCGCAATGGGCAGAGAGAGGGTATCGCAGTAACCCTGGGTGGCATACTTTCGCGGTCTATGAGGATCTCTGTGTGGTTACCGTACGCTCTCATCAGTACAGCCTCATGATCTATCTGCTCCTCGGTCAAGCCGGGCTTGCGATTGATGATTTTTAGAAGCTGGAGCCATGTTAGCCTCATAGTTTGGCGGTGCCTGCCTCTTGCAGCGGACATCAGCGACGAGTTGTGGCAAGAAACACACAGTGTTGGTGATACCATCCGTGAACCGTACGAATTCGATCTTGTTGTCCCGTCCCTCCCAGTGCGGGTTGAGTGTCAGGATGAGCCGTAGCGCAGAGGCGTGGGAGTCGGCATGGTTGTATGATAGGGGGATGTAGCGAAAGGGCTCGAGGTTTTCGGCGTGCATCGTGGCGGTTGTGGTTGAAACAAAGGGGGAGAAGGGAAGGAAGAAAAAAGCGGCGGTCGATCAGTATGCGACAGTCGACAAGGGTCTAACCGTTCCAGAACTGTTCCACGCAAAGGTCAGCCACACATATGGCCACCAGTTGTTATTGGTATGATAAGGCATGGGCACATGCCTATAGAGCAAGGGTACCCACGTACCTATCAATAGCCGGGCTAGAAGATGTGGCTTTCTGCCTGGTCCGTGAGCCGTCTGGCAAGGGAAGGCTGCGAGTACAAATTGGCCGGCAATTGAGACTCTCAACCACGAAGCGCAGGAAGAATGACGAAGATGAAGAGGACAGGAGACAAGGAGGAGAAGATGTCGCCGCTGGTCTCGTGCCTGCGACGCCCTGATTGGAAGGCGGCGGCGGGCCCTGAACGCCCCTCCTTTTCCGCCTTTTGACGATTCCACCGCAGCCAACCACTGCCTCGCATCTGTGAGATGACGCCAGGCCCTCCACCCATTGAGGCATGGGCATGAGACCAGCTTCCAACATCTGATTCCCTTTCGGCAGTTCTACAACAGTACAACTAGGGTGTCGAGGTGATCCTGATCACCTTGAGAGTCGGACAGGTGGTATCAGGGGTCGCCAGGGGTACTCGCATTTGACCTGTCATTACCGGGTACGGGTTATACCGATCTGACTATGTATCGATCGGTATGATACAAACCTCTATACCGGCAGTATGAACATGCGTCTTCGTTCTGCTCGTTCGACATTATATACTAAATGGGTAGGAAGTTTCGGAAGAGGAACGACTGGACAACGACATTAAAACAAAATGCAGTTCGAGTTAAGTAACTGTGATCGCAGCTGGCATCACCCAGCTACGTGCTCAACTCTCGGAGGATATCCGCAACTCGCGCAAATGCAAGTTCATTCATCGTCTCCTGCCATAGAGTCCGAGCAATCTTCTCGCCCTCAGGCGTATACACAAAAGGAGCCATTCTAAGAACAGTTAGTGACTTCTTGGGACCATCTGAGGCAGACCTACGGCGCCAGTTTTCCGTCTTCAATATACTGTCCATGGGACTCTGCACCATGTTTCACCGCAGCATCCGTGAGTGCGCGGGCTCCAACAGAAGGCTTCCGAGCGAGGATCAATTCCATGATACTAAAGATGTATCCCACGAGAGTGCCCCTGAACTCTCGGACAAGACCAGACTTGCATAGGCCTGGATTGGGTGCGTTGATGACAACCACTGACGGTGGCACGCGCTTTGCGAGTTCTCTCAGAAACAGTTGCCCGAGCAGCTTGGATGTAGGATAACGATCCTGGTCGTCGAAGTTTTCGCGTTTATCAAATGCTGACATGAGAGGCGTGAAATTTTTTTCCTTGAACTTGGCCCAGGCAGGCGTATCCGATGACACCACAGTCAGATGGCCGGGGTGTTCAGGCGAGTTCTTCTCTTTGAGGACTGGGATCAACAGGATGGTGAGAAGAGCATTGGAGAGGTGATTAACCTGGACCGTCTCCTCGTGGCCTGTACTTTTAATGATCTCGAATATTCTCTTCGAAACCCCCGCGTTGTTCACAACAATATCCAGGCGGTCGAGAGACTTGGTGCGTTCTACAAACGCCAGCACAGAATCATAGCGCGAGAGATCCAGCTTCCAGACCTCGATGATGGCTTTCCCACTGCGTCTCCCTGCAAGAAGCTCTTTCTTGGCTTCTTCGCCTTTAGCCTCACTACGCACGGCGATGATGAGTCTGCTCAGCCCCAGGTCCAGGAGTTGCTTGCTGCACTCGAAGCCAAGCCCGGTGTTGGACCCTGTGACTATGGCGGTTTTGCCCGAGAGGTCAACGTCTGTTGGTGAAACGACAGGCGGTTCACCGAAGAGCTGGCGCTTGAAGAAGGCGCCTTGGGTGGCGCGGCTTTTAATAGTGGCAACGTCAAATGCCATTGTGATGCTATCAATATGGAAGAAGAACTCGAGGGATGGCAGAACAAGATGTTTGTCCTGGGGCAGCATCCTTTTTATACCTCATCTTACACTCCATCCCCATCAATGACATGCTTTCGTATTACAGCGACTTTGCCATTCATCAACCGAAGGGCTGGGGTTGGGATCTGGTGATAGCGGTTACCTCCGATGACGGAAATAAGAAGCATAACTCCAAGCAATGACATGAATGCATAGATCGGAAGCCTGTTGATAGCCTGGCGCTAAGACAGGTAGGGCAAAAATGTCAGCCATGCAACACCAGCGCCACGCGTGCCAGCCATGGAATAACCTGATGCCTGATATTAGCGAGTACTATAGCTTTAGATAGTTCCAGCGCAGCTGACATGAGACCAGCCGGAATATCTGATGCTAAACAGGCACTTGTCCTAGTCTTCCGGAATGCAAAGACCTTACGAATACTAACTTGTCCACATAAAGTACCCGTCCCACACAATACCAAACATACCCAATACCACCACATACACCCACCCATCCTTATCTCAATACACAAATCGATACGTAACCCAATCAGCCCCACCCCACCCTCAACACAACCAAATTTACATGTGATTCCCACCATCACCCTGCTCACCTGACCTTCCCCAACCCTAACCCTCCCCCTTCCCACCTCGTCAACCACCCTAGCCCAGCCCCCCACCCACACCGCCCTACATAAACCCCCCCTTCCCATCCCTTCCCCCTTCTTTTTTTTTTTCCTTTCTTCATCATCAGTAGCGGTTTACTTTTACCTTATGTTAAAATGTAAATCTTACCGGGGCTCCGTCAAGTACGGCTCGCTGAGGGTTATCTTGTGTGGGATTATTTTCTCTATGGGTTTCCTTCCGTTCCCAGCCTTGGAGAACAGGTTTGCGCTTTCGGGCAACAACCACGTCTTCCTTTTTTTCTCATGTTATGGCTTCGCTAGGGAGTTTTTTCTGAAAAGATAAAATCCCCATGCGCTGGAGCTGTGGAGGAGGCGGTACATACATACATTTTCTTTTTTTTTAAAAAAAAAAAAACCGGTCTTGGTGTTTTATGTGGCATTGAGAGATTGGTGTAGAGTTTTGGTGGGGCTTGGTTGATTTGGCTTTGCTGTATGTAATCTCATCTGGATTTTGTGGATGAGGTTTATGTATGGTTTGGCGATGGTCGCTGGGCTGGTTGGTTGTTGGGGTGTGGTTTGGATCCATGTACGGTCGCGGCTTTGTCCTATCCGTGACATGGAGTATGGGACCCTGTCTATTTACTCTGTAGTAGTATCTACCGATAAGCCCTTCTACTCGTACTGTCGCCGCCGGATAAGATAAGACTACGGAGTACTGCAAAATGTGGTCATTCATTATCATGCTACTCCAACGGAGTACTCAACGAAAATACTTTATAGTATATAGTATCTATCACACTCGTCCAGCCTTGCCAATCTGGATTCTCTCGCCCGACCACTTATCATCGCTGCGCAGCACCGGCCAGCTCGTTCCATCCGCCTTCACCAGCGTCAACTCCAATTTTGTCCCCAGCACCCGGAACTGCGACTTCTCGGGATCAATCGGCGCAAACAGTTGATAGGTATCCTTGTACCGCTTGTTATCCGTCGTAGGGAGGTCCAGCCCGATCGACGTAGCCGCGAACTCGACCTTGGCTGTCTCTTTGTTGATCTTTTTCAGGTAAAGCGACACGTTCACGGAGGAGGGCGTCTGGTAGAAATCGTTCCTAGATACCAACCAGTCAATCAGTATGCAGTCACCAGCAGTCATGTATGAACAACGCACCGAACCGTTTCCACCTTCTCCTCGCCCGGTGGCTTCCCCTTTCCAACAAACAAATGCTTCGTCTTTTCCGTACAGCCCTGGATCTTCAGGAACTCGTCAAACTCCAGCACCCGCTTCTTGCAGCATGACCAGCCCTTGCTGCCCTCGTGGAAGATGGGCTGTCCGGGGTGGTGGACGCACTTCTCCTGCTCACGAGGTATGGTCGCATCGTAGCCCGTGTTGCAACCCTTGCGACGACAGGTCGCGTTCGCAGCGATCTCAACATCCGGGTCATCGGACTCAGGTTCTTCGGGGACGGGGGTCGGCGCATTCGAAGGAGGGGGAATGGCCGGGGAGATGGCGGGGCGAGGGACGGCGCTCTCGACAGCGGGTGCAGGTGCGGCAGGTTCTTCTGCGACGGGCTTGGGTTTCAATTCAACGGGGGTATCGTCGACGATGGAGTGTTTGCCCGTTGTGCAGGGCGGGATAGCGAGGAATTCATCGAAGGTGAGGACGCGCGATTTGCAGCATTTCCATCCTGGGTGGGGTGTTAGTCTCGGAGGGGTGGGCGGTGATGCAATCGTGTGTATAGATGACAGAGACAGATGTAGAGAAACGAGGCTGGTCGATCAACCCCAAGGTCCTTGGGCTTTACCTTTCTGTCCTTCGTGGAACACCGGCGGGCCAGGATGATAGACGCAGGGCTCCTCGGCGTCGGTGAATTCCTTCCCGCAGCCCTTGTGGACACACTTGGAAGCCATCCTGGTTGAACGGTGGAAACGGTGAAAGGTAGAGACGGGTAGACGGAGACCGGTGAGTGTGAGAATTCACCAGCGGATAGATACAGTCTTGACTCAGTCGCGGGGCAAAGGTCAATCGTCGCATCGAAGGTCGAAGAACCGCCGTGAGGTTCGGCCCAAACGGGCTTAGTCGGGGAAGCTCGAAGGTTCCATTCTTCCCGCCGCTGCTTCGTTGTTCTCCGCTCTTCTTCCATCCTCTCTCCAGTCTCCAGTTCAGCGTTGCAACTACAATAATAATAGTGGATGCTGATCACCATGTTTCCCACCGCCATCCGTCTGTCTGCTGCCCGCGTCACCCTCTTCACTCGCGCAAACTGTGGTCTCTGCGACACCGCCAAACACACCGTCACTCAGCTGCACAAGCGTCGCCCTTTCGACTACTCCGAGCTTGATGTTCAGCTCCCGAGAAACAAGGCCTGGAAGGATGTCTACGATTTCGACGTGCCTGTTCTGCACGTGCAATCTGTCCAGGCAGATTCGTCGTTGTCCGATCCGAAAAAGCTGTTCCATCGGTGGACGGAACAGGAGATGGAGACCCTGATCGACCAGGTGGAGAAGCAGTAGCTGCCTACACCATTGTACATATCCATAACACACATATGGGCGATTTAGAACACCTGAACCATACTCAATGGCCTATGTGGGAATTGTCTTGGTCCCTTGGCGTCTCCAAGGCATCGACAGGAAGTCGGCGGGCCATCTCATATCATCGTGAAAGGGTCCAGAACTGGACGGCCGATGTTGTTTCCCAGGTCCCAGGGTCCGATAAAGAGGACGTTAGTCCCGACGCCTTGGCGATCTGCATCTGTACAGCATCAATTGTCTTGACTCGACTCAGTAAAGAGGGCTTGTGTGCGTAGATCTGTATATGGGTATGTAGGAGGAACTGAGAAAGAAGAATACTCTGCAGGGGAATAAGTGCAGAGGGAGAAAGAGCTCGTAGCAAGAATCACCCGAGGCGGGTCAATTGGTCGCGGGACACGGGCCGCTATGGAGTATTATCACGTAGACAGGTTCATCTGGTTTATTGTATCGACAAGACTCTATACCTGGTAGGATACTTGAGATTGTAACATGGAAGTTGCCGTATGGTTGCGTAACAATCGATGCAGGTCCCGATGCTTGGACATGGGCCATGGGAGAGTTATTGACATAATTGTCCTTTTTCTCTGTCGTCTCCCTTTGTCACCTCCTGCATCTCCCACCGGATGCCACCTACTAAGATCCTTTCATCCTTGATATTGTCCTTCTTGGCTAGTCTAGTGTCTCGACATATGATTGAGTACCTAAACTAATGAAATTCTCTGAAGATACATGCTCTTGTATGGAGAATGTCATGTCTTATAGCATCTCACTTCCCCCGTGTAGGAATCATCCTACGAATATTCAATCAGTCATACTCTTCTTCGCCTATATAAAGCTGCTCGAACCCGGTAGCTAGCTAATCCGTAATTCAGCATATCCACTCTTTCAGGTTCGTCGACCCTAGTCCTGCACCTCGCATTTCACATTACCCGTTTCCGTGTTCCTCAACGCCAACATGGAGATTTGTCAAACAGACCCAACCAATAAGTTGAGTTATGGCCGATGGCAAGTCGACTACATCGACTACATCGTCAAGGAAGATGGCAGATTATACAACGGAAGATGGAAAGACATCGACAATCTCCCTCAACACCCAACCCAACTCTCCAACCTGCAGGAACTCCACCTGAACTCCCCACTCAATAGCGGGCTCTATATCAAAACACCCAATCCCAAATATTTCAACGAAGGATCCAGTCTAGAGGACCGACTCCATCACGAGTACCAAGTTTGCAAGATCCTTCAGAAGGATCCACACCCCAACATCGCCTTTTACTATGGATATCAGGAACAGGGTGGTCATCTCTCGGGATTGTGTTTCAAGAGGTATGCGAAGACGCTGATGCAAAAGGTGAACCCAGAGGGGTTGAGTAAGGAGGAGTTCCGGGCGAGTGATCGGAAACGGGTTGATGATGCCGTCAAAAGGAGTTTGGAGGGAATTTGGGAGGGAATCCAGCATCTCCATAAACTCGGACTGGTGCATAATAACATCAACCCTTCGACTATTATGTTTGATGAACAGGAAAATCCTGTGATTGTTGGTTTCACTCACATTCGCGAAGAGAAAACGTCGCTATGTTACCCCCCGGTCTGGAGGACTCCTCATTGGCATGACCCGAAGGTTCAGACTGCATTGGATAGCAATGATCTTTATGCTTTTGAGGAATTGAAGACTTGGCTGGAGGGATCTGTGGAAGATGAGTATATTTTTGAATGAGTGGTTCCAACGACAGTTACTGTGGATGAAAGGGTCCGCTCTTCATTATCAATTCGATTGAATATTGGATGTCATCCTTTGAGTATGATCTGCTCACCCTCATTGGTTTTGATGAGTCGAGCATCAAAGGGGGTTATTGGTTGTTGTTATGTGAGCCAGCTACATAGAATTAAGAAATTATTATCAGCTTACCGCAATCTAGCAACTACTAGGCTATTACCTTAGTATATCATTGCCATCGATTCCAATACTCCAATAAGGATGAACTGCACCAGGTTGCCGCCTGATCGCTCCATTCCAGTCTTCTCATTGGCAAGTTCGTGTACTAGTGCCCGTGTAAGCATACCAAGACACACTCGGATTGGACCAATCTTAGTATAACCTGGCCCTCCCTGTTTCGACCCAACTTAGCAAGTACTAGTTATATCACTGCATAATCATACGCATCTCCCAACTCCAATCCATCATCTCAGCCAACCTCCCTCCCAACAATGTCCTGGTCCCAAGTCTCCCCCACCCGATGGGAACGCCCTCTCACCGGCTTCGAAGAATTCCTCGTCCTCTACGCCAACCTCTCCCTAACCCTTTCACCCACCAACCAGCAATACGTCTTCTTCACCAAAATAACCCTAGACATCCACCTCCCCAACATCGAATCCGCCCTCAAACACGCCTGGAAACAAATGCGTTTCGAAGAACCCGACCTAGTCACCACCATCGACAAAGAAACCAAAATCTACGAGACCCCCACCACCCCAACCGCCCTCCAAGAATGGCTCGATACCACCTTCATCATCATCACCGACATCACCGACGCAGACGACCTCCAACGCAACGGTCCCCTCCTCGACCACGACCAGGCCAAACTCTACTACCTTCCCAAGACCTCCGACCTCGTCCTCCGAGCCCATCACTCCGCCATCGACGGCATAGGCGCCCTCATCTGGTGGGATAAATTCTTCCATGCCCTCCTCCACCCCCACCCCCACCCCGAGATTCCCTTTGGGGACGAACATCATCACCTCGCCATCCCTATCCAATCAGCCCTAAACAACAACGACCCTCCCACCCAAGAAGAAACAAATCTTGCCACCGCCATGGCCCTGCACTACGTCTCCCATCTCCCGGGTCTCGGAATGGTCTCTAAAGCCGGGACCGTGGCCCCGGGTAAATGCCAACACATCGAGCATCGATTCTCGCCCGATCTCACACATGCTATTGTGCGTGGGTGCAAGCGTCGGAACATATCCGTGACGTCGGCCGTGCATGCAGCATACATTATGGTGTTGATGAAGCACGCCGCGGACCCATCATCGAACACCTCGCACTACTATGCAAGTGTCAATACGTTCAATCTGAGGGGTGATCTCCCGGAGAGGTATCGGGGGAAAGCCGCGGCGAATTACTTGGTGAATTTGCCGTTTTGGGTGGAGTTGCCGGTGGGGTTCTCGGAGGTTGCGGGGGAGTTGAATCGGAGTTATAGGAATGATAGTAGAGGGATGTTGGGGCTGGTGGGTGCGTATAATGCGGGGTTGGCGAGGATGTTGAAGACTCCAGAGGCGCAGGGGATGAAGGTTCCGACGGATGCGTTTGTGAGTAGTTTGGGGGTGGTGGAGAAGTATATATCACGGGAGTATGGGGGGGGGGCGGGTGTGGTCACGGTGAAGGATTTTACGTTCACGGTGGATGCGGTGCTGGGAATGAATATGTTGCATGTTTCTTCTTTTCGGGATCAGTTGAGGTTGGTGTATTGTTTTAATGATGGGTATGAGGAGGTGGATATGATTAGGGGGTATTTGGATGATATGGAGAGGGTGTTGAGAGTGGAGGTGTTGGGGGAGATGCAGTAATACTATTACTATATGATGTCTATATTAAGGAGGTTTTTTCTATCTATAAGTATCGATCATGCCATGACCAACAAGGTTACAGGATGGTCATGACAACCCTAGTACAAGTCGCCTTGAATGCAATAATTATCTAATAATTACTCGCTGAATGAGAAGAATAACATCGTAGATCTTTACTTCAACTGGGAAGAGGTAACATACATTACTTGGCTGTATGGATGTATGGTTCGTCAATGACCATTTGGTATTGGTTTGTGTTATAGCCCGTCGATGTGTCATCGGACTTTTCATCAAGTTGGTTGAGATAGGGTATCTACTAAACGGTACTGCCGAAACATAATCAGAGATCAGGCAAGTACAAGGGTATCATGCAACCTCATCCACCAAATCAATCGGTAAACTCTCAATCCAACCGAAATATGCCCGTTCCGTCATCTCCAACGTGGTGCTCTGTCGACGCTTGCGACCTCGAGCTGGCGTGTTCATGGTCCGGTCAACCAGTCGGCTCCGCATCTCCTCATCGAGGCCCGCGCTCGCATCACCCGATGCATTCCGCTTCAGAGCGCCAGATATATTCTTGAGGGTGCTGCGACACAGCTGCATGAGATCTCCCAGGTGACCATGGCCCCTGAATCCGTTGTATGGATTGAACAACCGCAGGAGACGCGTCCGGCAGTCTTTCAGCCGGGCCCGCGAGGCCACCGCGTTGCCTTTCAGGAACGGACAGAGCCGGGCGGCGAGAATCACAGTGCCACTCGCATAGAGAAAGTCGACGTTCTCCCAGTAAGGAGACCCGGACATGAGCTGGGTATCATCGGGCCCGCCGTCGAGCAGGTTGTCCGTGTTTTTCCAAATCAGTTCCACTAGCTCCAAGGCGATGACGGCGCATTTGATCGATGCGTCTCGGACAACGGAGTTCACCATCGGGGTCTCCACGGATGAAGGCTCGGTTTCAGTCATGTGTGGGTGGCCATCTGGTCGACAGATGCATCTGGCCGACAGGGCGACTCCTAGGATTAAAATGGGTCGGTAAAGTCGGAGACGGATATACAAATATCGGGCACGGAGTAGATCACGTTGCCGGCGCACAATAGGGTCGTCGGCGAGCGCAGCAGGGTTGTCGATGCGCAAAAACAAGGGTAGAGAGTTCTGCCAGTCGTACAACAGAGCATCGGTTTTGAGGAACGGCGCGAGATCCAGTGCCAACAGTTTCTTCGCGGCGCAGCTGCCATGCCGTACTCGTGCGTCGGCCTCCCATGCGGCGATGTCATGCACATGGCTGTATAGCCTGGAGCAGGCGAGAAGAAACTCGATGATGGAGGGTCTCTCCCCACCATAGCTGGGAGTTGCCCCCGAAACGCTATCAATATAGTCCGTGTCTAGGTGGGTGGGCAGGAGAACCTGGAGGGGGTTGGCTACCTGCGGAGGTAATCCGATTTGCAACGACAGCATGCGCTCCAGGATGACGGCGCTGTGCCAGAGCCTCCGGCCAAGTTCGCGCTGCTGTCTCTCTCGTCCGTCCCGTCCGCTGGTCTTGGACTGCAGCCCCAGGCCTTGCATGAGACGAATCGTATAGCCGATAAGCGCCCAGGCCTGCCTGGGATTCCCTGTCGCATTGAGATACTGGCATTGGAGGAAGAGGCATTGGACGCGCATCCAGGGTGTCCCCTGCCAGTCCGGGCTACCCGTCATCCTCTGAGCATGGTCGAAAAGCGACTGCAGATAGGCACCATCCATGCGGTGGTGTCTTAGACCGGAGAGACATATGATCATCATGAGGATGGCGTGAAACCCACTGGACCCAGTCGACAGGTCTTGCATGTCGCCGACCTTTTCACAGGCTGCCTGAAATTCGGACAGGTCGAAAATAGGCCAGTTGACGTATTCGCGGGCCAGATAGGTGGCGATCAGACTATCCATCAAGTCTGAGGGCAATTGGGCCAGGGACTCGGCAATGCTCGAGCTACGAGATCTGGATTGCGGACGTCCATTGGGAACGCCGGGGACCTGCAACAGGAACATGTCATCATCGGGTTCTTCCTTCAACCGGCCGGTTCGAGCATCCACGGCGTGCTGCAACCGATTCAGCCGCTCAATGTGAGCATTGATGCCAGTTCCCGTCGGATGTGTTGCAGGATGGTCGCTCTGGTCCGACGAGACCGAGTAGACATCCACCGTGGCTTCCCGATCGCGACAATTCTGAGAAGAAGGAACTTCTAACCGTCGACGCTTTGGCTGGGGTTGCGCAACAAAAGCACCCAGAAGATGATCCCGTGGCCGGGAGCGTATCGTCGACGGCGAAAGAGGAGGCACAACAACCTGCATGCCAGCAGCCGGGGGTAATGCTCTGGCTCTCCTTCCCCTGTGGGGCGTCAGAGGATCTCTTGAAGCCCAGAGAGGGACATGCATGGACATACTTTGTGGGACCCATATCCTCAGGCCGGTAGGAGCATTGGCCGTGCAGATTGGAGGACTTGCATCTTCCACAAACTGGATGGTGTTAGCTCGGAGTCGCCATGTGGAGGGGAAGACAGACCAGGCACGGCCCTGTCGCATGCACGCTTCTTTGCCCGGCATATGCAACAGGGGGTACGGGGGATTTTGCTCATGGCCGTGAGCCGGTCCAGGCGGCACGCAATGGGAGGGGTTGATTCTATGGCGCGTTAGCGAGGGGTTCTGTGTGATGCGGTGTGCCGATGGCCATCGAGCTTGCCTTGAAAGTGAGAATGTATGTATGTATTCAAACTGGAGTACAATATAGTACGTAGTGAGATTCACCGATATATCCGCCGACAAACCCAGCAACGGTGGTATAAACAAACCCGAGGGGGAATCCGAGGGGAGGAAAGACGGCCCAGGCAAGATGGCTGGGGATTCCGGCAGGCGCGTCAACTGGCGCCGGTTGGTGCCTGCGCGTCGCCTTCATTACAATAGGACAAGATAGACTACTCGGTAAATCATCTGCAAACATCTTTTCATTCGACCACTACCGAACCCCTCCAATTAAATCAAATCCACAATAAATCCTAGTAAATCATCATTTACCCATCACACCCATGACTCCCCTCCTGTGGGGGATCCTGACACCCATTCTCACACAACTTGGCATGGCCAATCTGGCCCGGATTCGTACAATGAAAGAGAATATCCCCCACATCTTCATTCTCGTACCCAGTGCCTTGGAGGGCAGCTGTAAGATCATCTTGCGAGAAGCCTGTCCATCATCAATATCCCACTACACACAAAGAGATAAGGTATAGTATAAGACTCACCCTTCGAATCAAGGAGCACGTCCGAGCAGTAATCGAAACTCGGGGTGCAGGTTTTATCGGCCAGCCCGGTCATGGCCAGCGCCAGGAGGGCCGAGAGGATGGTGGTGGTGGATTTCATGGTGCACCACGATCTTAGGGAAGGCGACGGTGAGGGGGAAATGAGAGGAAACTGGGGAAGAGAGGGGTTTATATATGGTGATGGGTGACATTCTTGATGTTGTCTTTGCGGGGCAGGAATGTGGTGGGTGGGTGTGGTATGTATGCTTGTCTTCATGTTACTCAGTAGGTAAGTAGTTACTACGATGTAGAAGAGGGGTTTGGTTTGCTTGTGCAAGCTATAGAGCAAACATTATTATCTATATTGCAACACAGCCACAGGCTGTCAGCCAGGTCCTATATCCATCCAACGTCGTAAAGGCATGAAACAAATGGCGTCCCATCGGACCCCAAGCAACTGATGTACACGAACCAAAACACACGCCCAATGCGTCGATTTCTGCACAGAATCATAAGCCAGCCCGTGCCTCACGGGAACAAGGGAAACCCTCGCAATGTCGGGGGCGCAATATCAAATTGCAATCTCCCTATACCAGACTATACGTATTCCATCTCAGGCCGTGCGGTCTCGAACTTAGAACCACATGACACCCACTACCAGGCCGATCACAATGGCCATGCAGCTCCCCCGGCGCACATGCTCCGACTCCTGTTGGAGTCCGGCAGCCATCGCGGTGCTGTTCGGTGAGGGCGCCGAGGTGGCAATCGGCCGCATGGGCGCAGAATGGCTTGCGTTAATGTCCTCGCTGACATTCACCATCGCTTTCGGAACGACCATGGGCTCCTGTGGAACCGCCGGACCGCACGAGCTGTTGCTGTCTAGTCTCGAGAGGCCCGAGAGTGGCTGAGCAGAGCCGAGAAGCCCATGCCAAGCAGTCGCATTTTCCAAGTACTCGCTCCCGGCGCGGCAGACCTGCTGCCACGACTCCCGGGACACATTCAGCAACCATCGTGACACCTCGACCACGCCGCTGGTAGCCGGTATCGTGCCACTGTCATTGCGAATCCGAGGAGGCTCGTCGTCGAGAGGTATAGGTATAACAGACGAATTGATGAGCGAAGCAAGCCGCGTAGGTAGTTTTTCGACGGAGTCGCCTTCGGCCGGAAAGGAGGGAAGCAATCCAGAATCAGGCTGCCTAACGACCAGTGCTTTAAAAGCGCGCACCCCCCGAGTGAAAGCCGACGATTCTCGGACCGGAAAGGCCAGAGGATCGGTATCGAAGACGGCCGCAGCCTCAAAGGCGCTCCGAGACGGCGCGTCCACCGCACAACGTCGCGGCCGAGCTTTGCGATCGTAATATGACTGGTAATACCCATCTAGCAGCCATGGCTTCCACTGCACCCCAGTGACTCGAAATCGGGATCGAACATCGGTACAGCTATCCTTGACCCGGGAAACCTCTATAGAACGAGAGTCGTTAGTCTGTCTGACTCAGCCATAGTATGGAGGAAAAGGGGGAGGGGAAGAACCGTACGTCGAACCTCACTGCGATAGCCAATATACCCCAAATGCAGATTGGAAAAGTCCCATTCCTTGGCCAGCGACGGCACCAAACTAAACAGCGAAAAGAACAAAAGAGCAAATAACGGAATAGCCCCGGGTTTCTGAAGCCCCGATCGCATCATCCACTGCGAGCGACCTACACGGTCTGACTCGTTCCAATCCTCGGAGTAACAATATTTCTTAACAGCCGATAAGGGTCCCGCGTACTTGAGAGGCTTCCGGAACAAACAGCTTCATTGCCAGAGGGAATCAGAAAAAAAAATCCAAACGGTGATTAAGATTCGGAGGGTTTATGCATGTACGGATATGCGTCGCAGCTTCGTAAGGGTTGTTTGACAAACAGATTGCGCGCGTAGCCTTGGGCCTTGCTCGCTTGCTTTTTTTCAGGGTCTTGCGCTGGATCTGCGTCTTCGCTTCTAGGCAATGATGTCGATCAGGCGGTCGGACGGTCGGGAAGCAGGCGCGTCTTGCGAACGAGCCCCGGCAACGAAGACTGTCGGACAACACAGGATGGTGGGGGAGACGTGGAGGACAAGGAGGGGCTTTGATTTGCAAGGGTCAGCAGGAATGGCCGACGAACTCTCTCCAATGCGCCCGGATGCTGCAGGAGGAGATCACCGCCGAATGACGTAAAAGACACTCCCAAGAGTCGCAACGCTTGCGATGAAGCGCTGGTTGCCAAGTCGATCGGGTTCCGTATCGTAAGGAACGGGTAGATGGAGCCCCGTAGAGTTTAGATAGTCTTGTCGTGAACGCCCCTGAGATGGCGATTCCAATCAAACCCCGGTAGGCATCCGTCAATGAGCAATCGTGCGAGGCAGACAGACGCCAACGACTCCTGATCCGGCGATGAACGAGAGTTCAGGAGAAATCGAGCTGTTGGAACTGTTGCCTGAGCCGGCCCGTCCATGCATCGGCCGTAATTTTCTCGTCCGGCCCGGTATCAAGGTACGTCGTATTTTACCGGTGGGGGGTTGCCTCAGGCGACAATGCGCCGGCCTCCACCGGCATCAACAAGAGATCCATTGCCCAGTGGCCATTGGCAGAGCGTTACAATTGTAAACAGCACAGTACCCTCTGTGGGGATAATGACATCAGCCAGTTAGCACATGTCTATGTAGTATCTACACTGTATTGCACCTCATCGCTCATGCTATCCACATGCCCAATTGCAAGTCTATCGCCTCAACACCGTTACAGGCCTTATACAAACAAGTACAAGTCAACTAAGGTACATGCCAAGCTGTCCACACGTGATACCGTCCACTTCAGGAAACATATACAGGTCGTAAGCATGTCAAACATTATATAGGGTTCATCATAGTAGGATCAGGAACAGCAGGGGCCACTGCCTCGCTCGTCGTCGGCCAGGCCGTGCGTGCCGGCGAGACCGGATTTTTCGGCACTCGTGAGGCGGGCTTTTTCAGCGTCGTTTGGGAGGACGGTGTTCGACTGCCTTCACTGCGCTCATCCCGGGGCGTCCCAGCGGCCGTGGTGCTCCCTCCTGCATTGCTCGTTTTCCTACCCCGCTTCACCATCTTGCCCAGAATCCCCACGATTTCAGCTGCATCTTCGAAGCTCTCGTCATCCATGCCCTCTTGCGCATTATATACGTCTGCAATGGCTTGCTTGGCCAGCCGTCGACAGGCGTTGGCATCATGAAGGCAATCATAGAGGTAGGCGGCAAATTCGAGCTTGATGGAAAGACGAAGCGGGTGCGATCCCGGAAGAAACCGCTCAGCTAATAGAGAAGCATGGTTGAAGCATGCCGTAGCCGTGGGTGTGTAATCGAGCGCAGGGAGGAGAAATGCAGAGATCGACTTGGGGGGTTGGACCGGCGCAAAGCCCGGAGGCGCCTGCGTAACCTTGGCTCGTGGCGCTCCATCCGAGGCCGAACTAGGCTTCCCGGAGACCGTTATCACATCAGGCTTCGGTTGGAATGAGAACCTCGAAAGGGACTCCTGGGACGGGGACTCCGCTTCGGTAACGCCATTTGACACAGGTGTAATGCTCGGAAGACTAACGATGCCCGGCGAGTGGACAGCAGGCTGGTTATGGAACAAGACAAAGATGTGGTAAAAAGAAGCTCGCAGCTTATAAGCTAGGATCTTCAGTTCCACGTATTCCTCGACCATTGGAAGAATAAACTCTTCCAGGATCAGGAGGCCCTCTCGGGAAAGCCATATGATATGATAATAAAGGTGGAGCGATTTGGTCTCCCGGGTGGGGTCCAGGCGCCGCAATCGTCGTGCACGGAGAAGCTTTTTAGATAGCATGACAGACAGCCCAAGAATCTTGTAGAGCATAGCGGACAAAAACGGATGCTCGACGCTCGTTATGGCCGCAAAGTTGCCCAAGGCCTTCTGATCCACCTCGGAGGAAGCCATCCACAAAGCAAGAGAACTGGCTTCTATCACAGGGCAATTGTCAGTCAAGTTAGCCACATTCATGCTTCGTTAAGACACAGAACAGAAATTTCGCTCAGGTGTAACCTGATTTTGAACGGGGGATGATTTCGCGCAGCATTGGACCATCAAGAACTACAGCTTGCCCGCCGCGCCCATATAAACAACAGATGCAACGGGGTGAAACATGCAAGGCGCCAAGGAGCCTGGAGTCTTACCTCGGAAGCGCGCGCAAACGGTTTATAGTACAGATCAGCTGTCGCAAACGCTGAAGCTTCCCATGCTCGTGTTTGGCGCTTAAGCTAGATATGGATCCAGGTGGCTAGCCCTCCAACGTGAACACTCAATTGCACCGGCAAAATTCTTTTGCGTGCGCTCGCTTTGGAGTCGGATCTGTCGTGTTTGTGGCCTTTCAATGCCGCTTTGGAGATAGCGGATCAGTTGTGCACCCTCGGAGATTCTAGCGTTCGAAGCACAAAGCCGCCAATTCAACCGGAAAAAAAGTATGTTACATAGGTCAGCAATTAATACTCCTTAGGACACCGACGGGAGTCAAATCAGCGGGCGCGAGTGGATTGTTCTGGAAAGCAAAAGTTGAACCAAAGCGGAAACCACCTAGGCCAGTACCTCTACTTAATTGGCACACTCCGGAGATCCCGTCCTGTCAATCGCCGTGCACGCAAAATTTCAGGTAGATGCGAGAGCGCAAATGGATAAAGGTGGAAATTAGAAATGCAAGGCACGGGAAAGGGAGCATTCGTAATAACGAAGGGCAAGGAGCTGGTTGTCGTGAAATAAGAGCCAGTCTTGATGCATCGTGTGCCACTAGGTGCGGTAAGGCGTTAGTCTGTACTTCTTGCCAGCGATGACCGACACTGCCCACGAGATTGGGGCCAAAAGTGACAGCGATCTCCAGCTCAGGACTTCTATCCCATGGATGAAGCCTGTTCGAGGGTAAAACAACAGAAGGTTGATGACTTCAGAAAGCAGGCCTCTCTGAAAGTCAATTTCGCCAATTGACGGGTGGACTCTCCGGTCGCTGGGACGCGAGGACGGGGGAATAAGGCCGATAATGAAGGATTATGCGGAGCAATGATGCAAGGGTAAGTTATCTGCCCGGATGAGATTTCCCTGGCCACAGCCAAGTGGATGAAGCCCACGGCAGTACGGAGTAATGATGCCGGGCTAGTCGAGCGCCAGTGATCTGAACCGCGGCAAATCTCCACTATACATATAAGGCGAACGGATCCCCGCTTCTGTAGGAGTAGTAAGTGATATGTAGATACAATCCATTGTAAGTAGTCCGCCGGGTTTATTATTTCTTCTTGCCCCATCCAATTGCCCTTCTTCTCGTCCCAATGCCATGACAGACAGGAAAGGTCGGGCACCAATCGCAGCAATAGTTAGGGACGTCATGGCGTGGATGACTACCATCACCGAGGCGAAAAAATAATTACGAAGGGCAAGGTGGCATGTTGGCCGGTCCTAGCCATTGGGCGGAGGGACAGCGCATCAGCTAGTTTGATACGTGTCAGAGCCCAACTGCTGATTTTCCCTGCCTTGCAGCTTCTGATCCAGCCGGAGGGATGAGATAGGCATAGCACGGTGGATCGCCTGTCGCCAGCCTCCCCCCGGCAGCCAAAAGTAACACATGGGCTCCGAGCAGTGTTGCAGATGGAAGGGCGACCAGCGCGGGCCAAACCATCACCTAGCTCTAGTGCAATAGCTCTGCGCCTGAGCGAGCCGCCACTGAGGCGGAGTGGCCGACTAGCCCGCAAGTGTGGGAGCTCAGCGCCCGCGCGCTTCTTAGCAAGGGAATGGCGGCAGAGACGGATGACAGCTGGCGGGCCTCTGCCAGCGTGGCATCGGAAATATCGGTGCGTCTTCCATCATTTCCTGGGGCTGTGAAAGGGAGCCTTGGGATTTAGATTACACCCGGAGATGTCAAGTGATGATATCAGAGGCCCTGTCATACTCCATCGATGGAAGGGATGCTCGAGTGGGAGAATGGAAGATGAAGGTTATCTTTCCCTCTTCGCAACCCAACCCGACGCCGCGGCAGTTCCCCACCGCCTTCTCAAGATTCCTTACTACGACCCAGTACGGAGTAGGTACCAGACAAATGGAAGCGATCTATTGCCAGGTCATACTAAAGATTGACCATTATCAAAGGCCAAAGTTAGAAATCACTATATACAAGCAGCAACATATGAATAATGAGCAAGGGAAACGTCGCGGCCATAACGTCGTACACCTCCTGTCCAGCTTACCGGGCAGGAGCATTATTCTATATCGTCAAGTTCGTCACTGTCCAAAGTCCCGACAAAAGCTCTTTCCAGGAATGCCTTCCACACCCGATTCTTCGGCTTCTTGGCCTTCTTCTTCTTCTTCTTATCAATTTCCAGGTCGTCTCCACGGTCGCCAACAACCTCAGAAGCATCCATGTCAAGTTCGTCGGCGGTCGCCTCTTGCGCCCATAGATCATTTTTACCCAACCGGTTCTTAGCAATTCGTGTCGCTAGCTCGAAGAAACTGCGCACTGTGAGATCATCCATCTTGTATACCTTGTCGTGTCGGGTATCGTATTCGACCTCGAACGCGAAGACCTCGCTGTGTTTCATCTCCTGCGCATTGTCCCCTTTGTCAGAGCTGGAGAGATCCTCCTGGCGCTTAGCCATCTGACTATTGATCTTGGTCAAGTTGGCATAGTACTGGGTGTAACCGAGCCAGGTCAATGCCTGGTTGGAATATGCCGGTCCCGGAGGAGCAGTCGACGATGGAGGCAACGGGACCTTGACCTGTGGCTTTTTCTTCTTGCTCTTGTCTTTCTTCTTCCCGGCTGACAACGCATCATCAACGGGTTCCGAGACAACAGTGTCCAAGCCGTTCTGAACAGGCGCGTTGGCCCAAGTTGTCGTGTCTTCCAAGCCGGTAATGTTGTACTCTACAACACGCAAAGTAGGAAAGAAGTTCGGCACCACACTAGGTGACACCAACGACACACTGTACCTCTCGGCCCAAGGACCACCGATCTTTTTCAAGAAGCGCTTCTTTTTCTTGGGCTTTGAGCCCTTGCCACCTCCCGCTGCGACTTCGTCCTCGAGCCACTCGTCCGCTAGAAAGGTCCCTTTCGGCATACCATCTGGTGGAGACGGCAGGCTAGACCAGTCTTTCCGGAGACTGAAGAGATAATCGTAACGAGACTGAATGGAGATCTCGCCCGATTCGTCATAAAGATCGGACAGCGCAGAGGATGCGCTGGTGTCGGCAATCTTCACTTTGTGACTGTCCTGAAGCATGAAATGATCGATATTCATATGTCCATATGCACTACCGACCACGACGTCCCGGAACCTGTTCACGAAGAGCGTGTATTTTTGCCAGCAGGATTCATCCCAGCTGCGCTTGGTGCCGGATCTTGCTGGAGGAACATGACCTATCAAGATGGCTTTCATGCGACGCGTCCGCAGCAGCTCCAATTGCACACGCAACCATTCCATATGCTCATAGCCTGGCTCTGATTTCGCATCGCACCCATCGACGGCAGAATTGGAGTCGAAAAAGTATAGGGTGTTCAAGCTGATGACTGCCAGCTGGTCGGGTATCACCTCCGAGACAAACCAGCCACCTTCGACAAAACTATGGCGTTGATGCTCGGGTATGAATTTGTGCCATACCTCTCTATATTGCTTCGTCCACCGATTCGGCCCATTTTTGAAGATATTATGCGGCATTATATCATTATTACCAAACGTGGGTACAATCGGAATGGAAAGGCCATGGGTCGCGCCCTTGCCCTTGAAGACCTCGGCAAATTTGTCCGCCATGAACTTGTTCAAGTTGATTATCTCTTCTGCCGTGCGAGGGTTCTTCTCATCGTTGTCATGTCGCGCAGAGTCACCGGTCCAAATGACGAAGTCGATGTTGTCTTTGAGGTTCGTCTCAATCCAGCGAAATGTCTCGTTGATGAGAGCAAATGGTGAGTCGCACTCGGTCCCCTCGGCTCCAAAGTACCCCGCCGAGCCATCATCTCTGTGGCAGCTCTTCTCGTCAGATGTTCCGGGTTGGTAGTACGAGTCTGGGTGAAAATCTAGATGGAATCAGCATCGCCACCGGCCCTGACGGCGCGCAGATCAAAGAAACACGTACCTGTGATGTGGAGAAAGCGCCCCGAAAGTCCCTGAGAGGACTCAACACCCGCGGTTGGTGGGAAGTGGTCCTCATTCTGGAGACCATCGCCCAACGGCTGTTGCTCCAAGAGCGGGAAGGCGGACACATAGGTTCCTAGCAGCGAAAGCGCCGAAAGTAGTCGAATCGGAACCATTGGGAAAGCTGTGAGCACGAGGCGAAAGCCCGACGATGCGGGAAATCAGAATGAACCTTGGCCAGTCGAGTCAGACATCCAGTAGACAATGATCACGCGACCTCGCTGAAGGAGAAAAAAAAAACAAAACGAAGCTAAGCGCCAGATCAAGAAATAGCGACACCGGGGGTAATTACATGAGATGGAGATTTTGGTCGCCTGGATCGTCGTCGACGTCACAGCTCACGGCCAGATCGGGACAAGCGCGAGGGAGCGGGTGGGACCCACTTTGTGCTGCGGTGGACAATAATTAGGGAATAATTTGACCTCCACGGAAAAGCCAGCAGGGAATGGGTGGTCTGGCTGGCATTTAAATGTCGGGTCGGCGAAAGACACGCACCGCTTGGGGCATCTGACTCTGAGATATCAGTCGGGAAACGTGCCAGCAGGCCAGGTGTGTACATACCAGACTCACACTCGGCACCGGAAGGAGCAGCGAGACAGCAGCGCGGTGGCAGTCAAGGTCCCCCCCTAATGTAAGGTACTCGTAGCCTGTACCGTCGCCTGGCCAGCCCACGTGCCGGCAATCGACAATCAGATTGTAGGACGGTCTTAGTCATCGCCCATATCGCTGGATACCCCCAACGGCGCTTTCATCCACTGTCTCATTCACTTCACCCCCAAGGTAGATGCGCGCTGGCGCACAGCTGACCGAGCCAAGGCGGTCATTGTTGTGATAGGCTCCCTGGCCCCGATCGACTGGAGGGTGGATGCCACTATTCCCTGTCCTTCATTGTCGGGTGGTTTATTAGGTGATCGGAGGTCGTAACATTAACACTTTGTACACCTAGTCAGATGGTGTATACCGACATGGGTAGGAGGGGGGCGGTTACAGTCGGTTGAGCAGCTGACAATGAGAGAGATTATGAGAGAAAAGAAGGGGAGGCAAGTATAAAAATAGAAGAAAATCAGCAGAGATCAGCGATGCTACTATCTACCCCGCCATCGCAGCATGTGAGTGATCTTGGACTAGCCCACTGCCTTGGATACAGAATGCTTAGTCGTCAGTACTGACTGGATATTTCCACTTTGACATCTAGATGGCTATGAATTAAACTACCCGATGGACCTTAAACGCCGCGATATGATTGACTTTGCGTGTCACCCTCGGGGACATGCCATAGGCTGGCCGGGGCTTGTGGAACAGCAGGGGCCCGACCCCTCCCCGAGCAGCGGGGCTTAACACCCGCCTTATCCAGCCTGGAGGCTGCCTGATTCCCTCCCAGATCAACACAGCTCTTGACTACACCCATTATCATCATCATCATCATCATCTCAACTAGTCTCGTCAGACCAACCATGTCCGAGTTCCCTACTCTTCAGCCCGCCTTCACTCTCAAGGTCCGTACCGCCATATGCCACCTGACTTAACTAATCGTCCCACAACATAGCTGGCCATCGGTGCTCCGCTCGGTGTCGGTAAGTGCAGCATACATCCATCCATCCACGGTACAGCGTGAAGATCCCAACGCTAATTTCATCCAGGCAGTGCCTCTCGGCAGAACAGCCTGCAGATCGTCGTAAGCACCTCCAGATCCTCCCACCTCACAAGATTTCCACCCCAGTAACATTCCAGCATGACCATAGCCCATGACCGGCGGCACTGCCAGAAGCCAGCCTGGATTCTCTCCGGCCCTGGACGCGGAAATCGTCGGCGTGGGCAATGACTACATCCATGCGGATCCTGATGGAAAGCACGTGCGGCTGGATGCCCATGGCGTTCTCAAGTAGGTCGGTCTGCCTGCAGCTGCTGGACGTGTTCTAACGACTACCTACTATAATTTAGGCCCAAGGATGGAGAAGACGTATGTGAAAGATCGCGAGATCCATCGAAGACTGTGACTAACATGGAGAATAGCTCATCTACCTGAACTACACTGGTATCTGCACATTGACGCCCGAAGTCCAGGCCGTCTTTGCTGGTTCTTCCCCGGACGGTTCGACTCCATTCAACAGTGCCTGTAAGAATGCTCCCTTGACGACCTACTAAGACAAAAGGTAGCTAACAATAACAACCTAGTCACCCATATTACCTTCGAGGTGAGATATACCGAATACCGATATCAATTAACCCCCAACCACTAACAACACAACACAACACAACACAGACCGGCAGCGAGCGCTACAAGGAATTAGAGAACCGTGTCTTCGTCGCCCAGGGCCGCTTCAACGTCGAGAAGGGCAAGCCCACCGTCGTAGAATACCATGTCAGCCAGGTCATCCAGGGCTAAGCCACCCACCTCCCTCCCTCCCTCCCTTACCCATCCTAGACAATCAACAACAATCTCAAATCCCGTTCCCGAAACAACAAACTAAACTAAACTAAACATCCCCCCATAACAACATACATCATCCATCCATCATACCTCATAACACAAATCATCTACCTCCCCCCAACAACGGCCTCCTCTCCCCCTCCCCATCCCCATCCCCTTCCCCTCCCTCCTCAATCACAGTATACATCCTCCCCCTCCCCCAATACCTCCCCGCCGGAGCAGTAACACAACCCTTCCACCTCCCCACCCCCTAACAACCCACGCCAACAAAACCACCAACCCCAACGCAAGCACCGTCCCTGTCACCGACCCCACGCCTGTAAGAAACGTCGTCGTGCTAACGCTGCATCCGAACGGTACGGCGCGGAGCTCCCAGCGCTCTTTGGATCCAAGGGGACAGATTTTCGTGGAGTGGAGGGGGGCGAGGATCGGGATGGTGGTGGGGTTGGGGATGCAGGTTGAGGACTGTGTTTTGTTAGTACTAGCTTTTGTTGGGTGTTGGTTGGTTGGTTAGGAGGGAGGGATGGGGGAGGGGGGTTGGGTGGATTGATGGATAAGGTAGGGTGGGATTGTGAGAGATTGGGGGCTGGGATGAACATACCACCGGACACCAACTACAGGGAACATCGCCCTTTAAACAACCATCGCATGATTGGCGACGCCAGCAGAGGTAGAAGAGGGGGTCGGGGGCATTGATTGGAAGGGCGGAGGTAGTAGTGTTTGAGTCCATGTGGAGGAGGGTGGATGTGTTTAGTTCCATGTGGAGACTGATTCTAGAAGAATGTATTGAACTAAATTGTGTTAAAGTGTCTTAGGATAAATTGTTTAGAATTCAAGTCAAGTTGATCTCATGATGATTTTGTGTGATTGGGGTTCGTGCGGGGTTGGAGAAGCTAGATGTAATGTTTGGGGTCGGGGACCTTAGCATACCGTCCGTCATATTAGGGGTTATTTTTAAGACGGGATTGAGAATTTAGGTAGTACCCGATGGATTGGAAATGGGGGGTTCATGGTGCCCGGTTCAAGTTTTTGGTTTTGGTTATGGTTGGTTGTACACATAATGATAATTTAAGTTTATCTGAAGATGGCCCTGTACTAAGTATCATCCAGATGATCTTGTTCATGGAAGAAAAGAAGATTCCATAATTCAGTTATAAGAATGCCAAGGGTTAAATTCCCCGATAATATCACGCTCGTAAGTAATCACTCTAGACAACACGCTTGACCTGTTTTTTCTGTGTTAGTTTTATTCCTTCGTTATGAGGTAAAGAGATAAGAACTGACCTCAAAGAATCTCTTCAGCCACCACACCTGGAAAACACCCTCGCCGATCAGCACAGCCAGCTGGAAAATACTCCACCACTTCACCCGCGCGTTGGTGCTCTCTGCCGTGTTCCGGTGAACCCGCTCTCTGACAACAATGTACGACTGCTCATCCTTGACCTGGGCCAGAGCCTCCGAGAGTTTGCGGACTGCGACAGCGGTTAGCTGGTTTTCATACGGTCGCCGAGGCCACAACGGTCGACTGGGTATCTGTATCCTACCTTCGGCCTCCAAAGGATCCTGCGCCAATTCCGATTCGGGAACGTAGACAATGCCGTGGACGTTAAAAGACACTTCCTTGGAGTTCGAGGCCCATCCCTCGTTGCTGAAGCAGTAGACGTATTTGCCGTCCGCGTGGGCGTTGAATGAGTAGTCCTCCGACGAGATGGCGTGCTTGTAGTACTGACGGTGACCCTGGGGATCCTCAACCTGGAGGTATCAAGATACGTGAGTGATTATTCATACAAGGCTCAAAAAGTTCGAATGTTGTCGGAAGAAGCTTCAAGCTGCCTTAACTACCCCGGAGATAGACCGGCTAGTGTGATCGGGGAACCTACCCAGAAATCAATCTCCAGATTTCCACTGCCGCCGAACTCCCGGTCACCGACCTGGAAGGACACGGTCATCTTGTCATCCTTGTGCAATGACTCGTGGAAGCATTCTCGGGAGTGAGACCGTAGCTGGATGTTGTGTGCGGTCACCGTGGTGAACCACGCCAGCGCCGTGATCAGGAGGGTCGTTGCGGAGAATCGCATGGTGGGTGGAGTTTAGCTTGCCGTCTCCAAATCGAGAGCAGGTAGTGGTTCGAGTCCCTCGAGAAGGAGAAGAGAGAGATGGTGGAGGGTTGGGCTTGACAGGTGCACTTGGTCGACTCCGACGCGCAAGGTGGTCTCTGGGCGGCGCTGGGAATTCAGGACGCTCGGACCACCTCCTAATCAGCCGGCACTAGGCCGGACGGAGTATATGGGTTGTTTCCTACTATTCATCTAAACTTGAAATGATTGCATTCAATTTTCGTTTACTGTCATCTAGTCTTTCTCGGAGCTGCGCTATCTGACTACCAGGTGCTGGTCTAGCAAGAAATAGTTAGGGAAATGCTCAAGGCATGGAATCGGGCAAACTGTATCTTCGCGGCTCGTCTTCCGCTCTGCTATTATTAACACCATTCTGACCTCCAAATGCCCGATCTATAACTTCCTGACGATGATGTGGCAGGTTAGCGTTGAACACTTATCAGCCACGTAGACACAATGTAACTGGTCTATAGAAGCTACCTTTGTGGAAAGGGGCTTGTTGTCGATTTACAGTGTCAAAAATCGTTGTAGATGTCCGACATAATTTACTAAAAGTCCATATTAAATATGACGGACTCACAACTCACAGTGTTCAAGCTGCTAATACTATGTTTCTGTCTTAATGACACCGCGAGAAGCCAGGAGGATCAAGAATAGCAGGAGCGGCAGCATTTGAAACCACTGCAAGTCGGATGGGAACTGGTAGATGCCATTGAAGTCAGATTCTGATGCCTCGACGCTAACCCCTGACCCGAGAGATCGGTAAGTTAATACACTTCCCATTACCACAGTAGAGCGGGAGAATGATAATTTGCCATTATTCGATAAAAACCGTTCCACTAACCCGGATGAGACAATTTGCCATTGATGATCACTAAGCAGTCTAGATCGAGAAATCAACGATGTTCGAGCCATGGCGGCCCTCGGTGACTAGTTGGCCATCACAATGCGTAAGGAGACTTCTTGTCATGGGGCTGATCGATTGAGTGTCCGCGAAATTTTCAGCAACAAGAACACTTCTGCCATTTTCAAGCGGTGGCTCCTATTCTGAAGTTTCAATGTTCGTACGTGTACGCGTTTGGTTCTGTGTGACATCATCGTTTATTGAAACAGCCCCTGATGGTTGATTGATTATTGCCAAGAGATGATCCCTCATTCTTAAGCGCTCAGGCCTGAGAGATTGGAGAAAACCCGATCATCAGGATATCATTGTAGTGTTGACCGGAACGGAAGCCAATCTTGCAGAAATCTTGATGGAGAGCAAGTCATTTCTTTTTCCTCGCAAGTCCAGTGTTTCGATCCCGGCTGGGTAGATAGGTAGTAAAGCTGCATCGAAAAGAAGCGTACCTGTCAAGCATCAAGGTGTGATCAGTATTATTGCTGCAGGCAACGATGGAAACCGGGGCGGGCAATAGTCTTACCAGTTACCAGAGTGAGCGACAGGGTCCAGAGTCCAGACCCTGACTGTGAAGTGGAGGTCTTGGCTGGAGACCCCAGAATAGCAAGGAGATGGAGTAAGGCCGCTGGGTCTCAGGCACCCCAGGCGGGCCCCTCCGGCCTGGCAAATTGAATAACGGTCTTATTTGGAGGCGTTTAGCACCCAAGTTGTTAGTGTCCAAGACAGGTGAATCTCCTGGGTAGGAGGTGGTAGATAGGTATTTGCCTTCAATTGGGGGGTGACATCTATTCATTGTTTGTACTCCCAGCAAAGAAACTAGTAACCCCACTGTCCTCTGACGTGACATACAGTTCTTTCTATTCCCACTCCAGACCTGTCAATCATTTCCCTCTTGCTCCTTCTATCTCCGCTGCTTGCATGCACCCAAGAACGATTGTTCTTTTTATAGAGCCTCCCCCTTTCCTCTCTGCATCATAGAAAAGCTCCCTGTTCTCTCCCGTTCTTCCATACCTCCCTCGTCCAACTGCTCTTCTCGTCACCTTGCCCTCTGAAATATTTCACTTAACCATCAACGCACTTCAGCATGCGTGTCACGAGCTTGCTTCCGGCCTTGCTGGCAGCCATCCCTGTCGTGTCTGCTACCAGGGGTACCCTCGGACTCGCCTTGGGCAACAAGAATGCCGATTCTCAGTGCAAAACGACGAGTGACTACGAGGCCGACTTTGATGCCCTCAAAGGCGTGACTACTTTGGTTCGCACCTACTCGGCAAGCAATTGTGCGACTGCCCAGAATATCATCCCAGCTGCAAAGGCAAAGGGTTTCAAGGTCGTCTTGGGTGTCTGGTAGGCGATAATCCAATGCATCAGCTACTGAGGTTGGTTTCTGACGCTAACATATGGTGGTTTAGGCCCGACTATGACCAGTCTTTCGACGAGGATTTCAACGCTCTGAAGCAGTATGTCCCTGGAAACGAAGATGTCGTGACCGCCATTACTGTGGGCTCAGAATGCCTTTACCGCGGAAGTATCACTGCCCAGAAACTCCTGAGCCGGATCCAACAAGTGCAGAACCAGTTCAAGACCGTGACCGTCGGCACTGTTGACAGCTGGAACAAGTTCGCGGATGGCACGGCTAATCCCATCATCCAGGGGGGTGTCACTTACTTGTGAGTTATTTCTTGACAATTCGCTGGTACGTGGTTGTATGTGGGCCTCAACTAACCTCCATAAAGTTTGGCCAACGGGTTCGCCTACTGGCAGAACAAGGATATCAACAACGCTCCTGCAACCTACTTGGATGACATGTCGCAGGCTGAGAACCACATCAAACAGATCGCCGGTGCTAATGCAGGCAAGATCCGCTTTGGAAACGGGGAGACGGGCTGGCCTACCGGTAAGTTGCATTGACAACCCTTCCGCCGTATTTATAGAAATGATACCGAGCTGATACTCTATAGATGGTGGATCCGATTATGGTGCTGCCAAAGCTGGTACTAAGAATGCTGAGCAGTATTACCAGTCCGCTGTGTGCAAAATGCTGGCCAAAGGCACCGATGTCTTCTATTTCGAGGCCTTCGATGAGGCTTGGAAGCCCAACAGCACCGGTGACAATGGCCAGTCCATGGATGAAAAGCACTGGGGCCTTTTCACCGCCGACCGCAAGGCCAAGTTCAACATGAATTGCCCGAATTAGAGTGCTGCTCGATATTCGGAAGTCTGATACACATCAACCTGCTCTGTTTTAGATATGTATGTATTATTGTCGGACATAACGGAAACCCTGTGCTGGGACTGTACCTATGAGCATCCGATAGTCATTGAATGTCAATGCAGATATTCGGGGTCTTAAGACAAGCCCATAAGACATGAGTAATACCGAGGCGGGCTTGAAAGATCCGTCTACAAGATAGCCGGGCATGCAGTTGGGTTTGCAATCCTATTTTAATGAAGTGATTGGGCACAGAGGAGGTTTGCCGTAGGGAGTAGGTACTTGGACGGCCTGGGTTGATATAGACGAGGGCTTCAGAAATGGATCAAGGTGGCCGTTGCACATGGAGCCATGAACAGCTGTGGATGGCCCTGGACTGGCCAGGCACCGGACAGGGATAGCCGATGGATGATGACATGGCTGGGCAGTATTGGAATGATCCCAATTGGAGTGGCTAATCACGGGCAGCCGAGGAACCGTGGTTCGCCCCAAGTAGCGCTGTTTTACCCCTGAATGAAGACACGAACCAAAGGAACCCGTGTGCCAACTGGTCGTGTTATCTAATATCTATCAACATAGTTATGGGGTTGAAGCACTGGCTCAGGGGGTGATGGAGCTGCCGTACCAAACTTCGGACTACAATCAATCGGGTAGATAGAGGGCTCCCAGATCCCGGTTGATGCCACATCCCAAAGGCAGACTAAGGCTGGGCTGAGGCCGATCCTACAGACTGCCAGACGGGCCTCCATACCTCAGTTCCCCGCGCCTTGCAGGAAAATACCCACTGACTCGCGTCAAGTGGTAAGGTTGGTACCTACAGAAGCCGGTCACCACCACGTACGTAGATGGCGGTCAAACCAAAGATCGGGTGAGGATTCAGTGAGCTGGCCCAGCTCAAGGGACTATGCGCTGCTAAGGACCACCACTTAACCCGATCCATCCTGGGCCGGGACCACTAGTAACCCGACTAAGGTAAAGAAGGCCGTGAGGCCAGAAGCCTCTCCCAATCGGGGCCTAGTGTTACCGTACCATACCTTTCCCCAACGGTCGCCCTCAAACCTCCCCCCCGCTGATAGGTGCACTTCCGCTTACTGGTGTACGGTTATATTCACGGCCCTGAAGGTCAAACGGGCTTGCTTGCTGGCGGATCATGACATGGCCCAGCACTGATTCGATCCAAGTTGAAAAAGACAACAAAAGCAAAAATAAAAAAAAATAAGAAAAAAAAAATTAAGGTCCGCTTCTCTTCTCCATCATCTTAGTCTCGACTCTTCTCTATCCTGGTCCTGCCAACCTCAATTCAGCTGTCCTTTACGGGATACGCCATGCCCAAGTTACCCGCATACCTCAGTTATCTCTGATCTGGTGTTCATCCCTCTCGCCTCCCTCCCTCCCCCGTCGCCCCCGTTCCTCGGATGTCTGTTTGGGGATCTTCTGTCGGAACTACCCACCGCCCCTGAAGATTATTCCTTCCCCCCCCAAAAAACCACCACGGTGTTATAGGTACTACTCGCCGCAACCCAATCGCGCACTTGCCCAAGCGTGTGATTTGTCTCGTCTTCCCCCCCCCCCCCCTCCTTTTCGCGTGTCGATCACAGGTCATCTGCGAGGTGGATTCGGTCTCAGCGCTTTGATTTCCATGCTTCACCATTCTGGACGATAAGGGGAGCAGCAAGCAAGTGCTTGCTGCAGGAGTCGAAACGGAAGGTGTGTCTGCCTGTCGAAGTGTTACCTTGGCTGCATCAATTCCACCTCCCAGATCCCTTCGCTCTGGCGGTGTCCACTTCCTGTCATCCTCGTTCCCGTTACACCTCGAAACATGGTTCATAGGCTAAACGTTCGATGCTTTTGTCTTCCCAGATCTAGGTCCGCCCGCATCTTCCGCCAACTCGGCGCTTTCTCCGCCGGCGCCGTCGCATCCCACAGATCCGTCCAGCCTCCGTGACGATTCATTGCTGACGGTGCCATTGACTTCCTTTTCTGCATCGCCAGGAGCGTCGAGTCTCTCGATCGCTGGATCACCTGGTCGGTCGAACTCCCCCCGGGGCCGCAGCGTCACCCCCAACCCCCCGAATACACTCCCTACCCTCTCGAAATACCGTGCCACCTGGGATTCCTCGACGTCGCCGGAAAATAGGAGGGCGGCCAGTAGCATCTACTACACAACCGCCTGGGGCTCACCGTATGCTGCACCTAGCCCTCGGAGGCTTTCGTGGTCTTTAAGTCAACACGGTGCTGTCGATCGTGGCTCCGGAAATAGCTCTCCGGCCTCGATGCACAGTGGTATACGCCACGGGTCTGAATCGATTAATCCCGAACTTTTGAGACCGTCTGCCCGAGACAGCTCAGCGAGACAACTGTACAGCGGCAATTCAAGCCGGTCTCCCGCCAGAGATATTTTTGGTAGGAAAGGAGGGAAGTCAATCAAGGATTTCACACAAGATTGGATTAATCAATACCTCTCTGGTCAACCACGAACTGAGAGAAGTAATTGGCTAAGCGACGACTCGGGCAGCGAGGCCCCATCGTTCATTACAGCCCAGAACTACTTCGCCGAGGACGCCTCGGACGATTGGCTCGGCCTCGAACAAGACACTCGGGACGACGACCTTCTCAAGACCCCAACACTAGCCGACTTCGTGAACCGAAGGACGGCCGGAGCTCGTCGAGAAGCTAGCCTTCCTCGCCAACGGGCAAGGGAATTCCTACACAAGCGAGCAGACACATTGCGACAAGAGGATTTCTGGGGTTTGCTTACGACAAAGACCCTCAGCCCATCACAATGGAGACAGCGGAGGCACAGTCCCCTGTGGAGCAGGGGCCCAACAAGGCACTGCCAACGATAGAGAAACCGCTGCCTCCAACGCCAGGTGATCCCACCGAGCCCAAAGCCGTGACAAGCCAAGTGCTCGATAGGAATAGCCAGACCCCGATACAAAGGTTTAGAAAGAAGATCGTCTGGCGCGGAAAAGCATGCTTCATTGCCCTTCCGTTGGAAGACAAAAGGGGTACCGAAGAGTCAGGGCGCCCTTTGATGACAGTTGCAGATGTTCAACAACGCCTGAGAGATTGGGAAAATCAAGGTTACGATACCCGGGGGTTTAGCGTTGGTGGATCAGAAGATCTATCGGATACTGAGCTGGGTGGTCTTAGCCGTCCGTTGTACCCAGACCCAGCAGAGGTCCAGGAGGATAGACAAGCGGGGAGGTATGGCGTCAGTATACCAGATAAAGCGGAGTGGGATGCATACGTCGCTTATCTGCAGGAGGAGAAATTGCGCGCCTTGGGCGTGTTCCTGGATGAACCGAAGCCCTCAATTTCTCCTGCATCTGCTGCTATGAGCCAGATGGCACCATTTCCTGGTCTTGTCTCGTCGCCCCCGATACCGACAGCATCGGCTGCTAGCAATCCTCTGTCTTTATCTCACCATTTCTCCCCCCAGTTGAACCAACCAGCAAACCCCGCCGGCCTGGGAACCCTGGCTTCTCCCGCTTCACAGTTCAGCATACAAACGCCATTTCTGGGTGTCGACCAAAACTTGCTACCTGGATACCCGATGCAATTCCAACCTACTCCGCCTGCTCAGGGCTCCCTTACTCCCCAGAGTTTCTTTAACGCGCGTCAAGCAGGTCCCGCCGCGTCCATACCTGGCACGCTCCCTCACTTGGGCTCGATTCTGTCTCCCGTTTCACCATTACATGATCAGGGCGCCTTCCATCCCGGCCTAAGCGAACAACCAGGACCGTCTAAGGAAGCTTTCGGTGGCCATGATATGCGGGACAATATCACTGAAGGCCAACTGCTACGTCCCTACACCCCTACGGAGGGACCCGATCATTTCCACGCATCTACCGTTGAGATTGCCCAGCCTACACCCCGTGGTCACGACCGTGGTCATAACCTGAGCGAGACGCTCCAGAAGGGCCTAGATAGGTTCCCTCCTAGTTATCATCTGGAGGAGACTATTGATAGACAGCTTGACGAGGGTGATCGCGAGCCAGTCCTTCACAACTTTGACGGCTCCGACCTTCTGCAATCGCGCTGGGCTTTCCCAGGGAATGACAATCTCGGACCCCAGCAGTTTCCCCAGCACATGCATCAATTCTATGCTGGAGACTATGCCGCAGATAATGCCCACGAAGGCTCTGATATCGATACCAACCCCAGTCTTTCTGGGACACCTCAGAGACATGGCCCGCTTGCGAGCAACATACCCTGGCATGAGACGAAGCCTAGTGCTGGCTCGTATGTTGGCGGGCACCGTTCGAAGCTTTCATCCTCTACTCTGAATGTTGATGCCAAGGAGTTCAACCCAACTGTATCGGCGCCTTCGCAGACGTTCCCGTTCCAGGAACCGCCCTTTCAAGCCCCAGCTGTTGGAAACCCAATGTTCACCTTTGGCTCCGTACCAAGCTTCAACCCATCTGCTAATGCCTTTAACCTTACTGCTCCCCCATTTACACCAAACCCTGCCAACAACCACACCCCGCGGAAAGCTGGGTCAGGGGAATTCAAGTTCTCCACCGCCTCTTTCAATGTCGCAGCTCCTGCCTTCAATCCCACTGGCAGTGGTCCCACCGCCGAACCTGAGCAGCCTGCAGGTGCTAGAACAAAGATCTTTGATGATGCTGATGTATCGGAAGCATCGAAGCTTTCTAAGAAGTCCAAGGCTATACCAATCGTGCGACCGGATGATACCATGGAAGATAAGAGTAGTAAAGAGGATGGCGAAATCGACAACGGCCGCCCGACTCGCACTGATCGTCATAAGCGTGCCCGTCGTGGTGACGAAGCGTCGGATGGAGAGGCTCATTTCACCATGTCTCACGCCTTGGCAGAGACCGGTAATACTCAACCCTCACAAGTCCCCAACGCACATCATGTGCCGGCCGAAGGTAAAGAAAACGTGCAACCCGAGGGCAGCGAGCCGATTCAGAAGCCCGTTTCGATTCAAGACGACAAATTCGCTGAGAGGAAGGAAACGCCGATCAGCGAAGCGTCGACCTGGACACCTTTCGATAAGAAGAACGACAACACGGCGGCAGTGCAGGAGTCTGGCTCGGCTGACGATAAGCAACCTGAATCGGAGCTGCTTCCCGCAGAAGGAGAAGACGTTGGTGTCAAGGAGCAGGAACAGTCTATCGAAGCTGATTCAAAGCCCTCATTCCTGTCCGCCACTGCAAGGCCATTCGAATTCAAGGCGTCCGTTGCCGAATACGTGCCGGTTGCTGCAGCAGAGTCAACCCTTGCCCCCAATACGGCGGATGACGGAAAGATTGACGCTATTTCCAACACTCCAATTTCACCCAAGCGTGAGCCTGTGCTAGCAGAAAGTGCCCAAACGGATGAGGAAGACTCCCCTGACGATGAGGAACTCAATGCTATAATGGAACAGTTGAACGACGACTCCGATGTTGGAATAGAACGGTTGAGCACACCTCAGCCTCGTGATCGCATTCCCGAGTCTGTGTTACATCCGTCTAAAGAAAAGCGCCACATCCCCGCGGATATCAGGAGCGAGGCTCCCAGTCCGAGCCCAGGACGGGGCCTCATGTCCCATGCACTGGATGTACCTAAACTCGATTTTGATGCTCGATCCCAATTCTCCGTGTCTCCCTCCAAGGGTTTTGGGTCCGGTATCCATTCTCCCGTGCGGCATTTGGTCAACCAGAATGACCATATCAGTGACTGGGATGATGTGATATCGTCTGGTGAAGACGAGAAGCTGGCAAATCGGAGCAGGTTCTTTGATCGTCGAATCAACGACCTCGTCGGCTCCGCTATCGATGAACGGCTTACGCCGCTTGAACGCGCTCTTGGTGTGATTCAGGAGTCTGTCATGGCAATCGCACCTGGCCCTCGCACTAAACTTGAATGGAGCGCATCTATCGCAGGTGACAACAGTGATGCTGATGATGAGGAAGATGCATACGAGAACGCTTCGTACAGCACAAGATCGGTTCTCCGACAAAAGGAGAAACTCGACAAGCTGAAAGCTGTCTTCTTGGAGGCTTTGGCATCCCGCGATGGCGAGCAAGACAGGGACCAGACAGTTTCCGAACTTGCACAGCTGCGGGATAGCGTCTCTGCTCTTCAGGCTTTAACTATACAGAAGTTGTCGCAAGACCCTGTGGATGAGTTGAGAGTGATGATCCAAGACTTGGCCTCGAACCAGCTAAGCCAGCAGAACTCGCGTCCCTCTGAAGCGGAAGAAATCGGTGCCGAAAGCCTCATGCTTCAGATTGAAGGTCTCAAGAATATGCTAAGACTCTCCGACGAGCGAGCCGACCAGGAGTATAAGCTTCGTAGGGAAGCTTTAGACTCGGTCGCAGAACTTCAGCGGCTTCTGAAGGTCGCCGAAGAAGATGCTGCGCGTCACAGCGAGGCTGCAGAGTCCGCCGAAACTCGCCTGCTCCATTTCAAGGCAGAGAAGATCCCCTACTTTGAAAATGTCCAACACAAAGCCGATTCGCTTGAGCAAGAGCAGGAGACACTCAAGTTCACTCTTGCTGAACTGTCCTCGAAGAACATCGCACTTCAGGGCACCCTTGATGAGTATCGAGTATCTAGTGACAACTGGAAACGGGATAGCGAGCAGTCCAGAGCTGAACTCGACACCGTTAAGGCGGAGAACAAGGAGCTGCGTGGTACTATTGGCCAGCTCAAGACCCGTCTGGAGGATGGCATGAGTATCCGGCACAATCTCGGCGAGAAGCTAGACCGTCTTCAAGATGAAATGGCGACGGTCACTCGGGACGTCATCCGCGACCAGGCTTCTTATCGTAGACGCGAGGAAGATTTGAATGCCAAATATAACGAACTACGTGCAGCCTTTAATCGCGAGACGAAGCTCCGTGAAAAGCTCGAATACGACATCAACGCGCTCGAAACGCAGGAACGCGAGGCAGCCAAGTTGAAGTTCATTTTTGGCCAATCCCAGCAAGAAAATGCAAGACTCGAAGAGCTTGTTGCAAACCTGCGTCTTGATAACCATAATATGGAGGTCAAGGCAGCTCGGTTTGAACGCGAGTTCAACGAGGCTCGTGAAAGCAGCCGGGCTGAGATCCAGCGCACCAGAAACTCCCTGGAGTCGGATCTGGAAGTTGCTAACAGCCAAGTCAACATTGTCCGTGCTGAATTGGAAGCACAGATCCTTCGCCTCCAGAGTCAAATGGACAATGTCAGGCTGGAAAGTGACACGGCCCGGGAACGCTATGAAATGCTGTTGGAAGAAGCAAATGAGACGAAGGCCAGCACCTTGGCTGCTGCTGTCCAAGCCAAAGAATTGGCTGTGGAGGAGCAGCGCCGGACGCACGAGCGTGTGCTCAATGACCTTCGGGAACGCCATGCACGTGCCCTGCACAACGCTTCCGAAGATAGACAGCGCACTGAAGCTCATCTGCTAGACCGACTAGCCTTGTCTGATGATAAGGTGAAACACCTCGAGGATCGCGTCCATCATCTCGAAGAGAGACTCGAAATCGCACAGTCCGCTGCGCGCGCTGCTGCGGAAGCGGCTCAGTCTGCCAAGGCAGCGCCTACCCTGGCGCCTGCGCACTCGAGCTCCCCTTCGATGCCATTCCGTGAGGGATCGATGATGCCCGAGAAGATCTCGCCGCAGGCCTTGAGGGAATCTATCTTGGTGCTCCAGGACCAGTTGCAACAGCGTGAAACTCGCATTGAAGAACTCGAGCAAGAAGTGGCCGCTATTGACAAGGACGCCCCCAACAAGATCAAGGAGAAAGACACGGAGATTACTTGGTTGCGTGAGCTTCTCGGCGTTCGCATTGATGACCTTCAGGACATCATCACCACCGTGTCACAGTCTTCTTTCGACCGCAATGCTGTTCGCGACGCCGCCATCCGGCTGAAGGCTAATTTGCAGATGCAGCAACAGGAGAGAGAGAGAATCCATTCTGGACACAGTTTCCCGAGCCTTCCCTCCCTGGCAGACTTGACTGCATCGCCGCGGTCCTTCCCTCTCGCAGCCGCAGCAGCATGGGGGAACTGGCGCAAGGGAAGAGATAATTCCCACTCTCAACTCTCTGAACAAACTCCATCAAAACCGGCCAACGCAAGTTCTTTCTTGTCAGGACTTTTGACGCCCCCAGCCTCCGGTGTTCGACAGGCTTCACCCCACACCGGCACTTCCGCGACAGCAGGATCTCGGCGTCCATCGGAGAGTCGACCTCTGAGGAATTACAATACGACGCCAAAGGCTGTACCTGCTCGTGGAAGCAGGATGCGAGAGCCGCCAAGCACTCCCCCACTGCTCCGTCGGTCAAGTTATGATCACGATGCTGAGCCGGCTGATTATGCCCACGACTCCTTTGGGGAGGACACCGAAAGTACGACCGACGGCCTAGTCTCTGCATCTCCCCGGGATGTGGCTGACGGGCCCTTCGGACCGCAAATACAAGTATAGACTGTCTATACACCATTTCCATTCATGTCCATAGACATTTGAACCGCCAGTTTGTCCCCACCTGTGGCTAGCTGGCCATTGTTACATTATGATGCATCCTTACCGCGACCCCTCATTTGATCTTGCATACTTAGTGCGAGTTGACATCTTCATTTGCTGTTTGTTTGTTGGGCTTGAGCAAAATCCTCTTCTGTCCCATTTTGTGCTCAACAGCAGTGGATTTATCATGATCTTCTTTCCTTCCTTACTTACTATACCATACCATTTTCCCCATTTGCTGCGCGTCCTACTGGATACCACACCTGTTGACTTGTATTTTTGCCGCAATCTGTACACAAATTTCTCTGCTGCTTTTTTTGCTCTGTTCAAATAATCAACTACTGCTATTTAACAATGTGTCACTCGTTCTATGATTCACTGCATTCCTATTGCTATGCATAGTTTAATATTGTGGTTTACTCTAGGATGTGACTGTGCGTGTGGCATTTGCAAGAGCGGTGCTTTATCGACCTGGACATACATACCGCCCCGCCCCGCCCCGCCCCGCCCCTCCCCCTTACCGTTGGCTCCTTGGGCTTATGGTTTATTATGTAGATAATAATAAACTCTTGTTAATTTATTCTTAATTGGACATGTCTAATCGAATTTTCGCTTTTTCTTTTCTTCTCTTGTCTTGTCATCTCTTGTCATAAACATCCACTGGTGGATGCATGCATGATAGATCCCGAAACAACAATAAGTATAATAAGTACATTATATCCATGCCATATAGAAGAAGAATGATCATGATAGTCATCCCACACATTCCCTTCCTCCTGCAGAAAGGTATCAACTCAATGAATCCACCACTCCAAAACATCTCTCCCCGCCACAGCACTAACCACATACCCAGAACCACCCTCTTCAGCCCTCATAACCCGCACCTCCTCCACATCGACAGTCGTCACATCCAACAAGAACGACCAGGCGGGGATATCATCCGGAGGGGGATATTTCCCCTTCGGGTCTGTGTCGCTGTGCAGCTCGGTTGGGGTGATGACTCGTGGGACAAGGTCGGGGCTTTTGTACACGGATGCGCGGTCCAAGATGCTGTAGACGTAAAGGGCTCCGCCGGAGGCGAAGCTGCTGTGGCCGGCGCCGGGTTCGTAGATCACGAGG